GCCCAGACTGGCCTCGAGCTCCCAAGGATACCTTAAACTCCTGATCTTCCTGCTCCTACTTTCTGAGAGTTGGGATTACAGGTGTGTATTCAGGCATCAATACAAAAGCCCCCATGTCAGTCTAGCTCAGAGTCTCTGTGCTGTTTTCCTAAAAGACCAAGTAGTAAATACTTTCCACTTTGTGACCACATAGCTTCTTACAGCTACTCACACTGCCATTTCTAGTGGCAGTCGCTGCACAATTAAACAGGCCTGGCTGTGCTCATTAAAGGACTCTGAAACAGGACGTTTGTATAATTTGTTGTGTCACAATATAGAACTCTTTGGACGTTTCCCACCAGCCACTTGAATCTGTTAAAGCCATTCATGGTAGGTTGGTTTTGGCTCAGGGACCATCTTTCCTCACCCTTAACCTGGCATCATTCTAGAAGGCATCAGGTATGTCCTGAGAAATTCCCAAGGGCTGGGCTGGCAAGACAGCTCAGCAGATAAAGGTGCCAGCCACCAACCCTGACCTGAGTTTAGTTCTTGGGATCTACATGGTGGGAGGAGAGAACTGACTCCCAAATCTGTCCTCTGACCTCTGCATACACATAGTAGTTTATGCAGCTCTCTCCAAATACATTAATAAATGCATTTAATTAAAACTTCTAAATATTATTTGGTATCCTAGTTATTTGTAAGGTTTGTTTTTATTTCTCTCTTTGTGTCTGTATATGTGTATGTGTGTGTATGAATATATGTGTGAGTGTATATGTGTGTCTGTATATACTGTGTGTGTCTGTACATACCATGTGTATCTGTGCATCTCTATATGTATATGTGTGTGTGTATATATATACATATATATATGCCGAATATGTCTCTGTCTGTATATGCCGTATGTGTGTGTGACTGTATGTATATGCCATGTGTATATGTGCGAGTGTGAATGTGAGTGTATGTGTGCATGTGTTTGTGCTTGTGACTGTGTGTGTGTGTCTGTATATGCCATGTATGTGTATGTGTGCAGAAATGCTTGGTGCAGGTGCTATGTTCCTCCCGCTATGTGGTGGTGAGGGTGCCACCTAATGAAGATGGGAGGGGGCTTAAGTGTTGGAAAACACTGGGCCTGGACAGGGAGGGCTGCTGTACTGGTCTCTCCTGGGGGGAGTTTACTGTGGCCCTGTTCATTCTTTTCCAGATTGTTTATTCCCTGGTCCTAGGATGGTAACCCAAGGTCTCCTACATCACAGGCAAGAGTTCTACCATTGAATGGCACCTGCCTCTCCCTGGGAGCTTTGTGTTTAATTTATTCAAACATTTATTAGAGAGAGAGAGAAAGAGAGAGAGAGAGAGAGAGAGAGAGAGAGAGAGAGAGAGAGAGAGAGAGAGAGAGAGAGAGAGAGAGAGAGAGAGAGCAGGCGCTGTGGCAGTCAGAACAATTTGCATGAGTTGGTTCTCTCTGTCTACCTTGGGGGTTGAAGGGCTCAGACTCAGGCTCCTGGCAATCACTTTTACTTTTAACCTGCTGACCCATCTTGATCTTACTTTGCTGAGACAGAGACTTTCTATGTGACTCAGGCTGGTCTTGAATTTACAATCCTCCATCTTCACCTCCCAGCTGCTGGGATTTCAGGTGTACATCACCATTCCCCGATTCATATCTGAATATTTCATCGTGTGAGAGGAGGCGCAGGGTACCGTAGGGAGGAGGGATGCGGCAGGGATGTGCAGGCAGCAGGCGCCTGGTTCCCCATTAGAAGCCCGAGAGGACGACTCCAGGCCACCCAGGCTTCCCAGCTGGAGCTCTGCTGGTGCTCGGGGCCGGGCCGTCCTGGGCATTCCACAGGGCTAAGCAGCAGCTCTGATTTTGACCTCTTAGGTACCATACTCCCTGAGTTGTGACAACAAGGAAGGTATTGTCACACATCCTCCTGGGGAGCAGAGTGCCCTGCTTGAGGACGCCCATGCCACAGTGTAATTTCCAGAGGCGATGTTGAAGGATTTGTCTTTGCGTCCCAATCAATCTTTTCTACTTTAGTATTAAACTCTGAGGTTAGATAGGGCTGGATGACCCGTCCAGTTCTGCTACTTGTCAGCGCTTGAGCTGAGGTGAGCGGGCCTCCCTGAACCCGTTTCATCATTGGGAACAGCCCGCGGCAACCTCTCGTTCGCAGAGCAGTAAGCAGTCAGTGAGAAGGTCCAGGCCATCGTACACCTTTGACAACATGGATTTCCTCCCAGGACAGCACTGCTTGGGGTTGTGCCCCAGCAGCTGACTGGGGTTGGTGTTCAGCTGGCACCTATGTTGTTGATGGCTACTCAAAGCCACCATGGGACATTTTGGCCCTCACCCTTGTCCTTCTGTGTAAGGCCAGGGCTCAGCGCTGGGCCAGCACTTAGGAAGGTTCTCTCTCAATTGGCTCCAGCGCCAGGGCAAGGCCGTCTGTCTGGAGCCAGCGTTGCTTGGCCTCCAGCATTGTCACGGCCATCCCTGCAGTCTTGCATCCTTCCTTCCTTGACGGTCTTCAGGCATGGACTCTTGGCCTGCCTGATGAGCGGATTCTGTCACTAGCCTAAAATCAAAGTGACACCACAGATGCTTCTGGGCCTCAATGGAGTTTGTCTTTACTGCGCATTTTCCATCAAATCATGGGATGCGGAAGGTTTGTGTGTCTGAGAGCTGAGCGGTCAGACTTCCTGGGCAGGTCACCGACAGGCTAGACTAGACTTCAGATGGGGACTTCTTGGTGAAGGAGCAGGTGGACCCTGACTCTTTTGGTGAGGTTATCAATTTGGCATGCACCACATGTCACCCTGAGCCCTTTTCCTTCCCTCCAGACAGCCTCATTTAATCCTAGGGAAACGTGCAACACTATTGAGTGAGGTGTGTGTTATTGTCCCCATATCCCAGGTGGGAAAACTGGGTGCTTCAAGGGACAGTGGAATGGCTGTGACTTTGGAAACAACAGATGTCATTCAGGAGAGGAACTCGTGAAGCCGGGCCACTACTGTCCTCACTGGGGCCAGCAGGCCGCTGTGTGCCAAGGAGTAGGATGCTCTAAGGAGGGGACATTTGGGTTGGGACACGGCTCAGTCCATAGTGCAGGTTGTGGGAGCTGAGTTTGATTCCCCCAAACCCATCTAAAAATAAATGCCTGGGAGGCAGAGGCAGGAGGATGTGTGGGGTTTGTGTTCAGCCACTGCAGCCTAATTGGTGACTCCAGGTCACGGGAAGACTGCCTCCAAGGAGGTGATGGTGTCTGGAGGATGGCACCCAAGGTTGTCTACTGGCCCCCACATGCATGTGCACCCATGTGCACATGTACCCTGCACACATGTGAGCACACATGAATACACATGCTCTATGAAAACCAGAAGGGAACATTCACATACCCCCAAACAAACCCCTTTGTCACAGAGTCTGACCCCTCCACTCTCAGACACACAAGCCTTACTACACCTCTTGTGATTGATGGAAATGTACTGTATTGTGATGTGCTTTGTGTTTTAACTGTATTATTTTTTAGTGTGTGTGTGTGTGTGTGGACATATCTTGGTGCCTGTGTGAAGGTCAGAGGACAACTTTTAGGAGTTGGTTTTCTCCTTCTACTACATGGGTCCTGGGGGTTGAACTTAGGTTATCAGGCTTGGCAGCAAGCACCTCTACCCACTGAGCAATCTTGTCTCCCTTGTCATATGTTTTTCCCTTTGTTTTCAAGCTTTTAAGTTTCCTGAACCCTCAGCAGTGAGTTCTTATCCACACTGACTGTATATAGAGGGTTTTTTTTTAAAGATTCTATTTGTTTATATTTTGTGTGTAAGAGTGTTTGACTAATGTATGTCTGGTGGGGGAAGTCCTGTGTATATGTCAATAAAGCACTGTTGGCCAATAGGGAAGCAAGATAGGTGGGACTAGGAGTCCAGGAGGACTCTGGGTAGGAGAAACACAGAGAGTCAAGATGTAACTGCCATAGGGGTAAGAAGCCTGGAAACTTTTCTCTGGTAAGAGAAATACTTAGATTAACAATTATGGGGTAAATACGTAAGTCAGAGCTAGCCAATAAGAAACAAGCAAGGCCAACAGCTTTATAATTAATATAGCGTCTTGTGTGTTATTTGGGGACTACAACGCGGCAGAGCCCAGGCGACTGGTGGGGAAAACCCAAGCGGCTGGCAAGGAAAAGGCTTCACTCAACAGTATGTCTGTGAACTGTGTGAGCAGTGCTTACAGAGGTCAGAAGAGGGAGTTGGATCCCTGGAGTTGGAGTTACAGGAAGTTGGGAGCCACCTTGTGGGTGCTCAGAACTGTACCTGGTCCTCTGCAAGAGCAGCCAGTGCTCTTTTGTGACCGTGTAACAGGGACTTGGGTCACCCCGGTCCAGAGGGTTTGGTGACTGCTCATTCTCACAAATGCACAAGAAGTGACAAGGAAGATAATTAATTCCATCTTCCTTTGGCCCAGAAGCCTTGTTGTGTCTGCCGTCAGCGTGTACACCTGGAACCCCGTCTGCTTCACGTCAGTTTCCCCAATTTCTTTGAGTGTGTGTGTAGGGTGTGTGTGTATGTAGAGTGTGTGTGTAGGTGTGTGTGTGTGTAGGGTGTGTATGTGTGTAGGGTGTGTATGTGTGTAGGGTGTGTATGTGTGTAGGTGTGTGTGTAGGGTGTATGTGTGTAAAGGGTGTGTGTGTAAACGGTGTGTGTAGGGTGTGTATGTAAAGGGTGTGTGCGTGTAAAGGGTGTGTGTAGGGTGTGTGTGTAGGGTGTATGTATGTGTGTGTGTGTAGGGTGTGTGTTTGTAAAGGGTGTGTGTGTGTGGTGTGTGTGTAGGGTGTGTGCGTAGGGTGTATGTGTGTGTGTGTAGGGTGTATTCGTGTAGGGTGTGTGTGCGTGTGTAAAGGGTGTATGTGTGCACACATACTCTCAGCCACTAGTTTTGCCCTTACAGCACCAGCCTCCAACTCTGCCCTGGATGCCCCAGGCTTCCTCCCTCATGGCTCCCATCTTCCTCTCCACAGGCCCAGCATGTCTGGACTCCACCTCGTGAAGAGAGGCCGCGAACACAAGAAACTGGACCTGCATAGAGATTTCACTGTAGCGTCCCCAGCCGAGTTTGTCACCCGCTTTGGAGGCAATAGGGTCATCGAGAAGGTACAGATGAGTCGTGTGTGCTGGTAGGAGCAGGTCCCGTATGCTGGTGGGGGCGGGGCCTGTAAACTGGTGGGGGCAGGGCCCGTATGCTGGTGGAGGCGGGGCCTGTATGCTGGTGGGGGCAGGTCCCCGTATGTATGCTGGTGGGGGCAGGTCCCCATATGCTGGTGGGGTCAGGGGCCTGTATGCTGATGGAGGCGGGGCCTGTATGCTGATGGGGTCAGGGGCCTGTATACTGGTGGGGGCGGGGCCTGTATGCTGGTGGGGGTAGGTCCCTGTATGCTAGTGGGGGCAGGTCCCCGTATGTATGCTGGTGGGGGCAGGATCCCCATATGCTGGTGGGGTCAGGGGCCTGTATGCTGGTGGGGGCGGGTCCTGTATGCTGATGGAGGCGGGGCCTGTATGCTGGTGGGGGCGGGGCCCGTATGCTGGTGGGGGCGGGGCCCTATGCTGGTGGGGGCGGGGCCTATATGCTGGTGGGGGCGGGGCCCGTATGATGGTGGGGACGGGCCCCGTATGCTGGTGGGGGCGGGGCCCCGTATGCTGGTGGGGGCGGGGCCTGTATGCTGGTGGGGGCAGATCCCCGTATGCTGGTGGGGGCGGGGCCTGTATGCTGGTGGGATGGACTCCTTTCCTTGGTTGGAGGCCCAGCTTCAGGGCTTTTCTTCACACTTCAGAGGGAGGGTAAGCCACCACTTGGGACACTTGCTTGGGTACTTACTGGGTGCTTGACTTCGGGAACTTTTCACCCTTTCCCCCACGCCTGGGTGCATTACCTCATTCCTCACAAGGGGAGACTGAGGCCATGGGCTTGGTCAGGAGGCTCCTGGGTGCTTTGGGGGAGTGGCGCTGCTTCCTGGGCTGGTGGTAGGAAAGTATAGAACCTGCCCCCGCCCTCTCTGAGGTTAGGCTTTGTAGAGGACAGGAGATCGTGCTCTATACTATAGTGACATTACCATGTGTGAGGTTTCACCTGGTCCCTGCTCCTCCTCACAAAGCAGGACCCTAGTGACGAGGAATCAATGCAATGGGGAAACAAGTATTTTTATTAACAGGAGAAAGCGCTTACACACAAGCTGGGAAGACAGAAGCGTGGCCGGCTTCCGAGAGAGACAGGGCTTTTGCTTTCTCTTCCCCTTATATCCCCACCTGTCCCCAGACACCTGTCCATGCCCCTTTGGGGGCTCACTCCTACAATCCCTCTTTCAGTCTAAATAAAATATTTAAACTTGATACAAAACTCAAACATATGCAACATATATACATAGAAGGTGATAAGCGAGTTATAATCTACTTATATCCTAAACATATCTATCCCATCTAAATCCTAAACTTATCTGAAAGGGGTACCCAAGTCTGAACACCTCCTTCCAATCCCAACCCTTAAATAATTGAAAACTAACACTAACAGGTATAAACTATCCTGTAATGTCAACAGTAGGGAAGGCGGTGTAGTATTCTTAAAATTACCCCTACACCCTAGTATATGGTTATTCCTGCTACGTTCATGACAAGCTACAATCCAGAGGATGTCCAAGGTCATAGTAAGTGGAACGGAGGTTCATCACTTTACAAATAAGGAGAGCAAGGTGTTGAGAGGAGAAACAGATGAACCTGGCTTCCTGGTTCCTCCATCTTGCTACAAACACTCAGATTTAGAGTCCCTTGGGAAAGATCTAGAAATTGCTTTTTTTTTTTTAGATGGATTTTGTGTATCGCAGGTTGGACTCAAATCCCAAGGATGAACTGGAACTTGGGATCATCCTGCCTCTACCTCCCAAGTGTGTGCCATGATACCCGGTGTGCTGTACTGGTCATGGAACCCAGCCTCTGTGCATAGTTGGCAACAAGCCCTCAACCCACTGAGTTATACCCTTCTGTCCCTCACTTCTAGACACTGGGCTCAATGGGAGACTATTTTGTTGTCAGCCCCACTATGGGCTGATGTTACATTCTCAGAGTGTTAAATAGATAGCTTCAGCAGTTCCACTGTGGCTGGTGTTGTGTTCTCAAAGTGTCACGGCTAGCCTCAGGTAGCCCCACTGAGGCTGGTGCTGCATTCTCAGAGTGCCATGGCTAGCCTCAGGTAGATCTCGTCCAGAGCTTTTACACTTTCAGACTTAGGAGTTGACCTCTGCTTGCCCGAGGTGCTGGCATCTCGTGGGAGTTGCCTGGGGTTGTGAGCTGGAAGCTAGCCCCTCCCCCGCAGGGCTCCCAGAATGTGCCCTCTCTTACCACCTCTGTCTTTCCTTCTGGACCAAGCCTTACTTTAGCAATGAGGAAGCCACAGCTAGGGTGTCCCCATTCCTTCCTCAGTGATGTTCCCCACAGTTAGCGGGCTGTGCACCTGAGTCAGGAGCCTTGGCCAAAGCCTGGGGCAAGTCACAGGTGTGAGCTTACTGTTTCCCCATCTATCCAAGGAGGCTGGCCCTCAGCAGCATGGCCAGGACTGTATAGCAGTGGAAAAGAACACAGGACGGAATAGCTCTGTGAGCCAGAGCTTGAGATCGGAGACCTAACTACTTTTTGTATTTTTTATTTGTTTTGAGACAGGGTCTCATTATGTAGTCATGCTACCTGTGACCTTGAAATTTTTCTCCTTCAGCTTCTAGATCATTGGGGGTTATAGACATATGTCTGGATTCTGTCTTCTTCTTTTTTTTTCTTTTGAGACAGGGTCTCTCTGTGTTGCCCCGGCTATCCTGGAACTCACTCTGTAGACCAGGCTGGCCTCAAACTCATAGACATCTGTCTGCCTCTGTCTCCCAAGAGCTGGGATTAAAGGTGTGCAAATTACAGCTGGCTCAAATGATTTATGTATTTTTATTTTATGTGTGTGAGGGTTTTGGCTGCATATGTGTATATGCACCATGTGCATGCAGTTGTCTCAGAGGCCAGAAGGGGGCAGTGGATCTCTGGGAACTGGAGTTACAGATGGCTGTATAAGAACTGCCTCATGGGTACTGAACCTGGACCCTCTGAAAGAGCGGCCAGTGCGCTTAACCACTGAGTCATCTCTCTAGGCCTGAGAATTCTGATTATTTAATTGTCTTTCTTTAGTGCTGGAGGATCAGACTTTATGCTAGGGGAGTGCGCTACTCCCGAGCTGTTCCCTCAGCCCTGTATATTATATGTGTGTGTACAGTTATTGTTAAAGTTTGTTTTTCCGAGATCATACACAACACTGATTCCTGGGATCAGTCCCTCTCTCCATCCGTGTCTCCAACTCTTCATGTATCCCCCTCCTCCAAAATTCATGATCTCTTCTTTAACTATGTGTGTGTTTTATACACACACACACACACACACACACACACACACACAAAACCTACTGAGTCCATTGAGTGTTGCTCAGATGTACAGGTTCCCTGAGTGACCACTTGGAACCCGACAACTTACTCAGGAAGGCTCTCACCCCTGGAGAACAGATTCCCCCCATCTCAGCAGCCATTGGCCACCTATGGCTCTTCATCTAGGGGCGGGGCCTTGTGGGTCCCCACCCCATCTGTGTCTCAACAGCCGGCGTTCTGGTCCTCCAGCTCTTATGGTCTTTCTGCCTGCTCTCCCCAGATGTCCTGGACTTTAGATGTGAGGGGTGAATTGCAGATGGGTCAGTTGGAGTTGGGCCCACACTGGCATTTATCATCTACACACTGACCAGTGTGAATTTCTGCAGTAGTCTCCATCTGCTGCAAAAGAGTCGTCTTTGATGAGGGGATGAGAGCTACGCTTACCTGGCCAGGCTGGCGCACAGACTCCCATATATATAAAATTTATTGAGCCAGGATCTCACTATGTAGCTTTGATTAGCCTGGAACTCGCTCTGTAGCCCAGGTTAGCCTTGAACTCACAGAGATCCTCCTGTCTCTGTCTCCTGGGTGCTGGGATGATCGTTTTAAAAAACCAAACCCAAGCCTTCTGGTTTGAGAGATCTGGATTTGAGCCTGAGCTGTGACACTCTCTGTCTGTGTGACCTTGAGGAAGTGTCTTAACTCCTCTGAGTTTTAGTGTCTTTTTAGTCTCCGTATAGGACAATAGCAAAATTTCCTTCAAAGGGTTGTGGTGAGGGTGGAGTGAAGCAGAGCAGGTGAAACACACGACACTGTAACCTGGCATGTACTGAACACACAAGAGATGTCAGAGGGTGATGGCAGTGCCACCCAGGGCACCTTTGCCGTCCAAGTCCATCCTCCTGCTCCTTCACCCGCTCGCCCTGTCATCCCCGTACCTGAGCGCCAGTGCTGTGTGGGACCGTGTGCCCTGTGCAGGGCACTGCAGCCCTGCCTCGCCCTGCTGTCTCCATCAGGTGCTCATCGCCAACAACGGCATCGCTGCGGTCAAGTGTATGCGCTCCATCCGCCGCTGGGCCTATGAGATGTTCCGGAATGAGCGTGCCATCCGGTTTGTGGTCATGGTGACCCCTGAGGACCTTAAGGCCAACGCAGGTACCTGAATGTGACGTCTCAACCCCATGCTGTGTGCACCTCTGCCAGCCCTTCCCTCCTCCGCCCTGCTCAAGCAGCTGCATCCTGGGCTCCAGAGCTGTAGGGTCTCTTTCACTAGCTCATGGGTTTTTGTTTTTGCTTTTGAGACAGGGTTTCTCTGTGTAGTCCTGGCTGTCCTGGAACTCGCTCTGTAGACCAAACTGGCCTCAAACTCAGATCCCCCTGCCTCTACCTCCCGAGTGCTGGGATTACAGATGTGCACAGCCACTGTAATCTTACAAGTTCTTTTGCATGTGTGTGTGCATGCATGTGTGTCAGGAGTCAGCCTTGGAGACTGTGCCTTTTGTTTTTTATATTTTAAACATTTTTTATATTTTAATTGTCACACATCATATTAAGCTTCATTATGGCCTCTTCAAGCAAAATCAGTTCTTGTTGATTCTACTTCTTCGCTTCTCTGTCATTCCCACAACCCTCGCCCTTCCACCCCATAGCTATTTCTCTAGAGGTTTCCTGGCAGCCACGTGTGTTGTATTTCATTTGTTAATTTCCGTTATCTGTTTACCTTCAGTCCTGTTGAAATAGAGCACACTGTAAAACCACTGGCAGAAATTTGCTTTTTAACCCTTTTACAGGCCCTTCTCCACTCAGCGGCCAAAATGAACTTTAAAAGCAGGAGTCAGGTCTTGCCTCCTGCTTACAGCGCTTCCTGATGCCAACAACCTCGGCATTGTCCCCAGTCCCTCTGGAACATGCATGGGTCCTGGGCTGGGCTCTGCCCAGACATGGCCTGACTTGTTCCTTGGTCCCATTTAACAGATATAGCAGTAGAGGCACAGAGATATAAGTGCATCACTGCATGTCGTCCCATCACCAACATGTAGCGTTCTCCTGTGGGGCCTCCTGTGACGTCACACTGTCTTCTCCACATGGTTTGATCCTGTTGGCTCCTGACTCCAGTGTGGCCCTCTTGCTCTGTGAGTCTGGGTCCCTGCTGTAGGTCCCCAGCCACTCATACAGCTTTCTCTCAGCAGGATTACTCTATGGTGCTGCTCCTTGAGACACTTTCTGTGCCCCCCCCCACCTCTCAGTATCCTCCCCAAGCATCCCCCAGGCTCTCAGTTCCTTCTGGCACAGGGCCCAGTCTGTAGCTGTGTTTATCTTCTCTGGCATTAAAGAGGACCTTGGAGGAGACCCGGTGGCCTTTGTCAGGCTGTCCTCTGTTTCACCGTAACAGTTACAGGATTTTGGGGAGTTCCAGTTCCAATGCATCCACCCTCATCTTTAGATTAGGTCTGAATTTATGGTCCAAACGAAGCATGGTGACCGTCCTCCAACCTCATTCTTTGTTCTTGTCACAGTGGATTTTTAAGGAAAGAAACCCGTTCACTTCTGTAGTCCAGCCCCAGGGAGACAGGCAGGAGGACCAAGCACTCCAGGGTAATCTGGATACAGAACCGCTCTTTCAAAACCAAAAGCAAACAAAGCAAAAGATAATCAGGGCATGATCACTCCCCCACCCCCCAAGAGCTCGCTATGAGGTGAAATTTGTAGGGGTTGGAATGAGCTTCCAGAATCTGCAAGAAGGAAGCTTTGGGGAATTGTTCATGACCCTGGAGTGTGCTACCAGCGCCCAGCGGCACTTCCCCTTTTCCTTTCCTTTCCTTTCCTTTCCTTTCCTTTCCTTTCCTTTCCTTTCCTTTCCTTTCCTTTCCTTTCCTTTCCTTTCCTTCCTCCCTCCCTTCCTTCCTTCCTTCCTTTTTTTGAAACAGAATAGGATTTTTCTCTGTGGCCTTGGCTGTCACAGGAAGTTCTGTAGACTGGGCTGCCCTCAAACTTAGATCCGCCTGCCTCTGCCTCCCCAGTGCTGGGATTAAAGGTGTGCACCACCACTGCCCAGCTATGTTTTTGCACTTTTACATGTAATAAAAAATATTGTGGGTCTAGAGTACTTGCCTGGCATGTATGTAGCCCTAGGCGTGGTGGCGTATTCCTGTAATTCCTGTGCTTGGGAGGTGGAGACAAGAAGCTCAGAACTTCACAGTTCATTCTCAGCTTCCTAGAGTTTGAGGCTACCCTGGGTTGCAAGATACCCAGTCTTCAGACAAACAATACTATAGTCTGGGCATTGGTGGCACCCACTTTAATCCCAACACTCAAGAGTCAGAGGCAGGCAGATCTCTCTGAGTTCGAGGCCAGCCTGGTCTACAGAGCGAGTTTCAGGACAGGCTCCAAAGCAATACAGAGAAACCCTGTCTCAAAAAACCAACCAACCAATCAACCAACCAACCAATCAACCAACCAACCAACCAACCAAACAAACAAAGCAAACATTGTATTTAATGACAGAATATGAAGACAAATTCTAAGTAGTAATAACACCCACCCTAATCTCTTTCTTTCCATTCTACGGCACAGCTTTTGTCATATAACTGAAATTCTTGGTTTTCTTCTGTTTTAGTGTGCGTTACCCATTGTTGCCATGTAGTCTCCACAGCTGTGCTCTTCATGGGCAGATTGTGTCACACCTCACTGTTCTGTGTGTGACTTGTCTGTCCCTGGTTCGTCCCCCTTTCCTGTTTAATTGCAGAGTACATCAAAATGGCGGATCAGTATGTTCCTGTCCCAGGAGGGTCCAATAACAACAACTACGCCAACGTGGAGCTGATCATAGACATCGCAAAGAGAATTCCTGTGCAGGTGATGGTCACGGGGTGGGGACGGTGATGGCCCATTACAGTTCATGATGACCCGATAGGACACAGCAGATTGTTGGGTGCAATGGCTGGTGGGGTCTTGGAGTATCCTTGTTCACTGCCCCCCTCTGTGTTTGCAGGCCGTGTGGGCTGGCTGGGGCCACGCTTCAGAAAACCCCAAACTTCCGGAGCTGCTGTGCAAGCATGAGATTGCTTTCCTAGGTAGAGTGCGCCCTCTCTAAGAGGTGTGGGGTTGGGTGGTGTCAGGTCAGGGTCTCTTTCTTGTGCTGTTCTCCAAAGTGGATGTCACTTTGCTGCCTTGTGAAGGGCAGGGTGGAAGGCAGTGAGTGGGCCAGGCTACGGCAGCAGGAACCTCTGCCTTGGTTACTGCCGTGGAGTGATGCTGTGGCCAGTGACACCCTCTGCTGGCGTTTCCGTTGGTGTGAAGGGACTAGCCAAGCTGGCCTAGGGGTCACATTTCTGAGAGGGCCATATCTTCGGTGGCTTTTTGTAGAGCCAAAGCCCCTCCCATTTTGTTAGGTGACATGACTGTGTCTGATGGCATTTGTGGGTTTCAGGATTTTTATTTGTGGACATGTTGGTCAACTCTGTATGCACACAGGCGGTCCCTATATCCTCAGGTTTTGAGGATCCAAGAACACCCATAGACATCGATGCCCCTTCTATGAAAAGGCATAGCCTTTGCATTTGAGTCATCTCTAGGCTCCTTCTAACCCAGTTTAGCGACCATACTGGGTTCCAAAATACTAATTAGGTAATTATTAATTAGGTAATGAAGACAAGGAAAAAAGTCCATGCAAATTCATTACAGATGCATTTAAAGAAATTTCCCATCTGTGCTCATTGAATGCTCCATGCTGGATTCAGAGTAGAACAGAACTGAGTGTCCCTGCAAAAATGAAGGAACTTCATGGGGGATGCTGGTTGCACAGGCTGAGAGCTCTCCTGTCTGTCACAGGGAATGCACACTATGCCGCGGTCTGGCTCTTGTTTGCCTTCCTACAGGTTGTTTTTCCTTCCCAGAGTGAGTCTTGCATCTGCCACAGCTCAGTTTCTCTCCGATCAGGTTATGGTCTAGATGCTGGAAGTTGACCTGCACAGTAGCGAACTTACAGTCCCCGAGTGAGGGAGAGCGGACCTGAGCGCTTTCCTCCGTCTCTGTCTCTTTGCTCTCCCTGGCCCAGTACACTAGGTTGGCACTGGCTCTGCCTGTCAGTGGCTGACTCCATTCACTCTCCTTTCCCTACCTTGCAGGTCCCCCTAGTGAGGCCATGTGGGCTCTGGGAGATAAGATTGCCTCCACCATCGTAGCCCAGACATTGCAGATCCCAACTCTACCCTGGAGCGGAAGCGGTAAGGGATGCAGACCTTTGGGGTGATGGGAATGTGTTTTAAAAATCCTTTCGCTTAAAAGTTTTAGACAGATAGGAACGTGACTTCATTGTAGCAGATTTGGAAAATGTGGGAGGTATGAAAATGAGAAGCAGTTGGGGTGGCTCATGTCCCTAATCCTAGCTCTGGGAGGCTGGGACCACACACAGTTGCAGGGCAGCCTAGGCTACATACAGCGTGAGGCCCAGGCTCAAAAACAAAACACTACCACCACCACACATACACCCGCACAGCAAAAATAAAATAAAACAACAACAAAAAGAAGAGTCCCGTGTGACCCAGCGTTACACACCAAACAATAACAAAAAGAAGAAGAGTCCTGTGTGACCCAGCGTTGCACACCAAACAATGACAAAAAGAAGAGTCCCGTGTGACCCAGCGTTACACACAAAACAATAACAAAAAGAAGAGTCCTGTGTGACCCAGCGTTGCACACCAAACAATGACAAAAAGAAGAAGAGTCCTGTGTGACCCAGCGTTACACACCAGCTGTCTGCGTCTCAGCCTTTTTACGATGAGCTCTAGGATTCTCAGGCGGTCTTACCCATCATCCTCCTGCTTTAGCCTCCCTAGTGGCTGGGGTCACAGGCGTGCGCCCCATGCCTGAAGCCTGTGCCGGATTTTATCATGTGGATAGATTGTGATTTACTGAAGTTTTACAACTTAGGCCAGTTCCCAATTTGTTTCATAATTTAAAAATAGTTCAAGGTAGATGGGGCTTTGGCAGTCCTACAACTAAATATATGTGATTATAATCACCTCTGGATAAAACCCCCAAAGTAGAACTTTTAGGGCCGATTAAAAAACAAGAGAGCTGGGCAGTGGTGTCCCATGTCTAATCTCAGCACTTGGGAGGCAGAGGCAGGTGGATCTCTGTGAGTTCCAGACCAGCGTGGTCTACAAGAGCTAGTTCCAGGACAGCCTCCAAAGCCACAGAGAAACCCTGTCTCAAAAACCAAAAAAATAAAAAAATTAAAAAATTAAAAAACAAGAGAAATGGGGGCTGGAGAAATGGCTTAGTGGTTAAGAGCACCAGAGGTCCCGAGTTCAATTCCTAGCACCAACACGGTGGCTCACAACCATCTGTAATGGGATCTGGTGCCCTCTTCTGGTGTGCATGGAGACAAATCACACACACGCACATATATATGTAAATATTTAAGAACAGAAAAGGAGGAAAGTGTCAAGGTTTTGCTAATTTATTTAAGTTTTACATGTTTTGGAAAGCAGTGATTCCCTGAGGAGTGACTCCCTAGGGTAGACAGGGACTCTCTCTTTCTAGATTCAGGTTTACATACTGCTCGGTGTGTTTCTTTTTAAAGACCTCAAAAACTATTATTTGTGTGTGTGTGTGTGTGTGTATGTGTGTGGTGTGTGTGTATGTGTAGTATATATGTATGTGTGGTGTGTGTGTATGTGTAGTATATATGTATGTGTGGTGTGTGTGTATGTGTAGTATATATGTAAGTATGTGTGGTGTGTGTATGTGTGTGTGTGTACCATGTGTGTGCGGTGCCTTTGGAGGCCAGGAGAGGCCATCAGACCCTTTGGAGCTGGAGTTAGCGGCTGCTGTGAGCTGCCTGACTTGAGTGCTGGGAATGGAACTGGGATCTTCTGGAAGAGCAGCAAGCGCTGGTGACCACTGAACGTCTCCAGCTCTGCATGAGTCCTGCTCAGGGTCCCGAGACACGTGGGTGTGGCTGCGGGGCTGTGTTCCTGCTGTCCTCAGGAGAGCACAACTCTTTGTTCCCTTCAGGTCTCACAGTGGAGTGGACGGAGGACAGCCGGCAGCAGGGCAAATGCATCAGTGTCCCGGAAGATGTGTACGAACGAGGCTGTGTGAAGGATGTGGATGAAGGCTTGGAGGTAGCTGCAGCACGTGCAGGGCCAGCCTGGTGACTGCAGGCCAGCGGGACACAGCCTTCTCTACTGCCTGGTATTGGACTTGTCCCACATTTAAAGGGGCCTGTTTGTCCTTCTCCCTCAGGCGGCCAAAAAGGTTGGATTCCCACTGATGATCAAAGCCTCCGAAGGCGGCGGAGGGAAAGGCATCCGCAAGGCTGAGTGCGAGGAGGACTTCCCGATGCTCTTCAGACAAGTGCGTACTCTTGCCTGTGTCCCCTGTCTCCGCCTCAGTCCCTGGCTTCCTTGTCTTGGGTTGATTCATTCCATTGCTGGCTGATTGATTTGATTAGCAATACCATCTTTTTCTTATTTGTTTGCTTTGTTTTTTGAGACAGGGTTTCTCTGTGTGTAGTCCTGGCTGTCCTGGAACTCACTACCAGGCTGGCCTTGGAGCAATACCCTCTTAAGCGGAGATGACATTTGCAGGAACTGGGTCTATATAGCTGGGTTTTGTTGTTGTTGTTGTGTGTGTGTGTGTGAGCATGTTAGTGTTAGGGTTGAAGAAAGTCAGAGGACATCCCCAGTTGTCCATCCTCCACATGTTTGTGACAGGTTCTCTTATTGTTTTTGCTGCTGCACAGACTAGGCCAGTTGTCCCGTGAGCCCCCAGGGGTGCCCCTGTCGCCACCCCATCTCTATAGGGTGCTGGGATTACGGACACACACTACTATGTATGCAGGTTCTGGGGATTTGAATGCAGTTCTCACCACTGAGACCCCTCCCAGGGTGCGCTCTCTCCCTCCCTCTCTCCCTCCCTCCCTCCCTCCCTCCCTCCCTCCCTCCCTCCCTCCCTCCCTCTCTCTCTCTCTGTCTCTCTCTCCCTCTCTCTGTCTCCCCCCCCCCCAGTGGTGGTGCTGGGGTGGGAACCCAAGGGCTCATACCTTCTAGGCAAGCTCTCTGCCACTGAGCCACACACCCACCTTGTGTTGTGTTTTGAAGCAAAGGCACACATCATTGCTCACAGAGGCCCATGGCTCCTGCTCTCCGTTGCAGCATTTCTTCAGATGGGCAGGGTCTTGTAGTCTCTGAAATGGTCGCCTCTCTGCACAGGGTATTTTGTAAATCTTACAGTTTGGGGATTATGTTTTCAAGTGTCAGGATATAGAGTTTCTGTGTGGGCGTGGCTTCTGTGCTTGTTTATAGCTGGCTTCCCTCTGTTAATACCGCCTTTCATCACAGTGCATTCAAACCCGATACTGCCAGGCTGCAGGCACCTAACGAAGTGTGTGTGTGTGCGCGCGTGCGTGTGCATGTGTGTGCATGTGTGTGCGCGTGCGTGTTTTGGCTTTTCCAGGCAAAGTTTCTCTGTCCTGGCTGTCCTGGAACTTGCTCTGTAGACAAGGCACGGATCATACCAAGTTCCACCCAGTGTGTCGTCCTTAGGATGTAGGATTGTTGGGGAAATGTTACCCTTTTAACAGTGTTTGAGTTAAAAACAATGAGAAAGTATAGTATATGTCCTCGGCAAGAGCCCCTACCCATATCATTGCTGTTATCTAATGTCCTCTTCTGAGAACTTCCAGAAATTTCCCGAGTTGGAGTCTCCTGGGATCAGCCGTCACCTGTGCTTTCCCCGCAGGTGCAGAGTGAGATCCCAGGCTCGCCTATCTTTCTCATGAAGCTGGCCCAGAATGCACGGCACCTGGAGGTCCAGGTCTTGGCAGATCAGTATGGAAATGCGGTGTCACTGTTTGGACGAGACTGCTCCATCCAGAGGCGGCACCAGAAGATTATCGAGGAGGCGCCAGCCACCATCGCCGCTCCAGCTGTGTTTGAGTTCATGGAACAGGTGCCTTTGACAGAGCTGGGCTTGAGGCACCTCAGAAGAAGCTGGCTATGGGATGGTAGCCGGAAGATGTGGATGTGGCAGAGAGTCCGTGTGTGTGTGTGTGCGCGCGCGCGCGCGCGCACGCGCATGTGTGCATGCACACACGTGCAAGAGAGAGAGAGAGGTCGCAGCATGGCACAGATGTGTTGCTCACTGGTCACTGCGGGCTCCCAGGTGGCAGCACTCAGAACGCACTGGGGAGAAGTGGTGTCGCCACTGATAATGACTTTAGAGCTGCTGGAAATGCTTGACTCTGTCTGTATCTGCAGTGTGCTGTCCTCCTGGCCAAGACGGTGGGTTACGTGAGTGCTGGGACGGTGGAATACCTGTACAGCCAGGACGGCAGCTTCCACTTCTTGGAGCTGAACCCCCGCCTGCAGGTGGAGCACCCCTGCACAGAAATGATTGCAGACGTCAACCTGCCTGCTGCACAGCTGCAGGTGAGGACCTGAGGACGGCCCCAGGGCCTGGCGAGCGCTTCCCCAACTCTGCTTTTATGTAAAAGGAGGAAGGGTTTCTTTTTTCACTCTGTGTCATAGGGAGTCACGCTTTAGACTTTGAAGGGGTTATTACGTATACAGCAGATGGGAGAAGGATAAAGCAGCAGGACGATGGGAGAGCGCTAGACCAGTCGCATGGGCCATCAGGCAGGACACCCTGGGGAAGCCTAGGACCCAAACAGCCTATGGGAGCATTTGGCTGCTAAGAGGGTCCTGGGCAGAACATCTTCTCCCAGCCAAGGCAGCTGTCCCCACCCCAGGGAACAGTGTGAACTACAGCCCAGGCCTTTCTGTATTTCAACGTGAACAGTAGCTCAGGAGGCTCTCGCTTCGGGAAGGTGATGCTCAAGGATGCTGGTATCGCTTCCACTCTTTACTTTCCTTCTGTTCTCAAGGCCACAGTGACCTCACTCTTTGACATGGTTAGCATGGCTGGGCCTGGTTAGCATGGCTGAGCCTGGTTAGTGCAGAGTTTATCCTGACCTAGCCTGCATGCCAAGGAGCCAGGTACTGAGTAGGAACATAAATTTACCACAAGGCTTTGGGGAGGGCCTGCAAGGCCCCAGCACGGCACAGTTTCTTACCTGTGTTGGGGGTGTGTGGCCTGACTTCTGGGAGAGAAAGAGGCAGAGAGGGATAGGAAGCAACAAGTGGGACTGAGCCTTTGTGGCTGGTCTCTGAATACTGCATATAAAGGCATGCAGTGTCTGGGTGTCTGGGGCAATGTCACAATGTAGTTGTAACCCATCGGAAATATAGTGTTTAATTGATACACCGTATTAAACGTTTCTAATTGTCCCAGCAGTTCCCTTTATGGAAGTTTTTATGTCGTTTTTACAAATGCGATCAACCCGGAGATATAGTCCCTTTCCGTGTTGTGTGTACTCTTTTTTTTTTTAAGATTTATTTATTTACTACATATACACCAGATTGAATTGTAGATGGTTGTGAGCCACCATGTGGTTGCTGGGAATTGAACCCAAGACCTCTGGAAGAGCAGTCAGTGCTCTTAACCTCTGAGCCATCTCTCCAGCCCCTTGTGTGTACTCTTTTAAGTCTGGAATTCACCCAGTCTTTTCTTTCTCATTCTTTTTGGGGGGTGCTGGTCATGGGACCCAGGGCCACATGTGACATCAGTGGTTGTTTTTTAAGACTTTGATTGACTGACGTGTGGGATGGGTTTTTCCATTTAGATCGCCATGGGTGTGCCCCTGCACAGGCTGAAGGACATACGGCTTCTGTATGGAGAATCCCCCTGGGGAATGGCCCCCATTTCTTTTGAGAACCCTCTGAGCCCTCCCAGTGCCCGAGGTCACGTCATTGCGGCCAGGATCACCAGTGAAAACCCGGATGAGGCAAGTGTGGGTCCCCTGTGTTTCCAGAAACACAGACTCTCAGATAGACTCTCAGATAGACACGCCCACAGCGGTGAGTTGTTTGTTGATGCCCCGCCCGCAGATAGACATGCCCACAGGCAGACACACCCACAATGGTTGCAGTTGTTTGTTGATGCCCCACCCACAGATAGGCATGCCCACAGATAGACATGCTCACAACCATTGCAGGAATTGTCTGTTGATGCCCCTGAACTTTTGCTTGTAGTAGGCTTTCCCGGATTGTCGCAGAACTGAATCTCCACGAAGACGCAATGTACTCGGAGTAACGACTGCTGTCTTATTTATTTATTTTTCTGTCTGTGCTCCAGGGTTTTAAGCCAAGCTCCGGCACAGTCCAGGAACTGAATTTCCGCAGCAACAAGAATGTGTGGGGCTACTTCAGTGTAGCGGCTACTGGAGGCTTACATGAGTTCGCAGATTCCCAGTTTGGGCACTGCTTCTCCTGGGGCGAGAACCGGGAAGAGGCCATTTCGTCAGTATCTCCTGCTTAATTCTCTTCCCTCTCTGTCTCTGCCTCCCCTTCCCTCCCCTTCTCTCCCTCCCTCCTTCCATCTCTGCCTCCCTCTTTAAAAAAAAAAAAAGATATTTTATGTATACAGTGTTCTGCCTGCATGTATGCCTTCAGGCCAGAAGAGGGCACCAGATCTCATTATAGATGGTTGTGAGCCACCATATAGTTGCTGGGAATTGAATTCAGGTCCCCTGGAAGAGCTGCCAGTGCTTTTAACCTCTGAACCATCTCTCCAGTCCCTCCTTTAAGAAAAAAACACTCAGAAGTGCTGTGTACAAATCTGATCACCTGAGTTTAACCCTAGCTCTCACAAGTCAGCGGAAGGTCAAGAAGAAAGTCTTTGTGTTGGAGACGATGAAGAGCAGAGAGCTCACCAAGGCCACTGGGTCTTGAGCACACAAGAGGTCTAACTTTAAGTAGACACAAAACTATTCAATGGTGTCTAAGGGTGCCAAGATCTAGGCTCGGAGGAGGCAGAGACACCATAAAATGTCAACCTCATAAATAGTTCCATCTTCACTCTGAGACTTGTTTCTTCTGGGGGTGTCCTGCTGCTCCCTGGTCTCCACCCCATACCTGTGACAGTGGCCTATGTTCTCTGCTTAGTCAAATCCCATCACAGTAGTTTCTTCCGACTGAGAAACTCATGTTAACCAAGGACTCCCCTGCCGCTTCTCTTAAATCTCACTGCCTTGACATGGGCTCAGGAAGGAAATATCCAGTTTGTGTTGTAATTAAACATCCCCATGCAGCTAGTTAATCACTCCCCAGAGTGAAGAGCCCAGAGACATTGGGGATTGTTTCATTAAAAACAACAACAACAACAAAATAAAACATTAGACTAGGGGGCTGGAGAGATGGCTCAGTGGTTAGGAGCACTGACTGCTCTTCCAGAGGACCTGGGTTCCATTCCTAGCACCCACATGGCAGCTCATGGCCACCTCTAACTCCAGTTCTAGGGTACCTGACACCCTCACCAACATGCAGGCAAAACACCAGTGCACATTAAAAAAAATCATTAGACTGGCCCTGGGTGTTTAACCATGAATTAATTTAGTTCAGTGTGACAGTTTGATGGTGGCACACCTCTGTCCGCTTAAACTAATTCATTTTAATCACGTTCTGTGGCGAACTGAAGTCTTTGGAGAGTGTGGAGGGAGATTTGTAGCAAACCAGACTTAATTAACTGGAGGAGGTGGACCCAGCATTTGCCCAGTGAAAGCCCCGAGGCAAATCTCTAACTGTGGTGCTGTGTGCAGCTGCCTCGGACTTGGGAGGGAAACTCCAGCTTTTACTGCTGTTAGAATCTAGCAGAGGGGGAAGCACTTATCTCGTGTTCTGTGATTGGCTCTCCCATGTCAGTGCTAGAGGCAAGCCACCTGGGACAAGTTGGTCTCCTTCAGTCATGTGACCATGCCACATTCAAGTCCAGGTGCTGACACTACACCTGTGGCCTGTTGACATCTTCATTTGACCTCACTGTATCTTTGTTTTCCTCATGGCTAAAACCTAGATGTTATCGATTTCACTCCATAGCTGCTTGTGGCGCGTGGTGACACTGTCACTGGTTGGAACCTTCTCTCTAGGAATACGCTCAGCCTAGTGCCTGCCCCCAAAAGCATTCACTGCAGGCCCTCAGCCTTGCAGCTTGCCAAGCTGCTGAGGCAGGGCAGCAGACACACCTGCCAGGGGACAGGCAGAGTGGCTCTCCTGAGGACAGGAGACTTGAATAAGCCAAAGGCAGCCAGAAAGACATGCCCCTATTTATGGATCATTGCATATCAGGGCAGTTAGGGATTAGGCCCCAGGGCCTAATCACACACAGCAGCTGACGTGTTGACCTGAACTGCTTTACACAGAGCATCTCTTTGCAAACTTCATACTGCAAGTGACAGGGTTATCACCCCATTTTTTTCAGATGAGGTAACTGAGGCTGGGGTTAGTTTAGCTATTCATATGAGATCACTCAGCCAGTTCATGTGGAGCAGAGACTGAGAGCCTAGTCACCCCACCCAGAGGCTCTCAGGTGCTCCGAGAAACACATCACAAATGCACACAGGAACTGTGGGTAAGTGTGGAAAGGAATCATGTCTTTTCTCTCCAGCAACATGGTAGTGGCTTTAAAGGAATTGTCCATCCGAGGTGACTTCCGGACCACTGTGGAATATCTTGTGAACCTTCTGGAGACTGAGAGCTTCCAGAACAACGACATCGACACGGGGTGGCTGGACTACCTCATCGCTGAGCGGGTGCAGGTAGGAAGCCGCTTTGCCTGCCCTGGGGTGGCTGAGATCCACACTTCCCGCAGGTACCGAGACTTGGAGTCTTTCCTAGGCAGAGAAGCCGGACATCATGCTCGGGGTGGTGTGTGGGGCCTTGAACGTGGCAGATGCAATGTTCAGAACCTGCATGACGGATTTCTTGCACTCCCTGGAAAGGTAGGGCGGACAGTTCCTTTGTTTCCCTCCTGTGATGTGTGGGCAGCGCGGAGGGCAGGATGGGCTTTTTGTTATGTTTGAAAATAGACTCTCATTAAGTAGTCCATGTGGCTGGTACCAAAGCTGGATCCTCCTGCCTCTGCCTCCTGAGCACTGGAATCATACTTATGTGCCACCATACCTAGTGGGATGTGCTTTGAGGGTGACTCCATCACCAGGGAGCTAGGGTGCCTCTCCTTGGAGCTTACCTTCAACATTCCATGGATAAACATGTACTGCTTGGAAGAGACTGGGGGTGAGCTCAGAGAGGTTTTTGGGTGTGGAGGGTCCATAGGGTGCGGTGAAGCCTGCAAGGCAACTTGTGCCTGGATCATCGTTTGGGAGGACTGTCCTGTGTATTGTAGGGTGATAGCAGAATCCATGACTCCTGCCTGCTAGAGACCAAGGGAGGCTCATCCCTGAGTGTCCCAGCAATAAGAACGAAGTGCCCTCTCTTGAGAAGTATCGTGACAAAGAATGACGTCCCCACAGAGTGTCAAAGAATAAATAGTAGTGCTTGCTCACCGCCTTTGAGTGACAGTACATTCACAGCTCATGTGCTAAAGGGTGGCAGGCCCCCCACTCTCCCCCGTTTATATTTTTGTGAAACAGTTTGGGTATGTATCCCAGACTAACTTATCCTCCTGCCTCAGCCTCCCCAGTGCCAGGCTAATAGACACAGGCCACCACAACTGACTTGCTTACCCTCCTGTCCTCCCCTCCCACCACACCTGACTTCCGTGTGGGACTCTCCTGAAAAAGCCATCATTCAGGGTTTGAAGTCATTTTCAAATGTCCCATTCTTCATGGGTGCCAATTCCTCTCTAGGGTCCGTGTCCCACACCTTTGATAAGTCTCTGCTCTGCCTGGTTTGATGATTCTATGAAGAGCAAAAAGCTAGTTAACCAAGTTGGGAGGTGGTGGCACACGCCTTTAATCCCAGCACTCGGGGAGCAGAGGCAGGTGGATCTCTGTGAATTCAAGGCCAGCCTGGTCTACAGAGCAAGTTCCAGGATGATGCTGGGGTAGAGCCCAGGACTTCACACTTAGGGGCACCCACTCTTCAACTTTCTGGGGGACATCACCTAGCCCAAGAGGTGCTATAGGGATCTCTGTTCTTTCTTGGACTGATGCCGTATCTGTCTTCTCCATCAGGGGCCAGGTCCTCCCAGCTGATTCTCTGTTGAACATTGTGGACGTTGAGTTGATTTACGGAGGTGTCAAGTACGTTCTCAAGGTAAAGACACATCCTCTGTGTTCCCAGACGTTCCCACCATTTTGAGCCTGACATCTGGGTACATGGAGTGGAGTCTTCATTTGAGAGTCTGAGCTGTGTGTCCCTCAGGACTCTCTGTAGTCCATGTCATTGAATCCTAAACACTCATCTTAGGAGAGGAAGGCCAAGTGGTACCCAAAGAACGCTGAAATGTATTTCCCTATCTTTTATTGCAAAACATTTGTCTGTGTGTGAGTTAACACCTGTGTGCATGTTATGAAGACATGCTGAATACTGGCCAGGTTTGGGCTGGCATTTCATTGTAGTAGAAGTGTAGAGCCGGGTTGGAGCTCACTGTACACAGCTCCCTCCAGTGCCCCTCTGGTAAGCCACAGTCCATATTCAGGATTTTATAGAAGAATACCATAGACCAGGGGCTTGTAAGCAACAGATGATGTTGCTCAGTTCTGGAGACTGGGACATCTAGGATCAAGGCACAGGCCAGTTCAGTATCTTCTGAGGGCTCATTTCCTGGTTTTTAGTGGATGCCTTTTTGCTGTGTGTCTTCGTGTGGTACAGAAGAGGGAAGGGAGAGCTCTGAAGTCCCTTTAATAACTTTTAAATTGAATTTGTTTATTCATTCATGGTGTGTACATATGTATCTATGAGAGTACAAAGTGTGTGTGTGTGAGTACAGCAGTGTATGGGTAGGTATGTGTGTGCTTGTGTGTGTCTGTGTGTAGGTATGTATGTGTAGGTGTGCATGTGTGTGTAGGGGTGTGTGCACATGTGTGAAGGTGTGTATGTGTGCAGGGGTGTGTGTGTGTGTGTCTGTGTCTGTGTCTGTGTATCTGTGTAGGTCAAAGGTAGCTTTTAGGAGTTGATTCTCTTCCCACCATGTGGATCCCGGGGATCAGCTCGATGGCAAGTGCCTTCACCTTCTGTGTCATCTCATGACCCTGGGTCCCTTTTATAAGGTGTTAAGAAGGCTCTGTCCTCATGAGGTGTGCACTTGAACCAGGGTTCCCACTTCCGACTAAGCTCTCCTTTGAGGCTTGGTTCCAGCATGGGAATTTGGGAGGCACACACAGTTTAGTGGACCAGATCCCAGGTGAAGCCTCCACTGCGGCCTCACCCAGAGCACAAGCCGCAGTCCCTGCCAGCCCTAGTAACACCTGGAAACAGATCCCAAGGAAACCCAGCTCACAGGGCGTGTGTCTGCAGCCTGAAGCCATTTGTCCACATCCAGGGCAGAGTAGACAGCTGGCTCACACTCATCATCACAGGGACACCAGGGTTCTGATGTCCCCACAGGTGGCCCGGCAGTCCCTGACTATATTTGTTCTCATCATGAACAACTGCCACATCGAGATTGATGTCCACCGGCTGAACGATGGGGGGCTGCTCCTGTCCTACAATGGCAGCAGTTACACTACATACATGAAGGAAGAGGTGGACAGGTGCGTGAGTACTGTGGCCCGGGAAGCATGGAGGATGTACTGCTTTCTCTGTAGGAGCTAAAATGCAAAGCTGGCCTCCGTGCAGGCCTGAGGTTCCGGCTAAAGCCTGCTTTGGTTCATTCTGGGGCATTCTGAGAAAGTCTCCATCCTGGCTGGAACTCCATGCACCTGGCCGGTGTTTGAGGGTGGGGGTTCCCAGGCAGTTCCCATTTCTAGTTACCAGAGGATTCAGGGACAAACAGGACATGACAACCAGAGCCACTGTCCCCAGGGTAAGTGAGGAGGCACCAGCTACTCTAGGTCTGAGCTACAGGACCCATAGACCTGCAGGATGAGCATAGACTAGATCCACCATCCAGCGGTTGGCCACTGAGCTACCGTGGACGGTAGTGCTTGCCTAGGGAGGAGGATGGCACCTCTGATGTCATCACTCCTGGGCTTCCAGCCTATGGCAGAAGATGAAACACTGAACAGACAGTGGCAGGAAGTGGCTGGCTTTGTGTCCTGTTGGGTGGAAGGATGCTGGAAGCTCTAGGCATGGTGCATTGCAAGATGGGTACAGATAGTTCCAGCTCCTTTTTGCCTGACCATGCTGAGGTCATAGTGATACGTGGCTGACCCAGGCAGAGGAGGCCACTCAGACCCTGGCAAGTGTGGAGTGTGTGCATGGGTTAGAGCCCACTCCCGGAAGTTGGGTCAGTGAGGGGGACCCCGTTCTCAGTCCCCTATATTTTAGAAGAAAGTAGGTTAGAGTCGTACCCCAGTGTCACTTACTCTGCCTTCAAATCATGTTCTATCTGCTAAGAATATTCAAGATTCTTGTAGGCTCCGCCCAAAACTGACTTCCCCAGTTCAGTTAAGGAAGGATTTAGAATCGGGTGAGGGTTATTGAATAGTATTGATTGACTGATTGCCCTGTGCCAGGCTCTTGGGGATTATGTCAGTAATAGAAACTAGTTTTCAGCCACAGGAAATAAAGGTCCTAATGCCTCACAGAGGGTGATGGAATGCCCGCCCTAGGAAAGGGGTCATTCCCCTACAGTCTGGCTCCCTCGCTGACTTCATCTGTCTCCCATGTCCCTCTCTCCATGCCCCCCCCCCCCCAGTTACCGAATCACTATCGGCAACAAGACCTGCGTGTTTGAAAAGGAGAATGACCCCACAGTCCTGAGATCCCCCCTCGGCTGGGAAGCTGACACAGTACACGGTAGAGGATGGAGACCACGTGGAAGCTGGGAGCAGCTACGCTGAGATGGAGGTCAGCCTTGGGAATGTGGGTCTGTAGCCCGGAAACCCTGCCCCTCAGCCATCAGGCCTCACCTCTGTCCCTGGCCTGTGAGGGTCAGCCTAAATGTGTAGTAGTCAATGAGTATGTTTAAAAATAGAGTCCAGACCACCCACATCTCTTGGAAGGAGTAAGAACTGCTTAGTAAGCCAGGCGGTGGTGGCACATGCCTTTAATCCCAGCATTTTGAAGGCAGAGGCAGGGGGATCTCTGTGAGTTTAAGGCAAGCCTGGTCTACATAGCGAGTTCTAGCACAGCTTCCAAAACTACACAGAGAAACCCTGTCTTGAAAAACAAAACAAAAACAAAACAAACGAACAACAACAACAAAAAAAAAACCCTGCTTAGTAATGGTGGTGACAATGACTGAAGCCACGACCAGAACTGACCAGAACTGACCATGCACTGAGCGTCCAGTGGGCGCTGATCTAATGTGATGAGGATGGACCCTGAGACCTCCAGCACACTAGGCAAGCATGCTACCACTGAGCTACACCCCAACCCCGTCTTTGCCTTCATAACCTCAGCAAGTTGATGAGGTGGGCACATGTGTGGTTCCCGTGTCATATGCATGAAGAGATCAGACCCAGGAAGGCTAGCTAAGTCTGCTGTTGCCTGCGAGCACACAGAGCCACCCTGCAAGCCTGGCCTCCCCTCTCTGCTGTGAGAAAGGCGAGTGGCTCATCAGGAGAACTGTCCTTCTCCACTTCAGCTATTCTCGGTGAGGGAGGGGACTAGCTTCCCGTTTACAGATGGAGACATCCAGGTTCAGAGACAGGAAGGCGGTTTTTGGAATTCACGGAGGTGATGGATGAGGGGGACAGCCAAACAAGAAGCGGCATGGTACCACGGTCCACCGTTGGTGGTCGCAGATCTCATGTCTTTGGCATCTTTCGACACTGGGTTAGGTGAGCGAGTTGCAGGGTAGGTTTCAAGCAGGTGCTTCATTTTACAAAGCTCTCTCTAGAGGGCGCCCTCCACCATGGGCATGATGCTAAATGTCTGTTTTAGACAGCCGGGGTTGTGGAGGGAGGCTGAGAGTCCCGTGTTGTTCAGAAATGGTGTATGTTCTGAGAAATGTGTCCCCGGACAGCTTTGTCATGTGGACACTGTAGAGTGTATTTGCACAAGCCTGGAAGGTGTCTTTTAGTCACTTGAGGTGTTGACATGAGCTCTAAGCATGAGATGGAAGGGGCTGGCGCCAACAGTATCTCAGCATTACGTGTGAGTACTACACTGTGCTTCCCAGACGGCAGTGCGACAGCTCATCACACTAGCATCACCATAGTTTGGACATGGCTATGGTGTCATTAGGTCATCAGTCACTGAGTCAGCTTCCTTATAGTCTTGTGGCACGGCCATCATCTATGTAATCTCTCATTGACCAGCAACATCATAGTATGTACGTGACTTTATACTGACCACTGGAGGTAATAGTACTTAACAGTGTTTCTGAGGGACAGGCTTTCCTTTGAAAATAGTCAAGAGGGGGCTGGAGGTGCAGCTCGGCGGTAGGGTGCTTGTCTATCATGCATGAAGTCCTGGGTTCCATCGCCAGTACCACAAATCAAAAGGAAACGGTTCCCATGGCTGTGTAATGGGTGGCACATACACCAGCCTCCCTGGCTGGCCTCGTAGATGGAGACCATTCTCGGATGGCGCCCGTGCCTGGTACACAGCAGGGTGGAAGGAATGACAGGTTTCTTGTCTCATGCTTGAGTGGTACCCAGAGATTTGCTGTCACTGGATTGCATCCCCTGCTCCACAGTCACTAGTTGGGGGTGACTCGGGGTGGCAGCACCAGGGCACTCTGACCTAGTCTTCTTTCCTGCCAAACAGGTGATGAAGATGATCATGGCCCTGAGAGTGCAGGAGAGTGGCCGGGTGAGGTATGTCAAGCGCCCAGGGGTCGTGCTGGAGGCTGGCTGCGTGGTGGCGAGGCTGGAACTCGATGACGCCTCAAAAGTGCATGCAGTACGTAACACGTGGTCCCAGCATCTCTGGCTGGCTCAGGATCTCCCACTGTGTCACGCTGTTCAGAGCGAGCAGACCCGAGTCTCTGTCCCTGGGCTTGTCTGCATCATCTGTAGGCACACTGGGCCCTGGTGACCGTGTAATGTGGAGGCCCCTGGCAGCCATGTCCCCTGTCTTCTCCAATCCCTCCACAGCTCTTCATCCTCTTGGAGCGAAGCCCAGCTTCCAAGAGCCAAGCAGAGCTGCTGCCAGTGACCATTAGGCTTTCCCTTCTGTCACTGTCCCCAGCTTCAGGAGTCCACACAAGCCTCCCCCTGGAGCCTGCTTCCTGCAGCTGGAAGGACCTGCCCCAGGCAGTGCCTCAGCTCGCGCTCACCCTACATGGTTGCTTTTGCTTCTCACCCAGCCCGTGAAGCTGCTTTTGTTTTGTTTTGTTTTTCTTTCAGTTCTGGGGGTGAACCCAAGGTCTTTATCATGCATTGAACTGTATTCCAGCCCTTGGATTTAAAAATTACTTTATCAATTATTGTTATTATTATTATTATTAGTGTGTGTTTGTGTGCCATCATGTGTGAGTAGAGGTCAAGGGACAACTTTGGGGTGTTGGTTCTCTTACTGTGAGTTCAGACTTGTATGGCAAACATTTACCTGCTAAGTTATCTCACCACCGATATATACATACACATATATATTGGACAAGGTCCTGCTATGTAGCCCAGGCTGGCCTTGGCCCAGGCTGGGTTTGAATTCCAGGTCCTTCTGTCTCCACATTCCAAGTTGTAGGAGTATACCATCGTGCTGGGATCCGTGAGCCATCTGGGACTACCTTTAAAATATTATTTTATGTGCCACGCGGTGGTGGTGCATGCCTTTAATCCCAGCACTCTGGAGGCAGAGGCAGATGGATCTTTGTGAGTTCGAGGCCAGCCTGGTCTACAGAGAAAGTTCTAGGCCAGCTAGAGTTACACAGAGAAGCCCTGTCTTAAAGAATTATTGTTTTGTTCAATTAATATGTGCTATATAAGCCAGATTTTATATTTCATACAGCTTTAGACTTGCAGGATTACAGATCTTCCAAAGGGTTTTCATATTCCATGCACCCAGTTGTCCTGATAGTAATTCAACAATATTTATTAGTAATTACTATTCAGGTAATTTATATTGTTATCATAATAAGATCCATTAGTCACAATGGACTTCTACTGATGTGTTATTAACTAACATACATAATTTACTCAGAATTTAGGATTGTGGTTAAATATATATAGCTTACTCTCTCTCTCTCTCTCTCTCTCTGTCTCTCTCTCTGTCTCTCTCTCTCTGTGTGTGTGAGTGTGTGTGTGCGCGCTGGCCACCATCTACCATTGAGCTCCCTGCTCCATCCCTGACTTTGTCATTTTGAAATGGGCCATTCCGGGTGTTAGGCCTACATTGTTGAGCAACCATCACCGCTGATCAGAACACTTTTCTTTCTTACAAAATTAAAGCCGTGCCCACCAGATACCAACTTTATATTCCTTCCTTGCCCAGCCCCCAGCAACCACAAGTCTACATTCCCCCTGGGATCTGACTGCCCTAGGTTTCTTGGAGGGTGGGGATCGTACAGTACTTGCCAGCTTGTCGCTAGCTTATTTCACTTAGCATATATCTCAGTGGTAGAGTATATGCATAATATGTCCAAGGCCCTAGGTTCAAGTCCCAGTACCACATACAAATAAATAAATAAATAAATAAATAAATAAATCGGGGCTGGAGAGATGAATCAGTCAATGTGATTAATAACATTTGCTGCTCTCACAGAGGAGCAGGGTTTTGATTCCCACACCCATGCTGGGCAGCTCACAACCTGTGCCTCTGACCTCCACAGGCACTTGCATGCATGTGCACATACCCACCCCCACATGCACACAACTAAAACAAATATTACATTCAAAATAAATTTAGAATTTTAGATCACACTAATTAAGTCAGGCATGGTGGCGCAGGCCTGCAATCGCAGCACTCAGGAGTTCGAGGCATGAGAAGTGTGATTTCGAGGCTGGTCTGTGCTGCCTCAAAACAAAACAGGGCAGGAACCTACAGAGAAAAGCAAAAAGAGAATAAGGAGGTAATCTTTATCAAAAAGAAAATCATGGGCTGGAGAGATGGCTCAGAGGTTAAGAGCACTGACTCCTCTTCCAGAAGTCCTGAGTTCAATTCCCAGCAACCACATGGTGGCTCACAACCATCTATAGTGAGATCTGGTGCCCTCTGCTGGCCTGCAGACATACATGGAGGCAGATGTTGTATTCATAATAAATAAATAAGTCTTTAAAAATAAGAAAAAGAAAACCAGAATAAAAATAGAACGTCCCCTATAATTGTTTGCAGTGTAAGTTGCCAAATTTGTGTCATTTGCAAAGGGGATAATGTGAAGAGCTTGGACCCAGACCTGAATTTAGCAGTGTTAGGTTCCCAGGATGGTGTCTCTTGTTCTTTCTCAGGCTTCGACTGAGTGGGTCGGTGGGGTTTTGGGTCAGTTTTCTGCCCTGTCGTGAGCTGTCCTCGTGTCCCCCCAGGCGCAGCCATTCACAGGGGAGCTCCCTGCGCAGCAGACCCTGCCCATCCTTGGGGAGAAGCTGCACCAGGTGTTCCACAGTGTCTTGGAAAATCTGACCAATGTCATGAGTGGCTACTGCCTGCCCGAGCCTTTCTTCAGCACAAAGGTGAGAGCCGGCGAGCCCCTGGTGTACCCAGGGCCCTGTGCTGAGCCAGGAGGGTTTCCTGCCCGCTGAGTAGCTTCGGGTGACCTAAGTGACCTCTCTCCATTTTCATTTCAATTGTGAATGGGGAGTGATCATTCTGTCTGCCCGCTGTGGCTGTCTCTGAAAACACAAAAAGACAAACAAGAAATAGGTAAAGAAGGAGAAGAGGTTGCTCAGTGGCCCAGGGGTTGGGAGCACGTACTGCTCTTCCAGAAGACCCAAGTTCAGTGGGTTCCCAGCACCCCTTGGGACAGCTCACAAGCATCTGTAACCACAGATCCAGGGTATCAGACACCCTCCTCTGACCTCTGAGGGCACCAGGATTCATGTGCACACCCCACAATGCAGACACAAACACATGCACACAGTTTTAAAGGGACAAAAATAAGCTAAAAAAGATGGGGAAAAAAAGATTTTGGATTCTTCCTGGTGTGCTAATCAAGTGTCCCACGCGCATTAGCTTGTCACATGATCTCATTTGTTCTCCCATGCCGTGCTGGCTGTCCAGTTAACCAGAGGGACACGGGCCTCTCTGTGGGGAAACTTGAGCAACTCCACTCCAGACTGCTGGAAGGTGTGGCCTGCGTAGGTTGAGTTGGGTAGGGTGTCCATGGCAGATGGAGTTGTCCATACATACTTGATGCGGTAGCTGATGCCATTGTCCCTCTGCAGCTGAAGGACTGGGTCCAGAAGCTCATGATGACGCTCCGGCACCCATCCCTGCCTCTCCTGGAGCTGCAGGAGATCATGACCAGCGTGGCAGGTCGCATCCCAGCACCCGTGGAGAAGGCGGTCCGCAGGGTGATGGCCCAGTACGCCAGCAACATCACTTCAGTGTTATGCCAGTTCCCCAGCCAACAGGTGCGCTGCCCAGCCAGCTCCAGCCAGCCACACCTATGCTCGCTCCCTTGTCTGGCCGCTCATAATCTGGGCCAGCACCAAATGTGGTGGGCCCATGGTTTCTTTCTTTTTCTATAGAACTCCAGCCGATTTGATGTGCACCCCAGTCCCCAGGCCTCACTCTAACAGCTCAGGTTCAAGGAGTCAGGGAGAGTCATGGTGCTTATAGAACTAACTGCCTTAGCCCGGGCTAGCTCAAATCGTTTTTGGAAGTCCGGAGCTGTGGGGATGGAAACCATCACTGTATACATCCCCTTAGTACAAAAACTGTTCATTCTCTCTGGCCTGTCTCGTTTATTATGAAGGACGTTTTCCCACCTGCCTTCACCATTCCTTCCTGCTGTCGTCACCCACATCCCTCACGTTCCTTAGTCCCCGAGAAGCTGAGCCAGGCCATTGCCGGAAGTCAGCATCTCTAAAGGTTGAAACTGTTTGTGTTGTTAGCAGTGCTGGGCCTCAGGCATGCTAGGTAAGCACTCTATCACTGAGCTACACCCCGAGCTCCTGAGGGCTGGAATATTGTTCACCATAAAGAGGAATGGTGCTAAGAGTCAGCTCCACATGCACGAGCCTGGTGCTAAGGGAAAGGAGCCAGTCAAAAGCACACAGTGTCCGGAACAGGCAATCAGTGTAGAAAGGAAGTCCGTTAGTCGCTGCCAGGGAAGGGGTGGGGCGTGGGGGGAGAGGAGAGGATAGCGGCACAGTTGAGTGACTCTCTTCTCGCTAAGCCTATACGTCACAGCTGGAGGAGGGACCGGTTGTTTCCCAACCAGAAATAGAGGCTCCATGGAGAGACGGATGCGTTTGGGACTTTTCAGAAATTTCACATTAATGCAAGTTTTATTTTTAGTTTTCATTAAAAATGCCTTTTTTGGGGGGCCGTGAGATGGCTCAGCAGGGAGAGACGCTTGCCAAGCAAGCGTGATGACCTGAGTCAGATCCTCAGAGCCCACATAAGGGTAGAAGGAGGGAACCAACGTCACAGTTATCCCGACCTCCTCATGTGCTAGGGTGCTTATATCCCCCATATATCATGTACACATACCACAGTAATTGTAAAAGGAAACGTGCCAGTCACATGAACTTTAATATAAAGACAGGGCCCTTCTCCATCCTGAGCCCACATTTTGCTGGACAGTCCCTCCTCCCCTGAGTCCTGTCAGAGGGGAAGGGAGGAAACATTTCATTAGCTCATGTCTTTGTGTGACTGTTGGCATTCTGATTTCCTGGTCCCCAGAGAGACATCGAAGGGGTGAACAGGGCTGTTAGGGAGAGGCCAGGTGGCTTGGGTCTTTGAGTACAATCAGGCTGGGACCTCCCTGGGAGCCTGTGGTGGGTCCCTCATGATACTACCCTGTGGCAACTGGATCAGGTGGCTGGCAGTGACCTAATCTGTTTTGTGTTCTTATCTAGATAGCCACCATCCTGGACTGCCACGCTGCCACCCTGCAACGTAAGGCGGATCGTGAAGTTTTCTTCATGAACACACAGAGCATCGTACAGCTGGTCCAGAGGCAAGTGCATCCAGGGGCTGGAGTATCTCCTGCATGTGTGCGTGCATGCGCGTGCACGCAAACATAGAGGGATATCACATTGCATTTTGTTTCAGAAAGGAAGGGAAATTTACAAAAAGTGTTTTTGCAAACATTCTTAAGTTTGACTTCTGAAAACATCTTTCTATGTTACATAGGTCATGGGAAATTTTTGTTTTGTGATTAAAATCTGCTACAACCCACTTTCCTCTTTTAGTAGCTCAACTCTTAAGGTTTTTCCCTTCTCTCTGGGCTTGCCTAGAGGCTTAGTCCTGGGGACCGACCCGGTCTGGACTCTGGATTGATGAACAAGTCACGGCTATATTGACCTGCCTAGCTAGCACTAAGCCCACTCCATATTCCCCTAGGCCTGAGGAGTTGGAGTGTACTCCCCTTTTCCCTCCTTCCTCCCCTCCCCTTCTCCCTCCCCTTCCCCTCATTCCCCTCCTCCCTTCCCACCCTCTCTCTCCCTCCTCCTCTTCTTCCAATGCTGACTGTAACCAGGACTTTGCACATGCTAGGGAAGGATTTTACCACTGAGCTACATCCCAGCTCTTGGTTTTCAGAGCCGGTCTCCCTGAATCGTGCCACCCTCAAATTTGAAGTCCTTGCAGGAAGAGTGCTCTTGCAGGCATGGGTCACCATGCCCGTGCTTCCCTTCTTAAAGCAGTAACAGCGCTAGCTGAGACATCTGGTGTTCAGGAGGCGGTGGGCATGGTGACAGAGCTGATTTTGGTTCGCCAGGTACCGCAGCGGGACCCGTGGCTACATGAAGACGGTGGTGCTGGACCTCCTGCGGAGGTATCTGAGTGTGGAGCATTATTTCCAACAAGGCAAGAGATGCCACCCACCACCCGTGTCGGCCACAAGCTCTGGGCGGGGCAAGCGGGGAGGCGCCGGCCTCACGGTTCTGGGTCTCCTGTCTCCCCCACAGCCCACTATGACAAGTGCGTCATCAACCTGAGAGAGCAGTTCAAGCCGGACATGAGCCAGGTGCTGGACTGCATCTTCTCCCATGCACAAGTGGCCAAGAAGAACCAGCTGGTGATCATGCTGATAGTAAGATGGGGACCCGTGCCCCAGGTGGGGGTGGGATGGGCCGTTTCTCCCTCTCCCTCCCTCTCCTCTCCTTCCTTGGGTTGATCTTGAGCCACATAGGGAGTCATGATGTCAAAATTAATAACAACAACAATAATAAAATGGATTAAGTATATGAGCTTATAAACTAATACATGTTTAAAGCAGTCAAGAGGGTCTGGCACATAGTAGGTGCTTTGTGTCACTGCCTATTATTACAATAAGGTTTTATTGTGCCACCACACTGTAAGCAATGGCAAAGACAAGTAGTTAGGTCAGAAACAAAACACCTGCAAAGCCTAATTCTTTGCTTTCTGGCTCTTTCTTGAAAATAGTTGAGGACTAAGCTGGGATGTGGCTTCATGACAGAGCACTTGCCTAGCAGGACTAGGACCTGGGTTCCATGCCAGAACTGAAAAGGCGGGAAAGGAGAGGAGGGAGAGGAGGAGGAAGGACTTAGCTGACAAAGGCCACTTAAGAAGGAAAGGGTTCATTATGGCCCTCATGAGGGCACACAGTGCATCATCCCGAGACGTCTTGCTGGCTGGTCACTTTGCATCCACGGTCAGGAGGCGGGCACACATGAACGTTCAGCTCACTTTCTCCTTTGCGTTCAGTCCAAGCCCCCACGGGGAATGGCGCCGCCCGCATTCAGGATGGGGATCCCCACTTCAGTTAACCTAACCTAGAAACTTCCTCACAGGCAGGCCCAGAGCTTTGTCTTCTAGATCCTGTCAATCAGGATTAAGTTGAGCATCGCTGACACTTGCATCAGGGACTTTCCAATGGAACAATGACCCAGGAATGAACTTTGCTTCCTAGTCTTGGTTCTCAGTGTGGTTCAGAGGTCATAGGACGTTAGTGACGGTAAAAATAGAACGCAATGCTGTTGTCAAAATTGTACGATACCAGTTGCTTCCTAGACATGAACAAGAAAGTGTATTTTTAAAAATTTATTTATTTTTAATTTATGTGCATTGGTGTTTTGCCATGGGTGTTGGGTCCCCTGGAACTGGAGTTACAGACAGCTGTGAGCTGCCATATGGGTACTGGGAATTGAACCCTGGTCCTCTGAAAGAGCAGTCAGTGCTCTTAATCACTGAGACATCTCTCCAGCCTCTGGCAAGTGTATTTTGAGTTGTTTTATGTAGAAGGTGGTGACCTGGTGTTTTAATGCTCGTGTGTGTGTGTGTGTGTGTGTGTGTGTGTGTGTGTGCATGCTTGAATGCACGAGTCCACAGAGGCCAGTAGAGGGCATTAGATGCCTTGGAGCTGGAGTTACAGCTTAGTAACATGAATGCTAGGAACCTAACTGGGGCCCTTGACAAGAACATTACACGTTCTTTACCGCTGAGCCATCTCTCCAACCTGTACAAAGTGCATTTTGAATGCTGTACCTCTTAGAAAGCCTTAGACAGCACCTGAGCTTTGTGTGCTCCTTGCAGTCACAGGGGGGGGGGTGAGAGCTACTGCTCTCTGATCCTGCCTGGACCTGAGAGGGTCTGAGTGACAGACTGTTCTTGGGATTACACTTGTTATGATTGGAGCATAGCATGCACACAGGTGAGCGGTGACAATCTATAGGTAGCGAGGTGTCTTAGAGGACAGCATGGGCTGATATGGATAGTGGAGGCCAGCGGCTCAGCAAACCTGCTTCACATCACAGATCCAGTGACTGTTTAGGCGTCCCCTCCTCTGAGATGTCCCCAAGCCCCTCTTACAGCGAAGACACAGGAAACACAGGGGCCATGCGCACACAGCACAGTCTGCAGCGGAATGGCTCCTCGCTTGGCAGAGGGATGTGTGGCCAGGGAGATGGCTCAGCAGGTAGAACACTTGTTGCACATATGTGACCAGAGTTTGGACTCACAGCATCCACATAAAAAGCCAACGGGTGTGGTGGCCTACTTGTCATCCCAGTGGAAGCAGAGATGAGGGATCCCCAAGGCAAGCTGCCTAGGGGACTAGCCAGACCAGTGAGTTCCGAGTTCCAAGTTCAGGAGAGACCCTGACTCAGAAAATGCAGTGGAGATCAGTGGAAGAAGACATATGAGGTGGTCTGGTCTTGTTCCCCAGGCATGTGTGCACGTGTGCATGCTCACCCACACATGTAAAGCCCCCTGTACATGGTAAAGGGTTCTGCTGTACTTCTCTTCCCATCGGATGTTGAGGGTGTATGAGTCAGTGAATGAATGTGTGATGTGAGTGAGTGAATGACATGTACCCATGTAAAAAGAGGCAAGGCCTTTTTTTAAAAAGCTGGCTGGATGTGTCCAGAGAGTTGAGATTAGACTGCCACCCCTGACCAGCCAGATGCTGGCCGGATCACTTTAAACAAAGCCAACCTAGGTTCTGTTGTCTTCCCTGAAGGATGAGCTCTGTGGTCCAGACCCTGCCCTGTCAGATGAGCTGACCTCCATCCTCAACGAGCTCACACAGCTGAGCAGGAGTGAGCACTGCAAGGTGGCCCTCAGAGCCAGGCAGGTTGGTGTCAAAGTGTGTTGCCGTGTGTGTGTGTGTGTGTGTGTGTGTGTGTGTACATGTGTGTGCATGTGCATATGTGTGTTTGTGCATTTGTATGCGTGGCATGTGTGTACGTGTGTGTATTTGCCTGTTCATGTGTTGCATTTGTATGTGTGCATGTGTGTGCATTTGCCTGTTCATGTGTGTGTCTGTGTGTTCTCGTGTGAGTGTGCATGTGTATGTGTTTGTACATGTGTGTGTATGTGTGTATGTGTTTGTGTGTACATGTGTGCGCATGTGCATATGTGTGTGTTTGTGCATTTGCATGTGTGTGCATTTGCCTGTTCATGTGTGTGCTGTGTGTTCTCGTGTGAGTGTGCATGTTAGTGTCTGTGTGTGTCCCTCCCAGCTTCTCTCATCTGAGTCCTGCCTCCTATCACCTACAGGTCCTGATTGCCTCCCACCTCCCCTCCTATGAGCTGCGGCACAACCAGGTGGAATCCATCTTCCTGTCTGCCATCGACATGTATGGCCACCAGTTCTGCCCAGAAAACCTCAAGGTGAGTCTTTGGGACCATAGGCTTTTCTTCCCTTCAAGGAGCCCCCAGTTTAGCGACATGAAATTCAAAGTGGCTAGGATGGCCCCAGGGGACACCTGCAGGCTCTGGGAGTTGCAGGCATGGAAACCCGTTCCCAGGATGCACCAGGCAACAGGCTTGAGGCTTTCCTGGCCAGTACAGGGTTTAAATTAAGGTGTTCTGGAACCTTCCAGAGGGCATGAGTCCTTTGTGTGGGGCTGGGGGTGGGGCACTTGGCCTCCTCTTCCCAGGGTCTTGCCAACTTCTAGGCACCCATCAGCATTTGAAACTGGGACCTCGCCCTTGGCACAGTCACCCCCACCCCCCTTACTTGTCCCATCTCCCAAGGCTGTGTGCAAAGGAGTCCCCTGCATTGTGGCCCAGCCTACTTGTGCCTCCTGCCACTACCCAGCTTCTGGGTCAGACCTGCTCATTTTCTGTTTGCCTTTTGGCCCCTTCTGTTTCCCATAGAAATTAATACTTTCAGAAACAACTATATTTGACGTCCTGCCAACTTTCTTCTACCATGAAAACAAGGTCGTCTGTATGGCGTCACTGGAGGTAAGAAGAAGCAAGACATCTGGAGTGTTTGATGCCTGCCCACCGTGTGGCCCAACCCTGAGCTGTGTACCTTGCAAATGTGACCTATTCTCTCTAGGGAGGGTTACTATTCTGCTCTCACAGAGAAATGAATTGAGCTCAGAGTGGTGAGGTGACATTCTCAGTGTCACATAGCCAGAGACAGAATCAGGATTCATACTTTAGCGGTCTTCTTGCAAAATCTGTGCCAGGAATGCTGCTGTGTCTTGGCATCACAGACCCCTCCAGACAGGGCGCAGCTTGAAGCCACACCCCAGTGCCAAGCCAGACATATCTTGTTGTGTGTATTTAGCAAGATGTTCCTGCCTGGAGCAGAGAACACTGCAACCTCCCATGGGGCAGGGAAGGGCTTTTCCCGTGGAGCATCTAATGGGCTCCCTGAATTCCAGAGCCCAGTGGTGTTCACGTCCTCTCAGGACGGCTGTTTGCTTCCTGCAAATAGGAGGTGGCCACTCCTGTCCTCAGGACCCTCCTTAACCCTGGACTGAGTCCAGTGACTGATGGTTTTTTTGAGACAGTTTCCCTGTGTAGCCTTGTAGACCAGGCTGGCCTCAAACTTACAGAAATCCGCCTCCTTACAAAGTTGTCGCTTTGTAAGGAGTCCTTTGAGGCCAGCATGCACATCAGATATTGTTCTGACATGTGCTAATCCCTGGTTGTGTGTGTGAGGGCCTCTTCTAGGATATACCTTTTAAAAACTTTTAGTTAATAAATTCATTGTGTGTGTGTGGGGGAGAGGGCGCATGTACTGTGGGACGCACATAGAAGTTTAAGGTTAAAGGTCGTCTGTTCAGGTGTGGTTCACCCTTTCCACCTTGCCTTTTTGAGGCAGGGTCTCTCATTTCCATGGCCAGGCTGTGTACTAGACTCTGAGCTTCCAGCTGGTTCTTTATTGTAGGGACGCCGGGGTGACAGATGTGTGTCACCACATCTGGCCTTTTCTGTGGGATCTGGAAATCAAATTGGGGTCGCCAGGCCGGCACAGCAGTTGTTTTACCCACGAGCTGTCTCTGTGGCTCCAGGACCTGCTTTCCCACGTCCTAGTTCTGCATCAGCGTATTTATGACTCAGCCTTGTGACTCAGGAGCCCTGGGAATACACACACAGTCTAGGCTCAGTTTCTTGAGAAAACAGAGGGTTTTTTGGGGGAGGGGTTGTTTGTTTGTTTTGTTTTTGTCCCTAAATGGGTTGGGAGCCAAGCACACTCCAGGTCAATGATTTACAAGGACACACAGGACTCTGGTAGTCATGGTGATAACGGTCACGGATCACACAGAATGGAAGGCAGACAGCAAGGAGGAGGGCACATCTGTGATGCTGATGGGGCGAGGGTGGGGCTCCTGGCGTCTTCTGGGAGGGGCATCACAGTGAGTGAATTCCTCTGACAGTCAGTTATGACACATGGGCAATGAAGTGCACCTGGGCAGCTCATGCGACACCGGGTGTGTTTAGCATCCGGGGTTTTTAGTGGGGACTGGGCTCAGTCACCCTCTGCCTGGTGTGTAGTAGTCGAAACTATGAAGCCAAGATCTTGTGTCCATGGAGCATCAAGGCATTTAGGTCCCAGGAGGTTTATCTGAGAGAAGTGGGAATCTGCCCCCAATCCAAGCTCCCACAGCAGCCTCTCCCAGGACAGCACTAAGGCCCGCGTTGCTAACTCCATGGCTCTCCTGTTCCCATTTGAGCTGCAAAGCTCTGCTACCCCATGGGTCAGTGTGGCTGCCGCTCACTTGTGTTAGTGAGAGCTCGGAATGGGCCTTGTCCCCTCTGAGCCTGTGTGTTGTGTACATTACACGCCACTCTAGAGACTTAGTGTGCAAGAAAGAATGTGAAACACCCACGTTCTTTACTAAATCGATTGCGTGTTGAGATGAAAATATCTGGGGTATTTAGGGAAAGAGGAAACGTAGATTTTTTTCCCTAAGTGGCTACTAGAAATTTAAAATTTGTGGCGTGTGTTGTATTTCTGTTGGAGTGGAGTGTACAAACTGTAGCTCATGGGCCATCTATGCCACTACTTATTTCATTAAATGAAATTTTTTTAGAACACAGATACACACACTCACAGCGGAATGGGGGGCTGCAGCAGGACTGTCTCCCCCACTCTGAAATGTTTGTTATTGGTCTCTTGAGAAATCCCCTTTCATGCAGCCCAGAGCACCTGCAGCGGTCCTGTGTACAACCTTTCACCTCTTCAGAGCCCACGGTGACTGCCCACTGTCCCTCTGCTCTGACAGGTTTATGTGCGGAGAGGCTACATCGCCTACGAGTTAAACAGCCTACAGCACCGGGAGCTCCCAGACGGCACCTGCGTGGTGGAGTTCCAGTTCATGCTGCCGTCTTCCCACCCCAACCGGTATGGAGTGGTTTCTCCTTGATTCTTGCCTCACTGTCTCTGGAAGGTTCCGGCAACTCTGTCTGGATGCTGGGGATCCACAAAGGAGATCCTTTCCCACCTGGAGGTTTCCTGCAGCCTTGCGCCCTCGTTTGTAGAATGGAACTAATCACCCATGCCCATCTCCGTCTCCTGTCGAGTGACCCGTGTGTGCTGCCTTAAAAGATGGCAAATGACATGAAATGACAATGTAGAGTCTCAGTCACACAGCAGCAGATAAAGTGCGTGGCGTGGGCCTGCAAGATGGCGACACGGCAAGCCTCACTCATCGTTTAGGAAAGAGAACCTTCCCCAGGTCCAGTTTCCCATATGCCCCCCGAGGGCCGCCATGCAGCAGTCCTTCCCAGGAGGGGCGGGGCAGTTCTGGTCTCTGTGCATATTCTTTTCAGGCTTCATGGACTCACCCCTCCCACACCTGACTCCAGGGGGTCCCTGGGAGCAGTGGCCCTCTAAACCCCTAACAGGCACTGATGTTATCCCAAGGGAGACTTGACGGTAGGAGAGTGAAGGGAGTGGAGGCCTGGGGTGATCCCAGGTCCAAGTTTGCATCCTTCCCAGGTGCCTAGAGCCAGGGCTCTACAGGGGAAACTGAGGCTGGGAGCTTACCCCTCTGTGTCTTTGTTCACCTCTTTGGATTTACCTGAGAACTGTGTTGGGACTGAACTTTGAATGAATCATCCATCCACTCATTCATTCATTCATCCATTCATTCATTCACTCACTCTCTTCCTGGGCTCCTGGTCTACTCCTTGTCCCAAGGATTCTCACATGACCCCTCAGCACCTGCCCTTAGCTGCAGTCTCCGCCTTGTAGGCCCCCATTTCAGACGCCACCTAAGGAAGGCTCTTATCCTGCCTGCCCTCACTCCCCAGGCACCCTTGGCAAGAAGAGCCCTTAGGGCAGAGTCGGCAGCTGCTGCCTCAGCCTCTGTCTCTTGTCACCCCGCAGGATGACCATGCCCATCAGCATCTCTAACCCTGACCTGCTCAGGCACAGCACAGAACTCTTCATGGACAGTGGCTTCTCCCCGCTGTGCCAGCGCATGGGGGCCATGGTCGCCTTCAGGAAATTTGAAGAGTTCACCAGGTATGGCGCAGGAGCTGTGCGGCTTTCCCAACCCCCAGCCATCCATTCATTAACACTTGGACTCAGGGAAACCCAGACACAGGCACAGCAGTTAATAATTCCAAACTTAGTGGAGCCCACTCTCTATGGAGAGATGCCTTGCACAGCCTAGACACAGGGGTGTGGGGGTGGAGAGGTGCCTGGGTCCTGCCTCAGTGAGATGGTGGAACAGATTTAGTAGACATCCTCGGGAAGGCCTCACCCTCTGGGAGGAGCAGATGGGAGGTGGGAAGCGGGAGGAGAGGAGGGAGGAGGAACTGCGATTGGAATGTAAACAATAAATTAATAAAAGAAAAAAAAGAATTACAGACTCCTTAGGGAGCGTTGGGAAAGGCTGGTCCGTGGTCCTAAGGGACATGGCTAGGTAGGAGCCCACAGTTCTGGCACGCTGTTGCACCTCGAGGACTGACCACGCCCTCCTGAGGCAGGAGTCCCAGCTTTCCTCTGGCCCACACCCCCAGGAACTTTGATGAAGTCATCTCCTGCTTTGCCAACGTGCCTACGGATGCCCCCCTCTTCAGTAAGGCCCGCACCTCCCTGTACGCTGACGATGATGCCAAGGTGAGCCCCGTGGGTGGCGCGCACTGGGGTGGGGCAGACTGTGGCCCCGCCCTCTTGCCCCAAGCTCTTGTTCTTCTCCCACAGAACCATCGAGAGGAACCCATCCATATCCTGAATGTGGCCATCCAATGCGCCGACCACCTGGAGGATGAGGCGCTGGTGCCAATTTTCCGTACCTTTGTGCAGTCCAAGGTATCCCAGGGTCGGCTGTCGGTCACCCGCTTTGTGTTGCTATCACAAAATACCTGAGGGTGGGAATAAAGTAATAAGTTCATGGGAGGCTAGAGAGATGGCTCAGAGGTTAAGAGCTCTTACAGGTCCTGCAGGGGATCAGGTCCAGTTCCCTGCACTCACATGACAGGTCACAACTGCCCATAACTGTGGCACACAGATATACATAGGAGCATAACACTCATATACATAAAATAAATCTAATTTTTTAAAGCTTATGCAGCCCACAGTTCTGGAGGCTGCACCAGCAACCGTGTGTGGTTCTCACCACGGCCCTTGCTGCCTCACAGCGTGTGAATGGTGTTGCACCAAGGGGATGCATGCAAGCGAGGGAGGGGCCGCACTTGCTCTTGGTATACCCCCTCCCTGAACTGGCCCTTCCTGTGAGAGCATTGGCCTCTCCAAGGGTGTTGTCTCCAGGACCCACGGCATCACTTAGATGTACCCCCCCAAGCCTTTCACACTGCAAGGGACCACACCTGACAGTTTCCACGGTAACCATGGGCACATGTTTCCATAGTAACCAGGGAGGGGAAGGTTCCTTGGGGAGGGCGCTGAGCACCTGAGGTGGACTGGGGGAGTTTCAGAGGCACAGACCTGGTGTCCTGCCCTAACTCTGCTAGTCCTCGTAGCCAGGGTCCTTGTGCAGAGGACAGGGGTGGACCACAGCCTCTTCAGCAGGGATGCAGGAAGAGAGAGGCTCTCTCTCCCAGGATGACTTCATGATCAAATGACCAGAGTTATACACAGTTGCCTGGTTAGAAGCAGAGATGAGAAGTAGTTTGGGGGAACCAGGAGCTTCTAAAGTGGTCACAGGTGTGTGCAAGCCTGCAGCGGCTGTCCCTTGCAGATGTCCTCACACAGGGCCAGCTATTGTGTCTGTTCAAGACATACAGATACAGACAGGTGTAGCAGAGTTGTGGGTATGGCAGGTCACTTTCCCCTCTGAGCCTCAGTTTCTCTATCTGCGAAATGGGTTGTGTCCTGAGTTTCATCTGCTCTTGGGTTTTCTATACATAGCATCAAGTTCATACTCTTGTACACATCTCTTAACTTGTAGTGCATACAGCATTTTAATAAGCTATAGGTCACCTAGTGTATAGCACAGTCATTGAAAGTGTATAATTCAGACTGGGGATGTAGCTCAGTGGTAGAACTCTTGCCTGGCATACTATAGGTCCTAGGTTCAAATCCCATTACTAGAAAAAAAATCACAAAATGTACAATTTGATGCTGTTTAAGTATGTTCACAGAGTTGCATGGCCTTCATACTACTGTCAGTTTTAGAACATTGCCTCTCTGAAATCTAGAACCCAAAGCCTTCTCACAGCCTTCTCCACAGCCCAGCCTAGGCAGCCACTGACCCACTGCCCTTCTCTGTAGACTTGCTGATTCTGAGTGTTCCCTGCTAGGTGGTCTTTTGACTGGCTTCTTGCATTTATTACACTTGTAGGATTCATCCACATAGCAACATACATCAGGACACCAGCCTTTACTAACCAAATAATATTCCACCGTGCTTGTGGTTTTTAATGCAGAAACACATCCTTGTGGATTACGGACTCCGAAGAATCACATTCCTTGTTGCCCAAGAGGTTAGTCCCGTTCCTTAGTTCATTGTCCTCTCTGTTCTCCAAGCCTCTGGGCCAGATATTTGATATTTATTCTCTAGGGTGGGGTAGAAGCAGTTAGTTTCTAGGGAAATCTTTCCGGATGGCTCATTCTGGAAGTAGACCGAATCGTCTTTATTTAATAGAATAGACGGAGGAAGGGTTCAGAATCTTAATCGCTTCTTGCATGGATTTCTTTTTTAGAGAGAGTTTCCCAAGTTCTTCACGTTCAGAGCAAGAGATGAGGTATGATTGCAAGTGCTGATACTGTCCTCCGTGGGTATGTCACACTCCAGGCCTCCGGGCATGCTTAGAGCCTGAGGTGTGGGCCCTCACGTTTCCCTGGAACCATGCTGCCAGTAGGAGTGTCTCCTGCTGCGAGCTCAGACACACCGGGCTCCCAGTCATTGGATAAGTTTGCATTTGCTGTGTATTCAGACTGGCTTCCAGCTGCCTGCTGTATAAATGAATACCGGAGCACAGCTACAGCCATGTGATTAGACGTCACCGTGGCTTTCACACTGTCACCAAGTCTGCTGTGGTCATCACCCTAAAACACATAGTACCCAGCCCTTTCGGGCTCTGAGCAGGTGGCCACACTCTCAGTGCAAACTCAAGAACCCAGCAAAGTTCAGCATTTTGCATTTTGATTGATTCAGGATCTGCTCACTCAGCTAAACACCATCTTTTTGGATGGGATGTGGTGGAGACGTCTCTCTAGTTCAGTTTCCAAAACTGCCAGTTGGTTCCTTTGGGGGCACTTATTTGTATAAAGAAGTCAGGATTCAGAAGTTGAAGATAACAGACAGCAGCCTCATGACTCTGGCATGTCCTGGGGCAAGCAGGCTGCACCCAGGAGGTGGTGTAGCAATGTCTGTGGCCTCCAAATCTCGTCAGCCTCATGATGAGGTTGCACAATGAATTGGTCATTTCTGAGTACCAGGGGTTGGCAGCATGGAACTTGTTCAGGCGTGTCCTCACAGAGTCAAACCAACTTTCCTCTCTCTGGCCTGCCTACAGTTTGCAGAAGACCGGATTTACCGCCACCTGGAGCCCGCCCTGGCTTTCCAGCTGGAGTTGAGCCGGATGCGTAACTTCGACCTGACCGCTGTGCCCTGTGCCAACCATAAGATGTATCTTTACCTTGGTGCTGCCAAGGTGAGGGAGGGGCTGGAGGTGACCGACCACAGGTTCTTCATCCGTGCTATCATTCGGCACTCGGACCTGATCACCAAGGTAAGGCGGCCCCACTCTGAACTCATTCCTCATGCTCTGGACTCATTCTTCATGCTCTGGCCTCCTTCCCCAAGTCCCCACATGGGCTGCTTGCTGCGGACCAGGAAGTGTACTCTGCACACAGGGCGCTGACCTTGTAGACATCCCAGCCAGTGGCGTTTCAGTCGGATTCTTGTATTCTGTGACATTCTCTGTGTGAGCAGAGCCCGAAGGGATGGAAAGATACTGGTTTTCTCAGGAAATGTCTTGTTTGCTGATTGACCACGAATGATCACATTGATTTTAAAGTCACTTGAGGGGTAGGGAAGATGGCTCACTTGCCACACAAGCCTGAGGAATGGGGGTTAGAGCCCAGAACCCACATAAGAAACTAGGTAGGTGTGGCACCTCCTTATGATCCCAGCAGAGGCTGGGAATTCCCAGGGCAAGGAGGCTAGAGTAGCCGAATCAGCAAATTCTAGGTCCAGTGAGAGACCCTGTGTCAAAAAATAGAGTGGAAGGCTGGAGACACAGCCCAGCTGCTTGTAACTCCAGCTCCAGGGCATCTGACACCCCTGGGTCCCCTGGGCACCTGCACTCACACACACACACACACACACACACACACACACACACACACACTCAGCCTCAACACACATGTGCTCACACATCCTGAGCATTGAGACACACAGGTGCAAACATACATGCATACACCACACACACATACACATACACACACACATATACTTTTAGAATACTATGTGAAAGTACCAAGAATTCTGCTGTGGAGGGGCCGGGGCCAGCCCTACCAGTAACATTGATTCCATCCCGAAATGGAAGGTCAGAGCCAGTGTGAACAGACACCAGGACATTTTTCTTGTGAACCAGGCTCTATGTGAACAAAGACCCATTCACGATACCTGCTATTTACACGCTCATGGACGTACTGTGTGTGTGTGGGGGGGGTGGTTTAAAAAAAGTTAAATCTGCCACTGATGGTTTCTTAAAAAATTACAAAATTACATTTATATGTGTACTTATTGGTGGCGGGAACACTACTTCACGTGTATAGAGAGGTCAGAGAGTCAATTCTCTCCTTCTGCTGTGTGGTTCCAGAGACCAAACTCAAGTCATTAGGCTTGACAGCAAGCACCTGTCCCTGCTGAGCCATCTCCTGAGACGGGAGTCATTGCAATACGGATATGTTTATTTACCAGTGAAAGAAAGAAAGAATTACACAAGCTGGGGGGTCAGAAGCGTGGCAGGCTTCCAAAGAGGGCTTCCTTCTTCTTTCTCTTCCTTTTATCCTCACCTGTGCTAATTTCCTTATCTCCACCCTTATGGATGTGAAGAGTTTTGTAGGCTCACCCCTACAATTCCCCTTTTAGTCTAAATAGAAGATTTAAATTTGATACAAAACTCAAACATATACAACATATATACATAGAAGGTAATAAGCAAGTTATAATCTACTTATTTCCTAAACTAAACATATCTATCTCATCTAAATCCTAAACTTATCTGAAAGGGGTACCTAAGTCTGAACACCTCCTTCTAATCCCAACCCTAAAATAATTGAAAACTAACACTAACAGGTGTAAACTATCCTTCGATATCAACAGTAGGGAAATAGGGCATGGAATTCTCAAAACTATTTCCTGCTGAAATGGGACGATGACAATCTCATGGGGATCTGTGGAAAGAAAATGTTAATGTAACAAGAGTCTTAGGTAGGTTAACTAGTCTCTGATTGGCAGGAGATGCTTGATTGAAGTTCTTGACTGGAGTTCTGATTTTGATTGACGCTCTTATCTGAAGCTCTGATCAGATTGTAGATGATGCACTGTATCAGTTCCTTGTTCTGGAGTTGTGTCGAGTGATGTAGTCCCAAACTGGTTTCAGGATGGTACCTGTCAGGTGGAGTTGATGATTTGGGGCAGTTCAGATGTATCAAGTCGAATCAGGTGGAGTTGATGAGGTGGGGCCCCATTTTCTTTCCAAAGTGTTTGGAGATTGCTGTCAGGAAATTCCTTGTTCTCTGGAAAACTCAAACATTAATGCTAACAAAGAAATTTTCAACTTTTATATGTATGTATACTGGGAAAGGCAACCCTAAGGAAGATAGTAACGAGAAGGAGATTAGACTTTCAGAAACGGAACCGAGTATCCACAGATGACAGTCCCTAATTTTGTATATCAATGGCTCTTTGATATAATACAAAAATTCTGAATTTTATTTTAACAATACGCTTGGGTTTAAAGTAGGAGAGCCAATCCAACTCTAAAGCCAGCTTCAATTAAATGAATTGGGACTAAAGCATAATTAGAAGCAAAGAGAAATGGAAATTATAATAACAAGATAGATTCAGACATTGATACCACATGTTGTATTATTGTATGTTTGATGGTCCTCTGGGTAGCTATTCTTTCTTCTTTAGGTATCCGTACGTCCAGTATTTTTTCGCTGTTTGGAGCTGAGCTTTCCTGTAAAGACAAAAACAAAACACTTCTCTTTCCTTTTATATGGTCTCCTTACACATAGTAGAATATGACCTTGTAGATGAGCTGTCATCTTTCTTCCTCCTGAGGTTTCTTCTGTTCGGATCGAATCTTGATTAATTTTGATGGAATCCAAAGTTTTTCTTCTCCTGTGGAAACAAAAGCAAAACCCCTTCCCCAGTGTAACACATGTCTTGGTTTCCAGACTGAGGTCATATCATCCTTGAAATACACCGGTTGGTTCAGCTCAGAAGTCTTCTCTGTAGTCCAGTGTCTTTCTGCAGCTGTTTGTCCTTTTTCATTAGCATTAAGAAAGTTCAACGTTAGTAATGTATTATGTAACCTGCATTTGGGGGTCTTTGTTCCCCCTGGCTGTTTATGAAGCATTTCTTTTAATGTGCAGTTAGATCTCTCAACCACTGCTTGTCCTGTAGGATTGTGAGGTATACCAGTTACATGCTACATATTATATTTGAAAAACTGTTCCAATTTGCTGGAGACATATGCTGGAGCATTGTCAGTTTTTATTTGTGCAGGTATACCCATAACAGCCATCACCTCTAAGCGGTGTGTAATAACAGAATCAGCCTTTTCAGAGCTGAGGGCAGTAGCCCATTGGAAGCCTAAAAACGTGTCTATGGTATGGTGTACATATTTCAAACTGCCAAATTCTGGAAAGTGAAAAACATCCATTTGCCAAATTTCATTCCTGCAAATACCTTTGGGATTACTGCCTGCTCGTAACAGAGTTTGATTACAGAATGAGCAAGTGGGGCAATTTCTTACTATTTCCTTGGCTTGTTGCCAGGTGATAGAAAAATCCTTCTTTAAACCTTTGCTGTTGACATGGTGTTTCTTATGAAATTCTGAAGCTTCCAACATACTTCCTATTACTAAACGATCAATCTCTTCATTGCCTTGCGCCAGGGGACCTGGCAGACCCATATGGGATCTGATGTGTGTTATATATATATAGGATGAGTTCTGTTTCTGATGGTCGACCAGCATTCCTTGGTCCAGTGTCTGCCTTTGCCACACCTCCTGCAAAGACCAGAAGGGTGAGGCCTTCTGTTCTAAGCATTCCTGGTAGAAGCATTATTTCTAGGAATGCTTTGTCTACAGTTCCTACTTAAATGTCCTATTCTACCACAGTTAAAACATCTAGAGTTTTGATGTCTTTTGAAACTTCTGGAGATTGCTTCCCCAACCAAAGTCTGTATCTCCTCATGGTTAGGCCATTTGTCATCTTGATGCTACTTTAATCCTTTAGAAATGGCCTCTCCTACCCAGGCTCCTGTCTCTGGATTGTCATACTCAATATTAGTTGTATACAAGACCCATTCCTCCAATGGTGCTGATCTGAACTTTAGGGGCCACAGCATCTGTTTGCATTGTGGGTTTGCATTCTCATAAGCCAAAGATTCTGTAAGAAGTCGCCTAATATTTGGATCAGGATAATCTTTGTAAGAATTCAGAGAATCTTTCTCTTGGACCCTGTATCACTTTTGAATATGATTCAACTTTTTCTCCTGGTTCACGAACCTTATTCAACTTGTTCTGTGCCGCTGTTGGGCATAAATAAAATGTATGCTCATCAAAGCCAGCTTGGACCTGTGGGTCAGCAAATTCTCCCTCCCAAATAATCTTACTTTGGGGAGTTTCAAAGCCATCCTTCAAACCTTGAAGTTTGAGGGCCTTGGCTTCCTGTCTCCACAAAGCTTTCCACTGTATTTGGGAAGACTGGTCCAGCACCGCAGATATTAAAGCATGCCAATCTGAGGGAGTGATCTTATTAGCAGTCACCCATGTGCTTAATAACTGCTTCACATAAGGGCTGTGGACCCCATAAGACATTATCGCTTGCTTTATACCTTTCATTTCTTTCATGGGAATAGGTTCCCATTTATGTGTAGTGGAACCAGTTTGGTTCCTCTGCGATGCTGGCCTTTCTGTTATAGTTACTGGAAAGGCCAGTAACTTAGGATGTCTAGTAGCTATGATTCCTTTATTTCCTGGTAGCCTAGCATCTATTGCCTCAGCATCTGCTGTTTCAGACGATGTATCTTCTAAAGATTGAAATTTTGTGACCATGTCATCTCTGAGGTCTTGGATTTCCTGCATTAAAAATTGTTCCAAGTCCTTGGACTGTTCAGTTAAGTGTGATTCCAAGCTTTTCATACCATCCTCCCGTAAAACTCCAAAGGCATCTATTTTTTCTTCCAGAAAACATATTCGGTATGCTAGATGGTCATTATTGTCAGACACAGATTGAATTAACCCTGCTAATTTGGAAAGTTCCTCCTGCCTAGACTTCATCTTAGCCATAAATGCAGTGGACATTGAATTAAATGTGTCTCGAAGGTTGTTCTGATTAAATTCCAAATTATCCGTTTTGGTAACTAAATCCCCTTTTTCATGAATTTTTGACTCTAAATTTGTCTATTATCTGTCTGTTTGCCATGCTTCTTCCATGTGATTACATGTATTAACACACTAATCACAAGCATGGTACACAAATACATATGAAAAATATCATAATTGTCCTTTACTGCATAACCCATGATCTTGTTAACAAAATCTCTAAAATCCTGCGGTGTTAAGTTACATGCCATGCTATAATTAGATGTTCTTACCAACAATTAGTAATTCTTGAATTGGAAAAATCCCCATTAGTTTTGTCTTAGATTAAAATACCTGTAGTTAACCGCGCGTGGCCAGCAGATGGCGAAGGTGTACTGCCAAACACGGCTTCTCCTCGGAAGATCGCTCTTCACCAAAACGAACCTGGAAATGCTAATAACAGCCTGTACAAGATTAACGAACAGATATAGGAAGGGAAAGGCCTGAGGATGTTGAGAGACACAGCTACAAAATGAAACCCTATGAGCTGGGCTTAGATGGCGGACACTAGAACCCTGAATCCAGCCTGTAACAGCAGCCGCTGCAGGGACCCCGGCATCCAGAAAGCAGGCGGGGGAACCGAGGGGAGCTGTTTATCCTGAAGCTGGAGAAGCGGCCTGCCGCCACACTGTGTGCGCCGGGCCTTGCTCTGACTTCTGTGCTGCTCTGCTGCACCACTCCCATCACAAGGAACTCAGCAGGCAGCAGTGTGTGTGTGTGTGGGGTGGCAGCGACTCTGCAGCGGAAGAAGTTTGCTGGAGGAAGAGGCGGTAAAACACAGCGGTTGAAGGTTGGGGGTCGCCCGGCAGCTCCTGTGGTGGGAGCGCCTAATGGCAGTGCAGGCGCAAGTGGACACTTGAAAACTGAATTCCCGTCCTGCTGGCAACGGGAGGTGGGTACGCTTGCACTGCGTCCCTAAAGCCGGTGTTCTGTGTAAGTGTGCCAAGCAGAGTCATGCTCGCTGGACAGGTGAGAGAGAGAGAGAGAGAGAGAGAAAAGAAGCTCGGGAGAACACAAGCACACCGCCTTCCAAGGGCTGGCGTTCTTTGGCCCAGCCGTGACGTAGTGGGCTCCGGGCTGGGCAGGTGGAGGCTCCTACCTCTTTGAAGGCGTGGGCTTTCTCTCCTGACAGCAGCTGAGACGGGAGGCCAATGCAATATGGAATATAACATGTTTATTTACCAGAGAAAGAGAGAAAGAATTACACAGGCTGAGGAATCAGAAGCGTGGCAGGCTTCCAAAGAGGGCTTCCTTCTTCTTTCGCTTCCTTTTATCTTCACCTGTGCTAATTTCCTTATCTCCGCCCTTATGGGTGTGAAGAGTTTTGTGGGCTCACCCCTACAATCTCCCAAGCTTTCCCTGTTGCCACAGCCCCAGATATCAGAGCATCAGGGTGCAGAGGCCAGAAGTCTGACTGTGACACTCAGCCTCGGTTTCTTCCTGCTCTCAGCCGGGCTCTGCATCTCACCAGACATCCTAGGAGGAGGGAACCATGCTCCTCACCAGCTAGGTGCAGGCCCGTGGCTGAGGGTGGCCTTATTCCTTTGGCAGGAAGCCTCCTTCGAGTACCTGCAGAATGAAGGCGAGCGGCTGCTCCTGGAAGCCATGGACGAGCTGGAGGTGGCGTTCAACAACACCAGCGTGCGCACCGACTGCAACCACATCTTCCTCAACTTCGTGCCCACTGTCATCATGGACCCCCTCAAGGTCGAGCCGCTGGGGCTCTCCCAGGCTCTTGATGCATTTTCCCGTGGTTCTTCATGCCACAGTGCTTTGAGGTTGTGTGTGTCCGTCCCCCGTCCCGTTCCCCCCCCCCCCCCCCCGAGTTTCAGGATGAACTTGTAGTTAGCTGAGTCCGGAGAGAACAAACCTGCCAGTCTATTCAGATGCATGGGCTCGGACAACATGGGACTTATGTCCTCCGCAGGCGCTTCTGGGCAGGAAGAGAGCCTAAGGTCTGAGGCTGGGGCACTGTGTGCAGACCTCGGAGATGATAGTTCAGGGACCAGAGAAGACTTCAGAATCTGTAGGCTCACAGAACCCATGACTAGTACACACAGTCTAGAAGAAACCCGTGCAAGGGCCTGGGAGGCGGGGAAAGACGGGGTGACACGTGACAGTGACTTCCGTCCCTTGTCGCCCTGTCAAGGGTGGATGTAGCTCACCGGCTGTTGGCAGCTAACAGCTTGTGTTGGGTGCCAGGCCCCCTGCCTCCTGCGGCTTTACTGTCCCTTGCTGGCAGCATTGCCTTGTTGTGTAGGGTAGACTCTGATGGCACCACGTCTCTTAGCAGATTGAGGAGTCAGTGCGTGCCATGGTCATGCGCTACGGCAGCCGGCTGTGGAAGCTCCGTGTGCTGCAGGCGGAGGTCAAGATCAACATCCGTGAAACGACCACAGGCAGCGCCATCCCCATCCGCCTGTTCATCACCAACGAGTCCGGCTATTACCTGGACATCAGCGTCTACAAAGAAGTGACTGACTCCAGATCTGGAAATGTAAGGGTGGCCACCAAAGTGTCAGAGTCTAAGCAGATGCAGCTATCTGGCCATCAGGGAGAGGCCGCCATCGTGGCCCTCGCCTCGCTTTGTCTCGGATCATGGCAGCCTCCGATAGATAGCTTCAGGATGTGGTGGGCATCATAGTTTCCTGTGTGTTCACCCTCCTAGGCAGGGCTATACAGCCCCATGGCAGAGTCCATTCTGTGGCCATGCTGCAGGTAGAAGTGGAGGGTGTGACAGTTACCGTGCAGAACTCACACTGGGCCACTTAGATATACCCGTTTCCCCTAGCTGCCTTGCAGAAAAGAGTTTTATAAATGAACCCAAAGCTATTTTACATGTGTGTGTGCATGTGTGTATGTATGTATATATATGTATATTTATGTGTACATATATGTATGTGTGTTCCTGCGTGTGTGTATTATATATATATACATACATACGTGCGTATATGTGTGTGTGTGTGTACTTTTATTTTGAAATGAAACTCAAAACTCGTAAGTTACAAAAATAGTACAGAACAAAATATTGGATGGGGTGTACCCATCACTCGGCCTCTCAGAGGACATATTTCAGCTGACTACAGTATGCTACTGTAAAGTGACACAGGTATAGTGCCGGTGGCCTGATTTCCCCTGGTTCTTGTCTGCATACCTTGCGGGGTGGGTCTAGCTGCCATCAGCATATTGGAGCTCTGTCTCCTGTCTTCCACACCCCTCCTTGCTCTGGTAGTCACATGACAAGGGGCATAAGCTCTGCACTGCGGATCTGCCTCTCCATTGAACTTTTGCTGAGGACTTGCAACCCAAATCCAGGTCCTCTGGAAGAGCAGCCAGTGCTCTTAGCCTCTGAGCCATCTCTCCAGCCCCTTTCCCTTTTCTTTCTGTCTGCCCAGATCATGTTTCAGTCCTTTGGCAACAAGCAAGGAAGCCTGCATGGGATGCTGATCAACACGCCCTATGTCACCAAGGACCTGCTCCAGGCCAAGCGATTCCAGGCGCAGTCCCTGGGGACCACCTACGTGTACGACTTCCCGGAGATGTTCAGGCAGGCAAGTCCTGAGGGCTCAGGTGTTCACCACCTTCGAGGGCCCTTTCCCCTCCTTCTACCAGAATCGATCTCTTATCCCAAGTTACACTTCTGAGATTCCTTCTAGATGAGGTCTTCCTGGAGAAAAACTGATTAGTACAGGAATGACTTCATGGTACTTCACCCCCAAATGAACCTAATCGTATCCTGTTGATAAGTGATACTTTAGAAAACAAAGTACGCACTCCTTTAATCCCAAAACTCTGGAGGCAGAGACAGGCAGATCTCTGTGAGTTCAAGGCCAGCCTGGTCTACAGAGAGAGTTCTGGGATGGCCAGGACTGTTACAAAGAGAAACCCTGTCTCAAAAAACACACAAACAAACAAAAAAACCCAAGCAACCAAACAACAAAGGGAATTGGAGGGGCAGGAAGGAGAAAGTAAACTCAAAAGTCTATGACCTGTGACAAACTGCTCAATAGTTTAATGTTTGTTTCTGGTTTATGTATTTTGCATGTATTTGTGTGTGTGTGTGTGTTGGTGCATGTACACATGTATGCATGTGTGTGTGTAGGGGTCAGAGGTCAGCATCTGGTATTTTCTTTATTTGCTCTCACCCCATTTTTTTTGAGGCAGGGTCTTTCAGTTAAGCTGGAGGTTGCCAATTTGGCCAGAGTGGCCAGCCAGCAAGCACCCTGGTTCCTCCTCTCCCCAGCTCTGGTTTTTACTTGGGTGGGGATTGAACTCACGCTTGTGAGGTCTCTGCTTTACTGGCTGGGTCATCACCTCCGGCCCCTGCTTCTGATCTGTTTGCTCATTTATAAGTTAGCTGCTGCTTGCCAGGCCTCATTCTGAGACCTGGAGAGGAGGCTGTACATGTGTATATGTGCATATGTGTAGATAATGTGCATTTTGTTTTAAAGTAATTAGTCTCAAAATAGTCAAGAAGTCATAAAAACAGTGCCGAAAAAAATTGAACTGAACATTCCCACGAGCCATTTCCCCAGTGACAACAGCGTTACTCTGTTCCATTCCCCAGTGGCACGTTCTGGTCAGTCATGGTGTTACCAGGACAGGAGATGGGTACTAGCTTTGACAATGTCTGGGGGACTGGGTGCAGAGGCACCTTCCCGTAGTCTCAGCTGTTTGGGAGGCTGAGCCAGGGGCACCATTTATGCTGGCCTGGATAGCATAGTGAGACTCTGTCTTGGAAGGAAGGGAAATAATGTGTTGTTAGGTTTTCCTGAGAGAGAGAGTAATATAATATCTGCAACTCCCCAACTAGCTCCTGGAACACACAGGCACAAAGTTGGAAATGACCAGGCGTTCTTTATTAATTCTTACTTATGTGCCTGTGTACACCCTGAGTTTATTTGCACTACTCTACGTGAAGTCAGAGGGTGTTGGGTCCCCCTGAAACTGGAATTGTGGGTAGCTGGGAGCTATGTATCCAGTACCAAGTTGAGTCAATACTTTGAAAAGTATGACCTGGCTGGGAAAGCAACTCAGTGGGCAAAGGGCTCGTCATGCAGGCATGAGGACCCGAGTTCAGACCCCAGCACTCGCTTTAAAAAGCCAGGCATGGTGGTGTGCACACACAATCCTGAGCACTTGGAGGCAAAGGCAGGGTAATCCCTGGGACTTCCTGCAGCCAGTCTAGAAAATCAGTGAGGTCTGGGTTCAGTGAGAGACACTATCTCAAAAAAGAAGGTGGAGAGAGAGTGAGTGCAACCCCCGATGTCAATCTGTAACACACACACACACACACAAACTGGAGCATGCACCTACACATGTGCATGTGCACATACATAAATATAAAAATGCAATAAAAATCACCTCCACCAAAACTGAGCTCAGATGGTTTAAAAGAATGTATTTTCCTCCACATTATTATTAATATTATTATAATTTTGTGGAATATGCTTGTGTGTGTTTGAATGTGTGTGAATATGTGTGTGTTCTTTAAATATTTCACAGTTTAAAAAGAGGGTGAGAACAAGGCAGTGTTCTGACATGTTATCTCTAACTGGGAAGGGCAGTGCTTCCCTCCCCGTGACCCCAAGATTTTCCTCCCCCAGGCTCTCTTTAAACTGTGGGGTTCCCCAGAAAAGTACCCCAAAGATATCCTAACATACACAGAGCTGGTGTTGGACTCCCAGGGACAGCTGGTGGAGAGGAACCGGCTTCCTGGTGGGAATGAGGTAGGAAATGGGCGTGGGACGGGAGGTGGTCATGGGGGCAGGACGGGAGGTGGGTACGAGGTAGGATCTGGGTAGAATCCAGATGGGGTCAGCTTGCTTCAGGTGTCACCTGGAAGAACCGAAGTTGCTTTGCTTAGCATGTATCTCTTTCCAGATAGGCATGGTGGCTTTCAAAATGAGGTTTAAGACTCCAGAGTATCCAGAAGGGCGGGATGTCATTGTCATCAGCAACGATATCACCTTCCAAATCGGCTCTTTCGGCATAGAGGAGGACTTCCTGTATCTGCGGGCGTCTGAGATGGCCCGGGCAGAGGGCATCCCAAAAATCTTCCTGGCAGCCAACAGCGGGGCCCGTATGGGCCTGGCTGAGGAGATCAAGCAGATATTCCAAGTGGCTTGGGTGGACCCGGAAGATCCCCACAAAGTACGTCATGATGCGAGGGTGGTAGCACGGTAGCACTTACCTCGAAGAGACCATCATGCCTACTCCAAAAACCTCACGTCTGAAATGCTTCCAGACCCAAAGTTTAAGTGTCAGCATGATGTCCCAAGTGGAAGGTGCCCCCGACCTCATTCCCAGAGTCAGTCAAAATGCAGGGGCCTGAAGATGCTGTGTGTGAGGCATCTGTGTAACATAGATGAATGCTGTGTTTAGGCCTGGTGCCCACTCCTAGGACATCTCATTATTACATGCACATACGCCAGTCTGAAAAAAAAGTTCAAAATCTAAACTCCTTCTGGCCCCATGCATTCCAGCTAAGAGACACAGCGGGCATTGCATGGTGGGTGTTGATGGCTGCTGCACGACTGTGGGAAAGGATCTCTGTGTGCGGTGCACACATGCGCAGTGAGCATAGGTAGCCCGCCATGTGCGCAATTCACACTCACTGAGCCAGGCACAGTGGCACATACCCGTACTGACACTCGGGAGGCTCAGGCAGGAGGAGACAGAGAGAGCTCAGGATCAGCCTGGCCCAGGTGGTGATTCCTTGTCTCAAAAAAGAAAAAGAAGCAAAATAAATGCCCTGGGACATGGTAATTGGCAGAAATGTCCAGAAACACCCCCCTAGGGGGGCATGATAATGAAAAACTTGTGGACATATAGGTGACATGTGCCAGGTTCTCAATTCATGGGTACTCAGAATGCAAAGTGATTAATACCACTTAACCTTCTTTTTGAGACAGGTTCCCTCTTTGGCTTGCGATCCATCAAATCTGGGCTAGCTGGCAAGCAAGCTTCTAGGAAGCTCTCACCTCCCCATTGCTGTGGCTGTAGGCACGCACCACTGATGGGAGACAGTGGGACGGTCACTTTCCCACGGAACATGTTCCTCAGATATATTTAGTCCATCCCAAACCCAAACATCTAAAATTCAAAATGCTCTGTCATCTGAGCCCTCTTGGCCACTGACTTCATCCCTAAAGTAGTAAATTCTGTCCACACCTCAGTTGATGGGATGGGTCACAGTGAAAGTACACCAAATAGCGACAGCCTTTAGTCCACAGGTGCTTACAAAACGTGAACGATCTCACATTTAGACATGGGTGCCACCCCTAAGGTGTCTCATTAGGTAGAAGCAGGTATCCCAAAGCCCAGATGTACTTCTACATCTGAAGCGCTCTGGTCCCTGTCATTTGGGCTGTTCGACCTGTGCACATGGACACGCATGTCCACACATGAGTGAACGCACATTTCCTACACAGTGCATGACCGGGCAGAGCATGAGGCTGTGTGTGGGGAAGAGAGGAGCTCAAAGTAGCCCTGTGGGGCCGGGCGGTGGTGGCGCACGCCTTTAATCCCAGCACTCGGGAGGCAGAGGCAGGCGGATCTCTGTGAGTTCAAGGCCGGGCTGAACCGATAGCCTCTGAAACAATACAGAGAAACCCTGTCTCATAAAAACCAAAAAAAAAAAAAAAAAAAAAAAGTAGCCCTGTGGTTTGCAGGTGTTGGGAGTCTGCAAACTGCACCTGTGCAGTTGGTGATAAGAACAGCTGCCCTGGACGGTGTTGACACCTTGAAATACTTGGAGGCTGTCGAGTCCATGGAACTGGATTCGCAGACTCACTGAAGTGTGTTTTTAAGGGATTTAGATACCTGTACCTGAAGCCCCAAGACTACACTCAGATCAGCTCCCACAATGCTGTGCACTGCAAGCACATTGAGGATGGAGGTGAATCCAGGTAAAGTGGCTGGCGAGCTCTGGTGTAACCACATTTCATCCAGCGGCCTGTAAGGTTTGTGGGTGGTGGGCTCCTGAGCTTACGTGTGGGGTGCTGATACGCCACTTGGGACAATCTCCAGGTGACTCATCCTGGTCATCCCCAAATGACTTGTTGTTCCCTCCCTCCCTCTCCCTCTCCCTTCCTTCTTCCCCTTCCTTCCCTCTATCTCTTCCCTCCCTCTTACCCTCTCTCCCTCCTTTCCTACCTTCCTTCCTTCCCTCCCTCTCTCCCTTCCCTCCCTCCCCTCTCTCTCCCTTTTTTCTTCCTTTCCCTCCTCTTCCTTCCTTCTTTCCCTCTCTCCCTCCCTTCCTTCCTTCCCTCTCTCCCTTCCTCCTCTTTCTTTTTCTTTGCTGAGCCTTGTACATGGCAGGCAGGTGCTCTGCTGTTAAGTTATAAAGTTTCATCCTTTACTCAAAACATCAGCTCATTCAGGGAAAAGTAGACTCAGTTTTCATGATGTCTCAGGGGACACATTCCATGACCCAGCTATCCAAAAAAGATTCAGGGGTCACCTGGGGCTCGTTCTTGGAGAATGTCAGAGGTTGGCAATTTAACAAATGGACAAACCAACAGTCTCTAGGTGACTTCCTGGAATGCGAATGACATGAAAAACATTCTTAATTCCATAGTGAAATAAATTTGGGAAATACTCAGTTAAATGTGTCCGTCAGAGCACATTCCTACAGGCCTGATGAGATCCCCTAACACACCAACTCTGGCCAGTGTGTCACACCCTTTTGGGGTTATGAACTAAGTGTCTTCACTCCTGGTCCCTGGTGTCACCACAGGCCAAAGGCTAAGCTAGTTTTCTGTGTGATGTGGGGGTAAGGTTGTGGTGATATATTGTTTATGGTTTATTAAAGCCACTGGAGATCAAAATAGCAAAGCAGCCATATTAGTCAGCTATAGAAGCCAGGTACACACCTTTAATCCCAGGATTTGAGAGGTATAAAAGGTAGAGGCATTCTGTGTGAGAGTTAGTGTCTAGCCACATTGAGGAGAGCATAGCAGTCTGAGTGACTCCGAGGAGCAGTGAGGTCGGGAGCAGTCTGAGTGACTCCGAGGAGCAGTGAGGTCGGGAGCAGTGTGAGGATCCCGCTTTGGTCTGAGCTGAGGTACAGGTAAGAGCTGGCAGCCGATTGCTTTGCTAGACTCACTGAGCCATCCATCTCCCCAGGCCTGATCTGATCTTCAGCTTGAAGCTCGAACCCTAATATCGGTCTCTGGGTCTTTTATTTTTCCTGCTACTAAGGTGGCACCTCACTAAGAGCCTCTGTTTGGGGGAGGGACAGTCACTGGTCAACCGTGATCTTCTAGAAGCGTAGTGCCCCGGGGTCCTAAGCACTCCCACTTTGCCTCGGACTCTTCCATGCCCCAGGGTTTGTCTGTGCTCATCCCTCCTGCCCCAGCTCTGTGGGAAATGTGTGCTTCTGTTTCTGGTTCTGGAGAGCAGCCTTGACTTTAGCCGAGTTTGGTCCTTGCAGATATGTCATCGTGGATGTCATAGGGAAAAGTGGCAACCTGGGCGTGGAGAACCTGAGGGGCTCGGGCATGATAGCAGGAGAGGCCTCCCTGGCTTATGAAAAAATTGTCACCATCAGCATGGTGAGTCCCCTCCTGTGTCTCTTCCTTTTTTCACATTTTTTGGGGAACCGAGAGTCTCGCTGAATCTGGAACTTGCCGATTTGGCTATGGCTGCCAGCAAGCCCCAGGGATCCTCTTGTCTCTGCTTCCCCAGCACTGAGACTGCAGGCGCACACTGCCGTGCCTGGGTTTCCATGGGGACTAGGAATCTGAACTCACATCCTTACGGTTGTTTGGCAAGCACTTTACTGACTGAGCCATCTCCCCAAGCCCTCCCCTCTCTTCTTTGAGACATGGTCTCACTACATAGCCCTTGCTGGCCTCGAACTTGCAATCCTTGCTGCCTAAGCTTCTTGAGTGCCGGCACCAACCACACCTCCCTTATTCCTTAGCATGTAACTAGTTTGTCAATCCAGCAGCACCTGGAGCTCCTTAACTTCACAGAGCCCAGTCTTGTCTCACTTTTAACAGTTGTCTCAAAACTGTTTCTCTGGTTTGCAGGAATCAGATGTCAAACTTTTCCAAACTGTAATCTCAGCACTCAGGAGGTAGAGGCAGGGGGGTTGCTTTGAGTTCAAGTCAGCCTGCTCTTTGCAGCAAGTTCTGGGAGAGCCAAGGCTACATAGTGAGACCTTGTCTCAAAAACAAACAAGCATAAAATTTAAAAATAAGGGCCCATAGCTGGGCGATGGTAGCGCACACCTTTAACCCCAGCACTCAGGAGGCAGAGGCAGGCAGATCTCTGTGAGTTCGAGGCTGGGCTGGACTGACAGCCTCCAAAACAATACAGAGAAACCCTGTCTCGTAAAACCAAAATAAATAAATAAATAAACAAACAAACAAATAAATAAATAAGGGCCCATTCAGATGGTTCAGTGGGCAAAGGTGGTTGTCATTCAGTCTGTGAAATCTGCGTGCTAGAAGGAGAGAGCTGACTCTAACCTCTGACCTTCACATGTACACTGTGACAAGTACACTCACACATACAAACATATACACACAAAATAAATGTACACCCACACATATATACACATACACACAAAATAAATGTACACTCACACATACAAACATATACACACAAAATAAGTGTACACCCACACATATATACACATACACACAAAATAAATGTACACTCACACATACAAACATATACACACAAAATAAATGTACACCCACACATACATATACATACACACAAAATAAATGTACACCCACACATATATACACATACACACAAAATAAATGTACACTCACACATATATACACATACACACAAAATAAATGTACACCCACACATACATACACACAAAATAAATGTATACTCACACAAACATACACATACACACAAAATAAATGTACACCCACACATACATACACACAAAATAAATGTACACCCACACATACATACACACAAAATAAATGTACACCCACACATACATATACATACACACAAAGTAAATGTACACCCACACATACATACACACAAAATAAGTGTACACCCACACATACATACACACAAAATAAATGTACACCCACACATACATATACATACACACAAAGTAAATATACACCCACACATACATACATACACACACAATGAGATACCCCTCTCTGTGGGGGCTGAGCCCACCAGCTTCTGGAGTTCAGAAGGGTCCTGTCTCCACAGGTGACCTGCCGTGCCCTCGGAATCGGGGCCTACTTGGTGAGGCTTGGCCAGCGGGTGATCCAAGTGGAGAACTCACATATCATCCTCACTGGAGCCAGTGCTCTCAATAAGGTGCCGGAGGCGAGGCCTGGAGAGGGGTGGGGTGGTGTGGGGACCCAGCCAGGCCTTGAGTGGCCCCGCTGTCTTAGCCAGTTTCTGTTGCTGTGAAGACACCATGACCATGGCAACTCTCAAAAAGGAAAACGTGTAATTTAGGTTTGGTCCAGTTTTGGGGGGCATTGGTGGCTCCTCAATTGGGTTGCACATCAGAATTTCCTGGGAATCTTAAAGATGTAGGAACCACCAATGCCTGGTGTTCCCCCTGAAGGCTCAGAAGGTATGGGTTTAGGTACAGCCCTTTGCAGGTATTTCAGAAGCTCCCAGGTCATTGTGACAGGCGGCCAGAGCAGAGGACCCAGTAAGATGGAGTGGCCTTGTTAACTGTGCTGTGTCAACTCAGGTCCTCGGAAGAGAAGTCTACACGTCCAACAACCAGCTGGGGGGTGTGCAGATCATGCATATGAATGGGGTCTCCCACGTCACTGTGCCAGATGACTTCGAGGGAATCTGCACCATTCTGGAATGGTTATCATACATACCAAAGGTGCGCTATTCCCTGGCAGCCTGGAGCCTGTGAACCGGTGGGGTTAGGCTCATGGTGATAGGGAGGATGGGAAAGGAGCACCACAGATGGGACCAGGCCTGCTTGGCCTCCCACTCTCCCTCTCTGATGCCCAACCCCATCCTTTGCTTTTGGGGGGAGGCTCTGAGGTGTCATAAGGACTTAGGGATGCTGTCTGCTGATCCTTTAGAAAAGGGTGACATTGGACCAGAGCGGGCCTCTGAATCCATTCCTGGCTTCGTCTTCAGGGGTACTGTAATCCTGGGCCAGCTCCCAGTCCATCTGAGCCTTCATGTTCCTCCTCTGTGTAGTTGTGTTACCATGGTGATGAGGAGGACTGATGCTCATGACTCTGCTCTCTGCAGATCCTCCCAAGGCTACCCTGGACAGTCCTGATAGTTGTCAATAGTCCCACAGGGCTGCTTTACCTAGATCTTGACCAGCAGATGTTTGAGCCTCCATTTCTTCAATCATGTAGCTGGGAGAATTCTGGTCCTGTGTGGCTCCCAGACTCTATTTGAACAGCCTCTTAAAAGGTCTCAGAAGAATTTAGACAGGAGGTGCCTATCATTTTACAGCAGGAGCAGTGGCTTGGAAGCCCCGGTAAGGGCATAGCTGCACAGCTAGACGTGTGCAGTCTGGGGAAAGCACTCGGATGTGTGGTAGTCCTCCCTGACACACCCCAGGGACTGAGTGGGATGGCTTTGCCTTTCTTTCCTAGGACAATCACAGCCCGGTCCCAATCATCACTCCTACGGACCCCATCGACAGGGAAATTGAATTCGTCCCCTCCAAAGCTCCCTACGACCCCAGGTGGCTGCTTGCAGGGAGGCCTCACCCAAGTAAGTCCCAAGGTGTTTGCAGGGGACCCCAGATTTGGGCTGTCTTGCTGGGAAACTTTTATGTCTGTTCCCGTTTCCCAGGGTGGGTGCTGTGAGCCCAAAGGAGGGGGTGGAGACTGGACTTTGCTTTTCCTGAGTCACAGACCAACAAGGCTTGGAAACAGCTCTGGTTTCCGGAGCCAAGGCTTAGGGTTCAGCACAAGCCGGGCCTCTCTCCTACCTCTTTCCCTCAGCTAGACCCTCACAAAGGAAGTTGGCTTCTTTCACACACACACACACTTTCACACGCATGCACGCATGTTTCCCCCTTCTCCGAGGAAAGCCTCTCCTGGAGGTGTACTTTGTTCTGAGACCCACCCACATGGGAAAGCTGAGCTGTCCCATCACCCTGGCCCATGTTTAGAATTTCACGTACAGTTGCCTTCAGCTGTGCCGTGCAGGAGACAAGGATATCCTGTCACCAGCAGAAGGATCCCGATGGCTTCTTGGGTTTATAGACCCTTTCCCTCCAGCTGTATCTCCCTTAGAAGGCGTTCGGTTTCTTACCTACTGTGTGTTCTGTCCTGTGGAGCCAGCCCTGAGCCCCGAGCCCTGAGCCAGAGCCTGAAGCAGGGTTTATTCCCTGGCATCCAGCCTCTGCATCATTCTGAGTCACATGCTGCCAGGCCTTTTACCTCTTGTGAGAGGGACAGCCATTTGCATTAACTCCGGACCCTCAGCCATTGCACTGTCAAAGTGGCAGCCGATTGCATCACACACACCCCAACACCCTCCGCCTCCCCCTCATCAATGGCTACAGTGCCACTGTCACAATGTGTCTGTCCGGGACATGAGTGGCTGGCTTCCTCTCAGGGATACTGAGCTGAAGCTCAGGGCCAGAATCCGGTCAAAGATGGGCCACAGCGGTGTGCCCGCCAGGCAGACCCTGGGCCTCCCCAGCTCTCAGCTAGGACTTCCATCCTGCCCACAGCTCTGAAGGGCTCCTGGCAGAGCGGATTCTTCGATCATGGCAGTTTCACGGAAATCATGGCACCCTGGGCTCAGACTGTGGTGACCGGACGAGCGAGGTAACGTGAAATCGGGGTGGGCTGCACTTGCCTGCTTACCAGGCACGGGACTCTAGGCACTAGGCTGGGGCTGCCAGGGCCCTTTTCTTCTTGGTCCTTAGATTTTTCTGAATGCAAAATCCAGTTTAGGGAGTAGGGAGATGGCTAAGACAGCTAGCGTGTAAGCATACAGATCCCTAGCACCCATATGACAAGTCGGGTGTGGCAATTTGGGGATTCCAGCACCAGGGTTACAGAGTCAGAGCCAGCAGCTTTCTGGTGAACTCCAGGTTATGACAGACCCCGTATCAGAAGACAGGTGGAGAGGAAGAACCCTGACAGTGAACACACACACATACACACACACACACACACAAACACACATGCACAAATACACTCACTTACACACAGACACATACAGACACACCATACACACATACATCATACACACACAGACACAGACACACAGACACACACATGCACAAATACACTCACTCACACACAGACACATACAGACACACCATACACACACAGACACACACACATGCACAAATACACTCACTCACACACAGACACATACAGACACACCATACACACATACACCATACACACACAGACACACACACATGCACAAATACACTCACTCACACACAGACACAGACAGACACACCATACACACATACACCATACACACACAGACACACACACGCACAAATACACTCACTTACACACAGACACAGACAGACACAACATACACACATACACCATACACACACAGACACACACACACATGCACAAATACACTCACTTACACACAGACACAGACAGACACAACATACACACACACACCATACACACACATATGCACAAATACACTCACTCACACACAGACACATACAGACACACCATACACACATACACCATACACACACAGACACACACACACATGCACAAATACACTCACACACAGACACAGACAGACACACCACACACACACACCATACACACACAGACACACACATATGCACAAATACACTCACTCACACACAGACACATACAGACACACCATACACACATACACCATACACACACAGACACACACACACACATGCACAAATACACTCACACACAGACACAGACAGACACACCACACACACACACCATACACACACAGACACACACATATGCACAAATACACTCACTCACACACAGACACATACAGACACACCATACACACATACACCATACACACACAGACACACATACACATGCACAAATACACTCACACACAGACACAGACAGACACACCATACACACACACACCATACACACACAGACACACACACACATGCACAAATACACTCACTTACACACAGACACAGACAGACACAACATACACACATACACCATACACACACAGACACACACACACATGCACAAATACACTCACTTACACACAGACACAGACAGACACAACATACACACATACACCATGCACACACAGACACACACACATGCACAAATACACTCACTTACACACAGACACAGACAGACACAACATACACACACACACCATACACACACATATGCACAAATACACTCACTCACACACAGACACATACAGACACACCATACACACATACACCATACACACACAGACACACACACACATGCACAAATACACTCACACACAGACACAGACAGACACACCACACACACACACACCATACACACACAGACACACACATATGCACAAATACACTCACTCACACACAGACACATACAGACACACCATACACACATACACCATACACACACAGACACACACACACACACACGCACAAATACACTCACACACAGACACAGACAGACACACCACACACACACACCATACACACACAGACACACACATATGCACAAATACACTCACTCACACACAGACACATACAGACACACCATACACACATACACCATACACACACAGACACACACACACATGCACAAATACACTCACTCACACACAGACACATACAGACACACCATACACACATACACCATACACACACAGACACACACACACACACACGCACAAATACACTCACACACAGACACAGACAGACACAACATACACACACACATGCACAAATACACTCACTCACACACAGACACATACAGACACACCATACACACATACACCATACACACACAGACACACACACACGCACAAATACACTCACTTACACACAGACACAGACAGACACACCATACACACATACACACACCTTACACACACAGACACACACATATGCACAAATACACTCACTCACACACAGACAGACACATATAGACACACTATACACACACAGACACACACACCATACACACACAGACACACACACACATGCACAAATACACTCTCTCACACACAGACACAGACACACCATACACACACAGACACACACACACAGACACACCATACACACACAGACACAGACACACAGACACACACATGCACAAATACACTCACACACAGACACAGACAGACACACCATACACACACAGACACACACAAACATGCAGAGTTAAAGTTTTAAAAGTTGTGTGTCATTGGCCTTCAGTTATAGTCCTCCAATTTATTTTACAAACCCTTTTTGTACAACCCTGGACCAAACCCCCCACCAGGGAGCGCCCCCTGCAGAGGCTGCCCCACCCGGCTTCCCTGGTAGAGTTGTGGCAGGGGTAAAGGGCGGCGGTGCAGTGGCAGCTTTGGTTGTTAGCCTAGAATGATGGGCATGGATGTCCCGGTCTCCTCTGGGCCAGGCTCTGTGGCACTTGACTTGTTCACCCCTCCCTGGTCTTGAGTACTGGGGATGGAACCCAGGGCCCCATCCATGCCAGGCAAAAAGCTGAAACACCGAGCTACATCCCAGCTCTTTGCTTTTTATTTTAAGTCAGTATCTTGTTATATAGCCCAGGCTGGCCTCGAACTCTTGAACTCCCTGGCTAAGCTTCCTAGGTAGCTGGGTAACAGACCTATGCCACCAATCCTGGCTTGCTCCAGCCTTTTCCCTGGGTGACTTGGTTCAGCACCCAAGGTAGCCAGTGTGCAGCTGCTGGCCACCTGAGATGATTTAAGTCATAATTTAAAGCTGGGATGTGGCTAGGTTGCAAAGTACCTGCCTGGCATGTGCCGAGTCCCGAGTTCCATCCTAGCACTACGAAGGGGGACAATCTGAAGCTGAAGTGGGAGGAGGACGCTGGGAACTGTGTTTCACAGTCAATGTCTTAGATGCACAAACAGTTCCCATGGGTACCACCTGCCCTGACTGTCCTCACCCTAGCCGGCCACTTATAGCTCTGCCCTCCTGTATGGTTCTCCGTAACTTGGGGCTCCTATCTTGCTTTGCAGCCAGCTCCCCGACATGCCCTCAGTCCCACCTGGAAATGCCCGCAGCAGACTGGGTAGACCCTGGAGCCCTGAGATCTGCTTGCGGGGCAGCCCAGTGCTGAGCTCATGTGTGCTCACCTTGCAGGTTGGGGGGCATCCCTTTGGGGGTGATTGCCGTGGAGACTCGGACAGTGGAGGTGGCTGTCCCTGCTGACCCTGCCAACCTGGATTCCGAGGCCAAGGTGAGTGGCCAGGAGCCATGGTCACTGGACCCTTTCATCCAGCCCAGAGACGCAGCCACATTCCAGACAGCCAGGGAGCAGAGGCCTCGAGCAGGAGTTGGTCCCGGGGGTTCTGCCTGCTGCCCCGCCACATCTCCATGGGACACATAACATTCCATTCTGGGCTTCTTGCCTGGGGCAGTAGTGGCCCTTTGTGGACCCCAGCCCCACTTCCACACTACTCCTGCTGCTGGGGGTGGCAGTGAGGTCTTAACTGCTGTGGTGCCAGGCTGGGCATGAGAATGGGGGACTGCTGAGGTCCTAATCATGGGTTCCTGGGGGAGTCCTGGCTCTGGTACATGTATATGGGCACATGTCCTAGTAAGGGTTACTACTGTGATGAAACACCATGCCCAAAGCAACCTGGGGAGGAAAGGGTTCATTTGGTTTCTATTTCCAGATCATAGTCCATCATTGGAGGGAGTCAGGACAGGAACTCCAGCAGGGCAGGGACCTGGAGGCAGCAGCTGGTGCAGAGGCCATGGAGGGTGCTGCTCACTGACTTACTCTCCATGGCTTGCTCAGCCTGCTTTCTTATAGAACCCAGGACCAGCAGCCCAGGGATGGCCCTACCCACAATGGTCTGGCCCCTCCCCCATCAATCACTAATTAAGAAAATGCCCTACACCTGGATCTTAGGAAGGCCTTTTCTCAACTGAGGCTCCCTCCTCTCCAGGGACTCTAGCTGTGTCAAGCTGACATAAAATAGTAGAGGGCAAGGCCCTGTTGTCCCTATGTCTGACCTAAGTGTCCCTCGTCACAGATCATCCAGCAGGCAGGCCAGGTGTGGTTCCCGGACTCTGCCTACAAGACCGCACAGGTCATAAGGGACTTCAACCAGGAGCACCTACCCCTCATGATCTTTGCCAACTGGAGAGGCTTCTCCGGTGGCATGAAGGGTGAGTCTAGCCCTTCTGTGTCTCTCTCCAGCTGTGTCTCTCCAGCTGTGTCTCTCCAGCTGTGTCAGTCCAGCTGTGTCTCTCCAGCTGTGTCAGTCCAGCTGTGTCTCTCCAGCTGTATCAGTCCCTCTGTGTCAATCCAACTGTGTCACTCCAGCTGTGTCTCTCAACAGTCCCATGAGGCCACAGGTCAAGTAACTGCCTGGTTTATAGATGAGGGACTGAGCGCTGGAGGCAGGTGACTCCTTGGGGTCATGAGAAGGGCAGGGCAGGACGGTCCGCTCTGCAGGCTCCCTGGTGACCTGGGCAGTCAGTCACTTTCCCGTGTGGTTAGATGAGGCCCATCCACCTTCCTCAGAGCTGACCTCATGGCTGCACGAGTCCCTTTAAGTCACCCAGAATGTCCAGAGAGATAGTGGTACCCTCTGGCTGCCGAGGGAGGAGCTGAGGAGGGAGAGAGGCCCACGTGTGTTGGTACCTGGGTGACTTCTCTGAGCCCCGAACCCCTCGTTTGTGAATGGGGAGGCCTGCGGTGAGGGTCGCATGCGCTGGTTCCACACATGTCCCTGATCCAGTATTAAAGTGTCACCACATAGGGTGCCCGGGGACTTGGAGGGATCTCCTGGTGATGCAGAGCAGGGACCTGTTCTATGGTTGTGTGTACTGGATTCGTGGGTGGGCTGGGGCATCACTCAGTGCTGGAAGGCACTCAGGAAGCTGCAGTCCATGCTCTTGAATTCACGGATGAGGACATACCCATGCAGGAGAGCAACCTGCCCAAGGTCACATGGCCACTGAGGGAGGGAGCCAGACCCATTCCAGCCTCCAGATCTCCCAGTCTCCTCCAGGAGCATGGGGCAGAGAAGGCTGTATGCTTTGTGGCTGTGTCACTGGGACTCAAGTCCCCTAAGCAGGCTTCGCTTTGTAGACATGTATGAACAGATGCTGAAGTTTGGAGCCTACATCGTGGATGGCCTCCGGAAGTACAAGCAACCAATTCTCATCTACATCCCACCCTATGCCGAGCTCCGTGGGGGTTCGTGGGTTGTCCTGGACTCCACCATCAATCCCCTGTGCATAGAGATGTACGCTGACAAGGAGAGCAGGTGGGTGTGACTCACGGGGTCGTCTCTCCGGACAGGCTCCCAGAGGACACTGTCCGGAGAAGGGCGAGAAGCTGGGCGTGGCAGTGTGCGCCTGTAACCTTGGCACCAAAGGTCGTGGGCAGAGATAGGGAGGCCCTGGGGCTCGCTGGCCAGTCAGTTTAGCCAAATCAGTGAGCTCAGGTTCAATGAGAGACGGCAACAGGAAGACATATGACCTTTACAGGCATGCACACACAAGTACATATACACCACACATACAGTCATAATACATGCAAACATAGGTGTTGCTGGATTGGTTTTCTTTGTCACACCAGGTCCCACCACCCTTCTCAGCCCCAAATGAGCACACAGAGACTTATATCAATTACAAACTGTTGGCCAATGGTCAGGGTTTCTTATTGACTAGCTCTGTCTTAATTATTAACCCATACCCACTAATCTATGTATTTCTACATGGTCTTGGCTTACCAGAGAATGTCTGGACCTGTTACTCCTTTGGTGGACTCTCTGGCTACATTTCCCAGAATTCTCCTCATCCTAGTCCCGCATATCTTCCTTCCTCATTGGCCAAACTGTTTTATTCATCAACCAATAAGAGAAACATACATACAGAAGGCCATCCCCCATCAGATAGGAAAATATTTTTAGAAAGGAGCCATGGGCAGGAGAGCAGGGAGACCTGAGGTCTCTGCCCCCAGCCCCCCCACCTCTTCCCTCTTCTCTGTTCAGGGGGGGCGTTCTGGAGCCGGAGGGCACTGTGGAGATTAAGTTCCGCAAGAAAGATCTGGTGAAGACTATGAGACGGTTAGACCCAGTGTGCAAGAAGCTCGTGGGACAGCTAGGTAAGTGGGCACACAGGTGCCACCCCCAGGTCCACAAAGGCGGAAGTTGTATTGCATTGAAAGTAGGATGAGATGAGTCAAGCTGAGACCCTAAAGCCCATCGGTACTTGTAATCAGCGCCCTCCACGGGACACAGGAGTGGTCGGACAGGAACTATATCAATGACAGATATGCTGGAGAGTTGCGGTTTGTATGTCCACAGTGAGCTGTCTTGGCGAAGGGGCCAGATATAAACATGAAATTAATTTTCCGAGCTTCTGTGTTTGGATCACAGCCCCCATTTGTGGGGCCAGGGTGGAACATTCTGCTATGGCAGCCTATCTGCTCTCAGAGCTTCAAGCTTTGGAGTATTTAGCTGAGGGATGTTCATCCTGGGATCTCATAGTCAGCTCACTGTTCCATACACATAGAGATGATTGAGACATCTAGGGCCTACGGGGAACACCAGAACTTGGGTAATGATAATGTCTCTTTAGAGGGATGTCCCCGATCATTTCTAAATGCACCCATTTCATTTGCTTCACTCCTGATCTCTGACGCCGTGCTCCCCACATGTGGTGACTGTGTGTAGATGCGGACTGCACGTTTGTTACAGTGTGTGGTTCCTTTGGGTTCGCCTCTGAGAGGTGGGTCTGCACTTCATGACTCCGGGTTTGTGTGGAATTATGTCTTGAAATACCTCTGATGAGGTTTCTTTCCTTTCTTATTACATTTATTTTGTGTATGTTTGTGTATACACATGCGACAGCTCTTTTGTGGAGGAACTTACAGGAACTGATGTCTCCTTCTGCCACGTGGGTCCTGGGACTCAAACTCAGGTCATCATGCTTGGCACCAGGCACCTTTCTCCACTGAGCCACCTCGCCGGCCCCTTAGTAGGAATCTACTAACTCTGAATTCCCTCGTTTTATACAGTGTTGCCTTCACTACTTACTACCAGTTTCCGACTGGCAGAAATGTGTTGGTTTATGCATTTCCAGAATCTGTCTCGTGTTTTGTTGCCATGGAGTTGGCATAGCCCCACTATAGTTATTACATGTCTGCAGGCAGCAGCTGAAGCCTAGGATAGGGCTGGAGCTTCGCCCAGGTGCTGTCTAGGGGCTGTGAGCACGTTTCTGAGGCTGCAGGGCAACTTGATTTAGGAGTAGCTTTGGCAGACCAGACTATCGCAAGGCAAGGCCTCTTGTTTGGTTTTGTGACTTTTCAAAAGACAACAACAGCAATAAAAACCAACCCATCCCCACGTGGACATCTCTCACAGCCTCTGAAGTCCTGACCCGATGTCTGCTCACCTGCAGGGACAGCCCAGCTCCCTGACAAGGACCGCAAGGAGCTGGAGGGACAGCTGAAGGCCCGAGAGGACCTGCTGCTCCCCATCTACCACCAGGTGGCAGTGCAATTCGCTGACCTGCATGACACACCAGGCCACATGCTGGAGAAGGGAATCATCTTGGTAAGTCCCCCAAGGCCACCTGGGCCCCAGACACAGAGGAATGCATAGGGGTTTGGGATGGAGCCAAGCTCAGAGGGCTCTCAGGGGCTGTTCAGTCTGAGTGTATCAGCAGCAGCCCACGGCCTCTAGCTCCTAGGAGGCCCAGAGTAACTTTAGTGAGTTCAGACGAGATGGCTCTTAGTTTGCACCTTGGGTGAGGCTTGAAGACTTGTCTGTGCTGACATTGGCCCGTGACTTGCTCCTGAGAGGACATCCTTGTCCACTGGCCCAGATTCTTTTGGGAATCTGCGATTGAGTTTTGTGTCAGCAGAGGTAAATGTCGGACGCCAGTTTGGAACATGCCAGGCACTGTGGGGTCCTGTAGAGTCCTGCTCTGTGTCCCCCTATGCACAATATCCCTGCTTATAGGATGAGGTGGTGACAAGCCAGGTAGCCAGCCTGGGGCACAGTCTTGGCCGTTTTCTGTCCCTTCCCTCCTTTGTGTGTACTGAGCTGGACCTGTCCCTAGGACGTGCTGGAGTGGAAGACCGCACGCACCTTCTTCTACTGGAGGTTGCGCCGGCTGTTGCTGGAAGCCCAGGTCAAACAGGAGATTCTCCAAGCCAGCCCCGAGCTGAGCCACGAGCACACACAGTCCATGCTGCGACGCTGGTTTTTGGAGACCGAGGGCCCCGTCAAGGTGGGCCCGAGCAGGGGGAGGGGAGCTGTAGCACGTAGGCACTGGGGCATAAGGGCTGCCAGCTGTGTCCCTTTGCAGCATTGCTACCCGAGGTAGACTGAACCCATTGACCCCACCCCCCAGGCCTACCTGTGGGACAGCAACCAGGTGGTGGTCCAGTGGCTGGAACAGCACTGGTCAACTGGGGACAGCCTGCGCTCCACCATCCGTGAGAACATCAATTACCTGAAACGGGACTCCGTCCTCAAGAACATGCAAAGGTGAGACGCATGCCTGTGGTCAGCCCCTGGCTCATCGGCCTGTCACAGTGCCAGGGTCAGGCCAAGCCTCACGGGTGGGGTGACAGCTCGGGGTGACCCCCCCCCCGCCCCCGGCAACGGAGCTGTGGTCTGAGACTTTCTTGCGTCACAGCTGGCACCTTGTTGATTAGAAGCGCCCCAATCACAAACCCCGGAGGAGAGGATGCTGGCTCCCTCCCTGTCAGTCTCCAAGGAGGTGGCTCATAGGACACCTGGGACCCTATTTTTGGTGTGAAGCTGGGGCTCGGGTGTGTCACACCTGGAGTCATATCACACAAGCAGTGACTGGGAAGGGCTATGCCACCCCGAGGCATTCTGTTCCCCAATTCAGAATCCCTCCTGCTGCAGGACTGTCCCCCCTTCCTCTCCCCCACCCCACCCCAGTCTCTGAGTGAGGAAATGAGAATGCTGGGCTGGCCCCAGCCCCCTCAAGAGAAACACGTCTAGACTAGGACACTGCCACCTAGAGGCCACCAAGTGACCAGAGTGACCCTCCTGTCCTTCCCCTTCCTTGCAGTCTGGTTCAGGGGAACCCAGATGTGACCATGGACTGTGTGGCATACCTGAGCCAGCACCTCACCCCGGCTGAGCGCGTACGGGTGGCTCAGCTGCTGTCTACCACGGAGAGCCCGGCGTCCTCCTGAGCTACTCTGGCCATCCCCAGGACCCTGGACCACGGGAATGGTCGTTGGGCAGGCCTTCTCAGGACCCTGAGGCTTGTTGTGGGAAAGTCCACAAATGGATCCTGAGAATTCTGCAAACAAAGCTGCTGACCAGTGTCTTCCTGTACAAAAGGCCCCCGTCGTCCTGCCCGGCAGCCACAGCCTCCCCTCACCTGGGGACTTCAGGGTTTGTCCCAGTGGATAACTCCGCTGCATCTCTGAGGTGAACTGAACCGGGTACCCCGAGTTCCTTGTGTTCTGCCTGGAATGGGGGTCCAGTGTCTCGGGTCGCTGCCTGATCTGCAGACACTTGCACATTGGTTTGCACTCAGCACTTGTGCCTTCAGCAGAGTGAATGGGCCAAAGAGAACACCCCAGACGACACCCAAGAAACCCTCTTTTTGTGACCAGGCATAAGTCACTTAGTCACCCAAGCAGGGGCAAAAAATGATTTCCTTTTTTCAATTGAGAATAAAATGACATTTTGTTCTCCAAGTGGCCCGAGTGAGACAGGAAGACCGTCCTATGGACAAGCTGTCTCCAAAGATAAAGAGACAAATGGTAGGATGCTGGAGGAGTTGTCCTGCCTCAGATCCCAGGTTCTGTAAGTCCTTCCTTCCCAAGTGGAGCAGATGGGACCCCACACCATGCCTCCCGCAGATTGGCCACCCTTGGGTACCAAGTACCCTCCTCCTGCCTGAGTGCGGAGAGGCTGTCCCTAAACACAGTGAGTGTCACTGTCCTGCTTACCCCTACCCCGGGCCCCTAACCAATACACTTCCTCACCTTGTGCCTTGATATGACAGTGGCAGGAGCCAACAGCTCCGGACCGATGACCTGGGTCAGTGCTACGAGCACTGTGGATGTTCTCATGAGGACCTTATCAGCACCTTCAGGACCTGCAGTGTCAGGGTCTGAATGAGATATTCTGTGCCAGTGACAGAGGCTAGGGAAGTTGGCTGCCACCTGCTGTCCTTCTGGGCAGTGTCTGAAGATATGAAGCATCACTCCAGGCTGAGGCCACAGCCAGCCAGGGAACAGTCTGCAAGCCAGGCTACTTGAGGTGCCCCAGGTTAAAACAGAAAGGTCCAGCCATCAGCCAGAGACAGCCCTGGCAGCTGAGGGCCCTGCTGCTGCCATTCTGGGGGATGAAGGGTTCTTCTGGGCAAGGTCCTCTTAGTATCAGAGGAGAGTCCAGACCGTGGCTAGCTGCTACCCAGACCATCTGTGTGAGCTGAAGAGGCTGCCGGGAGATCTACAAAATAAACTATTTTTTGAAGGAAGCCCTTTGGCCTTGACTTATTCTGTGGACCAGAAAAGCCTGACAGGTAGAGAGGATGGAAGGTTCTCCCCATTCTCCCAGTCTCCCTCTTTGAAACGTCAGAGAGCTTTGCGCCAGCCGCACTACTCAGGGAAAGATGGAGGTCCAGGGAGCTTTTACTTGTTTCCATCCCTTCCCATCAGAGCGCAGACGCACACCCTCAGTCACACAGGGCAGACTGGGGTCTAGTCTTCCTTCTGTGACGACGGGCTGTGGTGTGTCCAGGCATCTGAACCACACTTGGGATCCAGCTGTCCCTTCACAGGAACCTCGTCCCCTCCCACAACAGCTTATCCACTCATAGGGACTGCTCATTCTCAACCCTCAACAACTATTACTTTAATTTTGGTCCAGCGTCTTTCCGAGGGGTGGGTCAACCCGAGTTCTCCAACACCCGCCCACTGGGTAGAGAGAACTTGACACACACAGGGACGAACCACAGAGAATGAGGAAGAGGCGCAGGTCTATTGGTGATTTTTGGATGCCTGAAGCCAGAGGCCTATCAGGAACCTATTCGTGTTTTTGTTTTAAAAGACTCTCCCTAGTTTGAAGACGAGTAGCCTCATCCTCAGATGGCTCAGTCTAGAGGCAGCTGTTAATGTTTTTATGATGCCATTCTGTGTCACCAGATACCTGGGAAGGCAAGTAAGCTGACACTAGGCTCTGGAAGACGGAGGGGGCTTAGGCAGACTTCCGGCTGGATTCCGGACACATACCTAGTCACTGTCACTGTAGTGGTGCTGACATTTAGTCTGTGTGCAGTCAGCAGCAAGCGCCGTTGTCCCTGACAAAGCCAGTGTTTCCATGACCCCTCAGGGGACTTAGCCACTACCCTCAGGGGAAGGGAGGAAGGACCAGCTACCTCTGTGTGGACAGAGTCCTTGTTGCCCAGTTCGGGTCCATATAAGGTGGCTATTTGGTCTATTTGTACAGATGTGGGGCCATCCTGGAGCCTCCCAGTGTGCACATTCCAGAAATAAGTCCTGATTCTCCCTCCCCTAACAGCCATCATCTATTTGCCAATACTTCCTCCACCAGGGTGGGGTGTGTGAGCCCACATCCCTTCAGATTGTTGACTGGCTTGGTCTTGTTCAGGTCTGGTGTTGTAGCCACATGTGCCATGTGTCTGTCATGATGAAAAAGATTTGTTTGGCCACAGTCTTCTGCTATACTAACCCCATGGATCTTATGATCTCCACACCCCCAACACACACACACACACACACACACACACACACACACACACACACACACACACACACACATACACACTGATCCCCGAGCCTTGGTGGTGAGTGTCTGTGACATACAAGACTGTGTATTGAACAGGTCACAGTCACATATTCTCTACACTTTAGCAAGTTGTAGGTCTGTGAACTGCTGCCCACTGCAAAAAAACAAAAAAACGCTTCTCCACGGATGGGGAGCTGCCCTCACCATGGAGGTAATGGTAACTATTTAGAGGGCAGTTTGATAATGCATCCATTTAGCAAGATGATAAACAGAGGTTCCACTTGGGGCCTATTTGCTTCCTCTGTTAACAGTGCCTAACCCTGTCATGGAAGTATTCAACTACACAAAGTAGGGATGTTTTATTGAGGGGGAATTCACTTTACGTGAGAAGTCAAGAAAGCCACACAGCCAAAGGTCTGCAGGCTGCTGCTCTCTGGGACTCAACCAGACTGCAACCGGAACCCAAAATGAGAGGGAGTCTCCTCCCCCTAGCTCCTCCCCTCCCCCGGCCCCGTACCTGTGACCTGTGACCACGTAACCCAGTTAACATTTCCAGGCATGACTTCAACCTTGAGGAGCACATCTGAAATCTGATTAGAATGCAATTGGTGACTTCCCTATCATTCATGCCACTGTTGTATGTGTGAGTGTGCCTTGCCAGGCTGGTTGTAGCTCACAGGGGTTTAAAAATTGATTAGTTTTCTTCCCGAGTCTTCGTGGTGTCTCTGGCACTGTCACAACTAGCCAGTACGGAGGACACTTCCGGGTCAGCACCAGCTTCAGCAACAAGCTCTGTTAACAAGTTCTGGTGGGCACCCAAGAGCAAAGCAATTGCCGGTGTTATTTGGTGGAGTGTCAGTGGGACAACCCAACCCAAACCTGACACTTTTTTTTTCCTTGGGTTTTTCGAGACAGGGTTTCTTCTCTGTATTGTTTTGGAGGCTGTCCTGGAACTCCCTCTGTAGACCAGGCTGGCCTTGAACTCACAGAGATCTGCCTGCCTCTGCCTCCTGAGTGCTGGGATTAAAGGTGTGTATCACCAACGCCCGGCTTTACTTTTTTTTTTTAAGTACTTTTCGCATCTTGCAAAATGGCAATTCTGTACCTATTGCAATGAATTCCTGTTTCCTGACCTCCCACCCCCCCTCCCCACCCTACCTTCTATCTCTGTGGATTTGGGAACCTTATCACTGAACTCGTGTTGGCTCATTTCACAATGTCCTCAAGGTTTGTCCGTACCATGGCATGTGTCATGATTTCCTTCTTAGAGACTGAACATTTCCATCACGAAGCTACCACACATTCCTTTACTCCCATGGGAGGCTACAGGTAGCTTCTGCCTTGTGGCTGTGGTGGATTATACTGCAGGGGGCTTATAGGGTTACTCTTTGTTGACTTTTAGAGGAACCTCCAGGGATCAGTGCCCAGCAGTGAGGTCCCAGAGTTCTCCTACACGTCCTTGCCTACACATGTTTTCTCAGAGATTTTTCTTTTTTTTTTTTTCCCCCTGATTTAGATTGTTCACTTATAACCATGCAAAGAGGTGGAAAGTGATTTAAACTCAAAAGTCACTGCAAGGGCTGGAGAGATGGCTCAGCAGTTCTGAGCACTGGCTAGTCTGTGGGAGGACCCAGGCTTGGCGGCCGGCACCCACTGGGTGGCTCACAACTGTATATAACTCTAGTTCCAGAGGATCCGACGCCCTCTTCTGGCCTCTGCAGCTACTACACACATGTGACCCACGTACATACAGGCAAAATACCAAGACACACATTTTTTTTAAAAAAATTGCTTATAGTTGGACCTTTAACCTGCTATGTCTGTTGCTTGACACTGTGATTGCAACGTCTGACAGAAACATCTGAAAAAGATGGGATTTATTTGGCTTGTGATTTCAGTCCATCACAGCTGGCGAAGCAGAGCAGTGGGAAGTGTGACCAAGGATGTTGACTTCTCCCTGGAACCTTCCAAGTCCCAGCCCTGTGGCCTTCTGTCAGCCGGGCCCCAACTCCTAACAGTGTCACAGCAGTGTCACAGTCTCCCTTCATAGTGCCAGCAGCTGGGAAACAAGTATTCAGGGTCACACGTCACAGAGGCCAGCAGCCTATATCCAGGCCCCTGATGCTCAAGGCTTTGCCCAACGTCCCTGCCTCTCTCCCATCCCTCTCAATTCTGGTTCAGTGAAGCCGCTCCCAAGGCTGACCCAGCCTGGTGGAGACAGACCTTCCCAGAGGCAGCCAGGCTCACCCTCATTGTGAAGGAGACTGTGGGATGTCCATCCTTACCCCGAGGCTGAGCTGGGGATGGCTCTGGTTTCTGCTACCCATGGATCTGCCTCACTGTGTCAGCAACGTGCCTGGTGGATCCTTGTGTTCTTTGCCTTGGAGTCTCCCTCCCTCCCTTTGATTTGTTCTTAAATTGAGCAGGTTGCTTGCTAAAAACTCGGTTTAGCTGAGCAAAATGGTTCATACCTGTCATCTCAGCACTGGACAGCCTGAGGCAGAAGGTCCAAAACATAAATTGTCCTTGGTTTACTGTCTCATTCAGGGTCTAGAGAATTATATCTTTAAAAAAGATTTATTTTTATGTGCTCTGAGTTTTTTGCCTGCATGTATATCTGTGTGAAAGTATCAGATGCCCTGGAACTAGAGTTACAGACAGCTGTGAGCTGCCATGTGGGCGCTGGGAATCAAACCCCAGTCCTATAGGAAAAGCAGCCAGTGCTCTTTTTTATTATTAATTTATTTTTTACATTCCAATCCCAGTTCCCCCTCCCTCTTTTCCTCCCACGCCCTCCACTCCGCCCTCCTCTCATGTGCTCCACAGAGAGGGTAAGGCCTCCCATAGGAAGTCTACAAAGTGTGTCCCATCATCCAGTTGTGGCAGGACCAAGGCACCTCCTCACCCCCCACACCCTTGTGTCTAGGCCGGGCAAGGTGTCTCTCCATATAGAATGGGCTCCACTAAGTCAGTTTGGACATTAGTGTTAGGTTTTAGCCAGTGCTCTCAACCGCTAAGCTGTCTCCAGCCCTGAGAGTTGTATCTTATCTAGGATACTAAGGGCCCAGGATTTACTAGTCATCCACAAGCTTGCCCAGGTGTACTGGTTAATTGTCATTTTTCTTCAGTTTGACACAGGCTATTGTCATCGGGGGCAAGAGGGAACCTAATTGAGAAATCACCTCCATCCAGATGGCTCATAAACAAGTCTGGGGAGCATTTTCTTGATTATAGAGGGAGAGCCCAGCCCACCAGATAGTCAGGTGGTCCTGGGTTCTATAAGAAAGCAGACTGAGCAAGCCACGGGGAGCAAGCCAGTAAGCAGCACCCTCCGTGGCCTCTGCATCAGCTCCTGCCTCCAGGTTCCTGCCCTGCCTGAGTTCCTGTCCTGACTTCCCTGGTGACGGACAGTGACCTGTAAGTCAAACAAACCCTTTTCTCTTCCAGTTGCTTTTGCCCGTGGGCTTTATCACATCTACTGAGAGCAACTAAGACACCAGGCTTCCATGTTTCCTCAGAGACGCTGACCAGTTCCAGGGGTGGGAGCATCAAGGAAGCGGCCACTGAAGATGCGGGGGGGCGGCTCAACACCCCTCAAGCACAGGGGAAGCAGGGAAAACAGTCCCCAGAACTAAGCTGACGCCTCCTGTCTTCCATCTGCTGGCAGAGCGGAGGGCTATACCGAGGGACAGGTGGGCCCAGCTCAGGGAAGCAAGATGGGCAGGAGGCCACTGAGTTGCCGTAGGTTGTGTTGGTTGCTCATTTGGTCTCTGTCTTGTCCTTCAACTAAGACTTGGAGACCTGAGGCCTGGCATCATGCCACAGGACTGTCTGAAGAGGACGTACCTACCAGTCCACTTCCAACACTTAGCAGGTCTCTAGCCCTTCTGTAGCCCCCCGCAACTGCTGTTGGGAGAAGGGGCAGGTATCTAAACACCCAGGAGTCAGTCCTGGGGGAGGTTTGTGCCTCTGTAAGTCAGTGGATAAATGGGACCTGGTGCTGCCCACTAGGGCACCTCTGCTTACTTAGCTTCTCCAGACAGCCCCAGGCTACCCCTACGGCACCAGTATGATTGTTTTTCTGTAGTTTAAAGTGCCAGGTTAATCCCCTCACTGAAGTTTCAGCGGGCTAAGACCATGTCAGTGGGAACATTAACTAGTCACAGTAGTGGCTGGGGACATGATGCCTCTGTGGTTGAGCCTGTGTCTCAGGGTATGGCTAATTGAAAAACCACAGCGTCGGGTCCCAGGTGCTCCTTACTTGGGCTTGTCCAAACCACATTTCTTCACCAGCAAAATGGTTAATTAATAAGCCACGGCCTCCCCAGGTGCTGCATGAGCTCATGGTGGTGACCATCCCTGGCCTGGCATGTCGTGGGTGATGAAAAGGTGGGAACAGCCCCACAGGAGCCCGAGGGTGGCGCATGAAGACTCAGTCCCCCTCCCGCCCTCTCCGAGTCACCGCTTTAGGAGTAGCTAACAGTTGTCTACAACTCATTCCCAAGATGCTACCTGCCAAGTGCTCATTCTGGGGGGCAGTGTGCCAGCCGTGTGAATTTCATTGATGACCCCGCCCTTAGGCTCAGATTCGGTGGGAACATGGTGTCAGAGGACCCGGTTCCTGTGCTGTGTCGTCCGTCCGTCCCCTCCCCCCCCTCTGTCTGCACTGAGCCACACGGCTGCTGTTAGCCTTTATTGACAGTTACTCAGTACTACACTTACAGAGTCTGGGCACTGCCCGGAAACAGGGTTTTAACACTTAAACAACACGACCTATTGAGGGCCTGGCACACACAGCAGCTGAGCAAGCCTGGCCAGCTGGGCTAGCCTGCACCATCTGGGGGGGGGGAGAGAGAGAGAGAGAGAGAGAGAGAGATCCACCAGGTTCTAGGTAGGGGATGGCCTTGAACACAAGGTCTCACAACGCCCTTCCAGACAGCCGGCCCACCAGCTGATTCTTCTGAGCATTGGGCTCTAGGGTATGAACCCCCAGATGTGGGGTCAGACATCAAGGTGGAAAAGGACAGGTGGCCCCCACCCCCACTCTCCTGCCTGCAGAGCCCTTACTGGAAAAAGCAGCCATGGAGCAAGAGAGCAATGCAAGAACAGACACAGGGGAGACGAGGCAGCCGGCTCCAATGATACTCCACGATGTACGCTGCACAGGGTGACGGCACTCCGGGGCTCACATGGTCCTGTCGCAAATGTTCCAAACCTGGCACAGACAGGTCTCTGCCTTTTCCTCCTCAACCCCACAGGCCCTAGAGAAATCCTCTCCAAACTCAAGGCTAGGGAACCTCCCCTTCTGGGTGTCCCCAGGAGTGGATGCGAGCCATGGCTAAAGGCTGAGGAAAAGATCTGGCCTGGTAGGAAAATGGCCAGGTGCTTCCCAGTAGCAAAAGAGCTCGCTCATTCTCTGAATTGCAGGGCTGTGGGGGAGGGGCCGCTGCCCCAGCAACCTGGAGATGCGACTCGGGTCACTAGGGAGTTAGGGTCTCTGAGTGGTGGGGACTCTGCCCAGAGTTTCATTCCAGGGACCTCAGCTGGGGTCACAATAAATATAAATAAATTTACACAAGGTCCCAGTGGTCAGCACGCTCTGGAAACTCCAGGAGAAAAGGGCAGGAGCCAGTGCAGAGGTCAACTGTCTCGCCTCCAAGGCAGGTCCAAGGCTGGCCAGGCCTTTCTCCAGCTTTGGGTCACACTCTGAGGCATAGGCGAGGGTCCTCTCCTGGGAGAATGTGTATGCTCGGAGCTTCCCCTCCTGTGTCTCTGTGACAGGCCACTGTGTCCCAAGGTGGGTCGCGGACCATCCAGGGCCGGCCAACACCAGGCTAAAAATAACCAGACCTCAACATGGCCGTGCCTGTGTCTCAGGCCCTGCAGGAGAAGGGGAGGTCGGGTGCTTGCCACTCTCCCATACTTCTGATTTGGGTGCCCCAGAAGTGTCCTGTGGTGGCGTGGGGGGAGCAGGAGGAACTAAGCATTGTCACTTTTCAACCAGCAGCTGGGGACGCTGTTGGAGCCACAGTGCCTTTCTCCAGGCTGGTGGCTCAAAGTAGAGCTATGGGCTTATTTCCTGGAGTACCCAGGTACTGAACAGAGGTGGCCACTGCTGGGGCCATGCTGTCTGGGGTGGAGTATGCAGCATAGAGACCTGTCACCTGCACATCAGGGAAGGACTGGTCACCGCTGCCAGACACGGGGGTCAGGCTTGGGGCTCCCAGGTCACAGCCAAGTGGGGAGTCTCCGAAGGCCCCCAGCGTCTCCAGGCTAAAGCTGTCCTCCTTCACCTCTTCCCAGAGGTTACCTTGCAAAGACAAAAACATTTGGGTGAGCTGGCTTAGGGTCAAACAGCCCTGAGTTCAAATCCCCTTCCTAGAAAAAGAGGCAAAGATCGTGCATGTGTGACATTCAAGGCCTTGTGTTTTCACAGAGTGGAGGGAAGGTAGAATTCTAACTCTGGTCGTCTCCTGCTGCTGTGTGTCCCTGGGGAAGCACTTTAGTCTCTGAGCCACGGTGTAAGAGATGATGGAAACGCCCACCTTTGAGGTAAGGCGGAGACGGTGAATGGAAAGAATTTCATTCTCGTTGGGTGAGAGGAGGGACAGGAAGATGGCATGTGCCTTTCGACTGTGACAGAGCTCTCGGCTGACTCCCCCACCACCCGATTCTGCTCCCTACTGAGGGACAGGACACAGCAGGCACATGCATGTTAGGGGTCGGATGAGTTGGGAGCCTTCACCAAAGCACATAATACCCCGGTTGGTTCTTGGATATGTCTATCCGCTTATCCACTCACCCTTGACCTACTGAAGGGGGCGCTGTGCCACAGTGTAACCCCCCCCACCTTAGCATGCATAGCTTTGAAGCAATTACTGAAGAAAGTTTGAGGCAGTAGGCTTAAATCCTAGATTTGTCACTGAGTAGCCAGGGGACCTAGGCTGGTAACTAGACTTCTCTTTGTTTCTGTGTCCTCATCGGCAGAATGGGGTCCTGAGATGCCAGGGCCTTGGGGCTGTGGCAGGTGATGCCTAGGAAGTGCTTGGTTGGTATACAGCAGGTGCTTTTTAAGTGTTCAGTGGGTGGGGTGGTTGTCATAGTGATGATGCTAAGTGCGGGCAGACTGCTGCTGGGCTCCCATCTCTGTCCCCAACCCCGTCCAACCCCCATCTCTTGCATCTCACCCTGTAGAGCAAAATCCATGATGCTGGGGTCCAGGGCATCCACCTCCGTGTTCATGTCGGTGCTGATGTTGAGGAAGTCCCCAGGAGGCCTGCCCATGGATGGCTGGGGGAGAGGCCCTGGGCTGAGATTGGCCAGGGCATGAAGAGGTGGGGTCTGGGCTGGTGCCGGGGAGTCTGGGGCCAGGTGTGCCTGGGGTTGGACCTGGTGGTGCAGGGGAACTGATTGCAGGGACAGGGTCATCAGTGGCTTTGGTGGGAGTTGGGAGATGCCCAGGCAGCTGCGGGCCATGGCCACCGTGGTGGCGTGAGTCAGCATAGGGGCCTCAGGTTCTCCTGGCTTGCCAGGACGCCGGCAGCTTTCTGGCCGGTCTGAGATGAGCTTGTCCAATTCCTCTGCAGACAAGTAGGAAATGTCACTTAGAAGCCCCTGCTGTCACCAGGCCCTAAGCCCCTGTGCCACCACCCATGTGAGTTTAGCAACCATCTTAGACCGTCTCCTCTTTGAGACTGCATGATACATTCCACACAGGGTTGCTATGGAGATATTATGCCCTGCCAAGCCATTAAAAGGACTTTGAGGAACAGGAGTTGTCATGAAATCCTAATAGCCCCTCCCCTGCAGGTAGGACCTTACAGCACAGACCTGTGGCCCTAAGACTTAATGAACTCTCACCAGTCCCTGAGGGAGCTGAGGCAGGGACAAAGGTCCCAGGAGACAGCCAGCCAGATCATTAATGCCTGTGGAGACCTCCCTACTCTGTGTGTAGAAACACTGGACATCATTGCTACCGGCTAAGAGCTGGGTCTCCTCCCGTGACAATGCATACAAGCAAAAAGCAGACATCACCCTTCTCTAAAAAGCATGCATATGCGTGTGCACCATGGAGCACGTGTCAGGGCCAGAATACAGCCTCGGGTGTGGCCCTTGCCTTCTGCCTTCCCTGAGACAAGGTTTACTGGGGCCAGCTCGCCCTTCTCTACCATCCGTCTTGCCAAAGGAGCGCTAGCATTACTGATATGTACTGCCACGTCTGCCTTTACCTGGACTCTGGGCATCCAAACTCGAGTCCTCGCACAGCAGTATGTACCTTTCCTACTCAGCCATCTCCCCAGCCCCGGAAATCACTCCTGTTTGGCTGTTGCCTTTGTCTCACAGGAGTCCTGGGATGATTGCCACGCTGAGCCCTCCTGCCACTTTCTGCCAACACCCTACTCTCTGTCACTCAGTGTAGCATTGCTGTCCCACCCCAGCCCTGTCATTTGAACCTGGAGCCTCCACTCTGGCTAGACTGTCTGGCTAGTGAATCCCAGAGATCCTCCCATCTCTGCCTCCCCAGGACAGGGCTCACAGACACGTGCTGCCAAGCCCCCACCCTGGCTTTTACATAGAGTGTCTCTCTGTCTCTGCCTAAAAAAAAAAAAAAGCCAGATGCTCTGTATCTGGAGCTACAAAAAGTCATGAGTAGCCCAAAGGGTGCTAAGAACCAAACTTCTGCCCTCTGTAAGACCGGGAAGTGCTCTTCACTGCCCGGCCGTTCTCCAGCCCTCCTATTATCTCAAACACCCATTCCAACGCCATCCTACAGCCGTGAAGTTAGAAACTGGGGATGGCAGATTCGACAGTCTTTCCCATTTCTCACCAGGTCCCTGCACTTGCCAGCTTCTAGACAAGGGCGGGAGCCCTGGAGGCTGGGGAGGAGGTGGGCGTGTGAGTCAGGGGCTCACCCGGGTTGGCCATGCTGCGGTGGATAGCCGCAAGGTCCTTCCTCTTCCACTTGTGCATCTCCTCCTCCATCTTGTCGATGCGTGCCAGGTTCAGGGCCCACAGGCAACCCTTGCGTGAGGAGCCACTGGACTTGGTTTCCACCTTCTCGAAGCATTTGTTCAGTGACAGGTTGTGCCTGACCGAATTCTTCCAGCCGTCAGGCGCTGTCTGTGGGGACACATGGGTACCCAGTAGACTCCTCAGGTGACCTCCCTAGCCATTGTTTACCTGTCTGGAAACACTCAAACTCATGCCTCTCAGGGTGGGACACAGGGAAGTCCGTCTACAATACAAGCTGTGGAGATGAGAGGGGAGCGTGGGGAATGGCACCCCAGAGGTCCTCTTGCCTTGGTATCCTGGGACCTGTAGTTGGACCACAGCCCAGGCTTCAGAAATGTCCCCCCTTCTCTCCCACTGGGTAGGGATTAGGGGAGACTGATCCTGGTGGTTATGTAGCTGCCCAGTAAGTTCAATGCAAATCACTTTCAAATGCTTATACTTTGTTGCTAGGCAACCAGATGCCGGGACCCAGTTCACCCAACCCATGTGTTCCAGCATTTCTACTTGGGATGCTGTCCAGGCATGAGATCCTGTGATCTGGGACTCTTGGCTGCCTGTTGGTCTTTGGGTTTGAAGTTTACAGGGTGGCTCAGTTTAATGTAGAGGAAGCCCTGGATGGTGGCGGTGCCGGGGGGGCCGGGTGGTTCCAGCGCTACCCCACCCTGGGCCAGAGCCCTCACCTTGAAGTAGGGGAAGTGCTCCTTCATGAAGCTGTAGATCTCACTCACAGGCAGGCTGCCAGTCTTGCTGTTCTTCAAGGCCATGGCGATCAGACAGCTGGGGCCAGAGATGGGGCCCGCAAACAGCTCTCAGGTGACAACCTAAAGTCCCTCTACCTGTACCAGCCCCGCTACACTCCTAGTGTTAGCTCCCTGTCCACACTTTTCCTGGGCCCACGCCTGTCCCCTCCCTACCCTTGTCCCTGCTCAGCCACAGCAGTGAGCTGAGAAACTACTCTTGCTCTTTGACCCCCCCCCCACCCACTCCCAAGGGCTTTTAGACTTCACCCAAGGTGCTTTCTTCCCCACCCCACCCTTGAACCCCAAGAAACATGCTCCCTCTTCTGTAACTGACTTTTTAATCTGAAGAAGTAGGCTGGAAGAGGCCAAGCCATACAGCCTGTGAAGATGGAGAACCAGCCTGAGGCAGGGTCAGCAGGCCACATGCCAGCCCCTCCTGAGAGTGGGTCCTACTTGGGGGTTTCCCTTGGGAACCAGATCACCTTTCCTATCTGCCTAAGATGCCCCAGTGGCAGCCTCTGTGCCACCCTTCTGGGCAGTCAGACCTCACCTGTAGGAGTAGATGGGTTTGGGATAGTGTTTGGGGTGCGGCTCCTGTGATGAGTGCGCTGCCATGTGGGCCTGTGGGTAGGAAGGCCGCGCTGCGAATGGAGAGCCATAGAGACCTGCAGGAGGGCACTTCACAGGAAGGGGCAGGGCCAGGCAGCAGAGAGAGAAGGGCGGTGAGACAATGGGGAGGTGAATTACAAACCCCAGCCCGGTTCCTAACTGCAGGGACTTAAACACAGAAGCTGTTCCCATGTCCCCAGCAAGGCACGAACGGTGCCAGCACCATGGGCACGGCACGAATGAGTGCAGGATGGTCTATCTCCGAGCCCCTGGTACCTGCTGGGGCCCTGGGGGCAGAGGGAACTGGAGTTGGGTGGCAGGTGAATACAGCTGTGGCACTTCCGGTAGGCCCGATGGTGGTGCTGACTGTCCTCCTATGGGGAACTGGTTCATCTGCTCAGCCTGGAGGGCAAAAGACAGAAGGTCAGGGAGGAACAGTCATCCGCCCCCTCCTTCCCAGCGTGGCACTTACGCTAGCTCTGTGGCTGCCTATGGGGCCCAAACCCAGCATGCCTCTGGGGGCCATGGCAGCCTGGCCTCGGAGCAGGGGACGTGAGGCTGCACCCACATGTAGGTCTGCTGCTCTGGCCAGAGCACCTGTAAAAGGAAGGTCAGGATGGTGGCCACAGTGGGAGTGGGGGCCGCCTTCCACCCCAGCACCAGGCATACAGCAAGCACCTCCAGACACTTTTCTGGAATGTGGTGGTTAGCAGTGGGGTTCCTTTAACCTGTATGATCAGGTGCCAGCCTCAGTGTTCCCTTTTCTGCTGACCCCTCATCTATTTACAAAATTGTGGTGGTTAAATGAGATGCTGCCTACCAGGCGCTTAGCACATGATCGGGCAGGTGATAAAATCCTGATTAATGTGACCCAATAATGACAATGACGATAGACTACCTTGGTTCCTGTCCTTTATGAGCTAAAACACCAATTTATTGTTCATCTCCTGAAAGGCTTCATGGCTCCTTGAACTCTAGATTTAGATACAAGTGCTTTTGTCCCCTCTTCTTCACTGAAGCTCTGCTAGTCACCCAAAGATTAGCCCAAGGACAACAGATGTGCACCTGCATCCAGTGCTGGGCCTGTGACAGACATTACTAATCCATCACAGATTCTCATTGCACGGCCTCTAATCAAGTAAAAGTGACCTGCAAAATGCTGCTAGGCTCTGGCTTATTTTACCATGTACCAAACCTCAACAGCTTTAAGATGTCTCCCGTATGGACCACTGGCAATACCCTGTAAGAATAGTTCTGCACACATTCCCTGAAGATGAGGAAACTGATCGAAGGGGCAGGCGCATTCCAATGCCACATAGATGTCTTCCAGAATTCTAGATTAGAGTTAGAAAACTGACCAGCAGGCCAAATCTGGCCCATAGTCTGATTTGTCAAGCTTTATTGGCACACACCTATTTGTTTACATATAGTCTGTGGCTGGGTTTTCACTGTCAACATCAATACCAAATAGCTTCAACTTATACCTTATGAATTAAAAAGTCTAAAATAATTTATTTCCAGCAAAGGTATAGCAGAGCACACCTGTAATTCCGACACTAAAGAGCTGAGGCAGGAGGATCTAGAGTTCATAGCCAGCCTGGGATATTTAGGGAGAGCCTGTCTCAAAAGTAGATATTTCCTGGTCCTTCATGGGGGCATACGTTAGCTGCCTTTTGCTGTGCACATTGCTCAAGAAAACTTTGCCTGCAGAGCCGTCCTGCCAGACACTGATGCCCACTTTGCCCTGCTCTTACATGGTGATAGCTTTTCTGCCACCATTCTCCATCAATGCTGTCTTTGGTCCACTTCCTTTGATTATAGCTCCCTGTCATTTATGGAGCACCTACTAGGTGCCAAGATTATCTCAGAATCTTCTACAACAGAGGGCAGTACACTTGTTTTCTAAAGGGCCAGACAGCAAAGGCTTTAGGCCTTGCCAGCCGCCTGGCCTGTCATCTTCATTTTCTTACAATCTTCAGAAAATCTAAACCCCACCTTAGCCCTTGCAAGGATGGGGCCTCAGCTTGCATCTGGCCCACCATGAGTTTGCTGACGGCGTGAGGTGTTGGAGATGTCCCATGTGTTGTCTTCTCCAGGGCTTGGCAAATCACTAAGGAAGTGTGGGCCTGTTCCCATCTTACAGATATGGACAGAGAGATCAGACAGAGGGACCTCTCCAGGGCCACCCAGCAGGCTGAGGGCAGGGCCAGGGGTCACCTCCTCCCCTTGAGCCTACCTGGGTGCGGCTGTGGCACACTGGGGTTGCCCAGGTCTATCCGTCCGCTTGCCATCTGCTGCAGCCTAGGCACGTCCACGGCTGTGAGCCACGACAGCGACTGAAGGTCTCCAGGGAGGTCATCGTCACCCATGGTTGGCAGGAGCCTGTTCCAAAAACCAAAGCCTCAAAATACAGAACTTCTTGAGTGCCCCCATCATGCCACAGTGGACAACTCCACACCTTGGATCATTTGGGGGATCACCATCCAAATGTGGGTCCAGTGAAAATAGGGTATAAAAATCCCTTCAAGCTGGCCATGTGAGACACAGGAGACATCTGTGAACCCCATCTTTAGCCTCCAGCCTCTCTGCAAAGATGCCGCACAGCGCCTGCCTCAACACTCTCCAAACGGCCAAATCGAAATTTAAAACACTTCTGGTCTCAAACACTTTGCCTGGGTATATGCATAGTGTGTCCCCTTTTATTTATGGTAAGCTGAGGTTCAGCACAGTGAGTCCCTTGGTCAAGACCACTCAGCATGGGACAGCCTGCAGCCAGGGCTCTTCACTGTGGCCCAGGGAGCCCCTGGAGCCCCACAGGCCTACAGTCCTCAGCAGGCCAACACATACATGGAGTACACATCCATTTCTGCAGGAAAAAAAGCTGTGCTGTACAAGGACCCCAACTGGGGGGATGCCTCTGGTATCCCTGAAGTCCCATGTGTCATGTGGCCAACAGCTTTGTGGTGGCATCTTGTGTATTCTGTACTGGGATGCCCATACTGCACCCCAGCACTATCTACATCATCAGTACCGGGAGCTGTTTGCTCTGTTGCCAGGAGACTGCCCACACTGGAGTTCAAGCCGTTGTGAGACAGGGTCTCAGAAAGAGGAATGAGGAGGACTTGTGTCCTAGAGCCACAGCCTCTAGGTTCCTCCACATCTGTGGGGGTTGCCACTGGCCTGTCATTCCTTCGCTCACATTCCTGTCACCTCCAAGCTCACCCTCTCCTCTTCCATCTCTGTCCTCTTGTGTTTTGGAGCCACAGTTAGTGTTGCCGTGAGTACCACTGCTCAGCTGTCAGAGGCCTGGGACATCAGCCCATGAAGCCGCTCTCAGGTGACTATTGGCTGCCTCGGCCATTGGTTGCCTCACAGAAAAACAGGGCCTGGAAATCATTTGAAAACTGGCTGGTCCGTGTCAGTGGCAACAGTTGGCCCGGCTGCTGTCCCCTGGTGGCCCATTGTGCCACAAACGACTGTTGCCCCTATGGCACGTGGCTCCCATTGTTCCCCGTCTCGATGCTATTGTTTCTGTGGTTTCCTGAGTGCCACCCCTTTGGCCTGCTCATAACTCATCTGAGTGACAGTCCTGGCCCTGGCCTGGGCCACGCCATCTGTCTCCTAGGCCCCCAGAGACTACGGTGTGAAGGGAGGGGCTGACCCCTCTCTCGTCCTCACCCCACAGCCAGCAAACCTCCCAGGGCCGGCTCTGCGTAGGACTAGGGAGATGGAGAGGCGCGCCTCTGCCATCGGGTTTCACAAGGCAGGAACTCTGCAAGGCTCCAGGACGACAACATGGACTAGAACCTGCCAGGGGTGAATCCAGGAAGCAATGCACACAATGGTGGAGGCTCAAGCTTGGGGTTCTAATCCCGGTCTCCCTTAAGTCACTCAACCTCTCTGAAAACCACAGACAACTGTCACCGTCACAGGACGCTTTAAGTGTCAAGCCTGTGAAACACTGAGCAGTACCTGGTTCCCAGCACATGCACTGATACCATTTCTTTGGCAGCCGTTAACACCAATGTTAGCATCGCAATTAAGAATAGCCAGGCTCAGAGCCAGTGAACACACACCCAAACCACTGTCTCTAACCCCTTCCACTCATTGAGACACCTTTAAAGTTAGGCCCTAAGCTGTCCCCATTTTCCATATGGAGAAACTGAGTCCCTGGTCTGTCTGTCCCTGTGCCATGGGTGCTTCACCGGAGTGGAGCAGGTGCTTGGTGGGCTTGGTGCTGTCCTGGTGGCGGCCTCCTTTCCTTGCATTCTTTTGTCCCTCCCGTGCCTCCTGCAGCCACCACCATGTGCCCAGCTGCCACCTGCTCAGCACACCCAAACACTGCCTGCGTCTGCACTTCTGCCTTTGCTGTTCCCCAGGGGCCTGGCCCTTTCTTGTCCTACTTTCCCAAGACCATCCTAACCGCCTTCTGGGTATTTCACCTAGGATGCCCCTCGCAGGTCCCCTGCCTGCGCTCTAAGGTGGTCCAGGGAAGCCAGTGTCACAGGGAGACATCCACACTATGACCCCAACTCTGCCAGGACAGGGCGGGATCATGAGGGTTCCGGGCTCCTCGGAGAGGGTTCTTCCTGTGTCTGTGGACAGCCGTGTCACCTGTGCCTCAGCTCAGTCACCATCTGCCGTGAGTGCTTCCCACTGGTCCTCCGTAGCTCACCAGTCTACCCTTAGCCCTCCGGGGGCTCGCTAAAGACCCAGACCCCGTGTGCAACCAATGCAGCCTTTATGTGCCTGCATGGCTGGTTGAAATAGGCTGAGCCCAGGTCACCCACCCTAAGAAAGGCACAAGAGTGACAAGTCAGTCCTTGGCCCTGCTGGAGCTGCCCTCTTCTCTCATGAATTCCTTGTGTCGGAGCACCAGGGTGGCTACAGATAGCAGAACACCTTACTTTACAGATGGGGAAACTGAGGCTGGCACAGTAAAGGTCCCTTTGCATTCAATTGAGGCAACAAGGACTTAAATCTGGTTTCTGCTGTACTTCGCCTTTTCTCCTGAGCCCTGTTCTCCATTTTGGGTTTTTTTTTGCTATTCATTTTAGGGGTCCATGATAACCCCTGCTGCCTCAGGCATGTAAGAGGCCATCTGCTCCTTCTTTCCCCCAGCCCCTAGACAGAATGTCCATCTCTGTGTGCCAGCCCTGCTCAGCCCAGCCAACCCTGCTGCGTTCCCTTGACGGAACACTGGAAGGAGCCCACTAGCTCCAAGCCTTGTCCCCTCCTCTCCTTAGCATGCAGGGTACCAGGGACTGATGTGTGGGAGGGCAAAGGAGAATGGACTGTCCTGACTGTCCAGTCCAGGAACACAGCAGGGTACCCCTCTTCACAGCAGCACAGGGCCCTCCAGACTTCTTCCCCACCAATCCCTGCATCTCCCCATCCAGAAGGCACCGGGTGTTCAGCCTCGCTTTTCCCCGGTGCCTCGTGGAGTGTAAACTATGGGCCCAGGGCACTGCTACAGGAAAGGAGTCCTGATTTTAGGAGCTACCTCTGGCTTCCTGCCACCAGCCAGAACGCTCGATCCCTAACCTTGGTTTTCCGAACTGTAAAGTGGGTACGAAGAGTGACGCCTCAGACCCACAGAGTGGTTTGGAAGGGTGACGGAGAGGTGGTTTGGGATCAAGAGGGGGCAAAAGCAACAGGCAGATGGGGAGACAGAGAGCAAGCAGCTATGGCCAGGCTCAGGAGTTCCCGTTCCCTCTACTGGACACACAGGAATGAAGCTGAGGGCAAGGGAAGCCTGGCCTGGCCCTGGGGCCTCGTCAGTCTGTTCACGGTCTCTCCTGTTCCTCCGTGAGGAGCAACCCTGGGGTCGCATGCCTGCCAACTCCAGGGGGGCAGAGAAAAAACCACCCAAGAGCAGCTCTTCCGACCCGCGCCCCTCCCCCACTCTCCTCTGCACCTCTCTGAGTTTCTGTCACTGACTGACAGACTCTGGGATGAAGTCCTGGCCCCGCTCTTCCTGTGGACCCATCTTGTCCCATGACCACCTTCCCCCACCTGATTACCATGTCCCTGCTGCTCATCCGGCCACCACTACACCAGGTTTTTGGATCTGGGACTCAGGCACCTGCAATTAGTGATCACCCCGTGTCCCCTCTTACACATCTTCAGGAGTTGAGTCAGCCTTTGGCTGACTGACTGGGTGACCACACTCTGACCCAGGAGTGGTGTGTGTCGGCTGCAGGGACACTGCAAGTCCCTGGGTAGGGTGGAAGTCACTGCCGTGGTCTCCAGTGACTCTGCTGTGTTTTCTCTGGGGGCCCCGGCCTTCTGCTTGCTCACGGCGTTTCTGGGTAACCAGGCCTCCCTGTCAGGCGCCGGTTTCTCTGAACCCCAAAGAGTCAGTCCTATAGTTGCCTACAAACCTCCATTCTCTTGGGCCCCGCTAGAGTCCCCAGCTAAGGCAGGCACCACCCAGGTTTTTTGGGGTCCTTGAGGGTTTAGAAGCGTGAGGTTAATACAGGAGTGGTGCCTCGTGCTAGGTACAAGCGATCCCAGGAGCCCCCACTATCTGTAGTGGGTTAAAGGGACTTTGTCTCCTCTGTAGGAGGAGCCACAGCGCCCAACACAGGTCTTGCTTGGCACACAGTAGACACTCAACATAAATGCACCCCACTTTCCAGATGTTCAACTCTTACTCTCTTGGGGCCCAGCAGGGGTGGGAGACCCAGGTGTCCCCCATGGCAACAGCTCACCCTGATCTTACAGCCTCCTCCCTACCCCCCAGTGCCCCCCATGACTGCGGCTGGTGAGAAACTGTTACATCTCCACAGACCGTTCTTGTAGCCAGTCTCCAGGATTAAGATTCTGAAGGCCGTGTTTACCCAGCTCACATATCCTTTGTAATAGCTTTCAGAACGGTTTACAGAAAAAAAAATTAAATGCTACTTAGCATGCTCAGAAATTCCCTGAAAGACAAGAGTACACTATGCTGTCATGTGACTTGGGGGGAGAGGATGGTGCTGTTCCCCTTTAGAACAATAGCTGGCGTAGAACTGTGTGTGTGTATGGAAGGACGTGTGTACATTTGGGGGTGGGTAGCATGACTGGACTCCAGGAAGGCTACTTCTTGCCTATGCAGTAGCTACTGCAGCTGGGCTGCTATTCAACATACTGAGGATGGAGTATGTAAAGATGTTAGTATCCCCTGCTAGTCTACCCGCGAGGTTCCGGCTGGTGGGTGGTGATCCACCTGCACACACAGCGAGGGGACTCTTCAACAGTTACCCATCACTATGCAATATTTGTCCGCTCACCCATCCACTCAGTCAACCCTGAACTAGCCCACTGAAGAAAACTCTGCCTACTCTGCCCACTGAAGAAAACTCTGCCTACTCTGCCCACTGAAGAAAGAAAACTCTGCCTACTCTGCCCACTGAAGAAAGAAAACTCTGCCTACTCTGCCCACTGAAGAAAGAAAACTCTGCCTACTCTGCCCACTGAAGAAAACACTACCTACTCTGCCCACTGAAGAAAACTCTGCCTACTCTGCCCACTGAAGAAAACTCTGCCTACTCTGCCCACTGAAGAAAACTCTGCCTACTCTGCCCACTGAAGAAAACCACTGTGTGTGTGTGGGGGGTGGAAGTGGGAGCGGGGGGGGGGGCACTTCCTTTCCCCAGGATCATTTCCTTTTTGGGGGCAGACCCTGACATCTTGGGAAGTCAATGGTCAGGGCAAGGACTCCCCGTGGAGCACCATGAGTGGGTGTGGCCTGAGAACACACCAGTGAGTTTTCCTTGCTCATCTCCCACTCTTCGGAGGGAAGGCGCTGGGTCTGACCTCTCTGAACTAAGTTCCAAAAGTTGAGGCATCTGCTCAGGGTTTTTCCCCCCTCCTTCCTCTCCCCAAATATAAGCTGTGGGCAAGCACCACTGTCCGTGGTTTTCTTGTCTTTGCTGGAGTGGGATCGTCTCTGTAAGGATAACAGAGGAGCACTTGCTGGGACCGAGAAAGCACCTGGTAGGTACTTTAACACCCCATTCCTCAGCTTCCCTCCTACCCTCTGAGGTAAGAAGAAACCCAGCTAAAGCTAGCAAAACTCAAGGCTGCGCTGGGACAGAGCTGTTCCCTGGCTGCTCTGGTGTCAGCCACTAAGAAGAGGGACGGGCTAGCGACCGCCGCTGTCTGGCTTCCACCACTGACCCGACAGCTGCCCCAGAACTGGGCGGTTGGCTGCAGTCAGCAACTCGCCCTCCCGGGATGTGAGCATTGAGGGTTAACTAACGGCCAAAGTAGCCCCAGGGGGGATGGAGCACCAGGCAGCTGCTTGTGGCCTGCATGGGGGCCCCAGAGGTGGCTGGATTCACAGCCTACAGATCCAATCCTCAGAGCGGTCCCTGGAGACATAGGAGTGCAAATGAGAGGCCCATAAACTTCTCCCGCTGTTATTCAGGGAGAAAAATGGGAGTTGTTGGAAGCAAAGCAATTACAAAATTTCCCTACCAGGAGTAGGCACTATCTGGAACTGGCCCACCGCCTTGTCTGCCTGTAGCAGGCATGACCCCGCCCCACCCCCCATCCCCAGGAGCTTGCTGATTGGTCCTCAGGGGTTCCATTTGAGAAGAGGATCAGAGACAGCAGTACCCTGTGTGTGTGTGTGTGTTCGCACAGTGGTGAGGTAATGTGTTCTTTACCTGTGGGGGTGTGGGGCTAGGGGCACGCTGACTATGGGGTGTGTGGCAGTTTCAGGGTTGAGTTCCCATTCGGCCTGTCATTACCAGACTGGCACAGGAAGGTTGCAGAAGCGGTGATGGCCTCAAGGGGGTCTCAGCCGCTGCAGTGAAGGTTAAGGTGTTCTGCTGTCTGGGTGCTCTAACTGTCCAAGGGCTGGGTCTGGCAACCTCTGGATCTGGAGCTGACAGCACTGGGCCTGCTTCTAGACCTCACATGCCAGCTGGTCATGAACAGGCTATACCTGCCACCCCCACAAGGGCGCTCTCTGTCTGTCTTCCCCTGGCTTTCGAACTGGACAGGGCACGGTGCGGCAAGCAGTTTCTGGGCTGCGCTGGCCTGGCCGTGTAGTCCAAGCCTCATGGGCACCTCCATTAGATGGCACGTGTACAACCCCATCCCCAGATTCCATCTCCACACTGCCCGCAGCCCCTCCTTGGTTCTGACGCCCACAGAGTCCATCCAACACGGCTAGGTTGGAAGCAGCAATAATGACTGGTTAAGCAGCCCGTGCTCTGCAAGCTTTGCCGTTAATCCCCGTGGCAGCCTAATTGCGCCCATTTAAACTTTTATTTGGGGGAGCACGCATATCGAAGTACATGTGTAGAGGTCAGAGGACAGTTTTGTGGAGCTGCCTCTCTCCTTCCACCTTGTGCGTGGGCTCTGGGGATGGAGCTCTGTTCACCAGCTTGTGCCACAAGCACTTTTATCTACCAAGCCAGCTCACTGACACCCCGGATCTGCTCACCTTAAGGACAGAAAGTGACCCCTCAGCAGCAGGCCCAGGAATTACCATATATATGTCTGTGCGAGACTGTCATATGACAGTCTTTGTCCATCCTATTCCCTTTCCTGACCCTTCTATGGAGGTGGGATCAGAACCCATGCCTTGAGCTCTTATCTCCAGCCCTGGGGAGAACTGGCTCTCTCAAGGTCTTGCCCTTGGAGAGCAACGGTAGCGTCAGGCACATGCCAGGCCTGCTGGGTGTCTGTTGATTTCATAGTAGTTTCTATTGTCCATTGCATTAAACCAATGAGGGCTCAAAGGTGATATGGCCCAGGAGCGTCATACCTCGGCAAGTGGCCGAGCCAAAGATGGATGCTTGGCTGCCACAGCAACCCCATACTGTGGGTGCCATTTATCTCCATTTTACAGATGGAGAAACTGAGGCTTAGGAAGTGCCAGAGAAGCCGGAATTACCCAAGTTAGAAATGCTCCCACAGACTCCGCTCGTGATTATTTATCCCTGACAGCAAGAAGGACACCCAGGGGTCATGGGCTATGCGATGCTGGCCTCAGTTTCCATACCTGAGTGGTGGGCTCAGCAGAGGCCAGGAATGACAGGTATAGGAACTGCCTTTTCACCTGGGCCAGGTGCTACATACACCCACACACAAGCACACGTACACACACACACACCCCAAAATAAATGAAGCCCTTTAAATCCTTGGCCTCCTTTGTGCCCACAAGCAGCCTTCTAATTGGAGGCAGCTTGCTGCCTCAGCAGGCACTGCTGGTGCCACAGTGGCCCCTGGGCCAGACAGCCCTGGGTAAACAGGGTTGATCTGAGGTGACAGCCTGCCCTCCCAGGGCAGCCCCCACCCTGGCCCCACTCCTCCACCAAGACATGGTGCTGGCTTTAGGGCCCTGGGAACCAGGTCAGGCTACTCCGTCTCAAGGAAGAGAGGCTTGCAGGGGACCTGGGCCATTCCTTCTCCTCCTCCTCTCCCTCCCAACTGTGTGTACTTGACTGAGCTCCTTTGGGCCTGAGTTCTCTCACCTGTAAAAAAGGTTTCGTTTTGGTTTGGTTTTTGACTGAACCTCTCATGGCTGTCCTTCAAAGAGGCAAGGTCCACTAGGCTCCCCACCCACGCCTGAACTTTGATTTTACTTGGGCTTCACTGCCCGTCTACTTGGCCCATAGAGCTCAAAAGAGATCCTGTGACCACCTAAATTGAGCAGCGTCATTTATTTACGCGAGGAGGAAACAAGACCCAGAGGGGGCAATGGGCTTGCTAGAGCTCACACAGCCGGGCAAAGAACTCAGAGGGTTGAAGTCAGTTTTGGGGGCACATTTCCTGGAGCCCCTGCTAGGGTCACCGGGTGGGAAGCACCAGTTGCCGCTGTCACCAGGCTGCCCACAGTCTAACCCAGGAAAGACTGTCCCTTGGAAGGGACACTGCAGAGAGATCCACTCTGAATTTGAAAGTTTCTAGCATTCAGCACACAGACAGGGCCCCTCACCTGTATTCCTGTGGAGAGCGATGGTGACTGAGCCCGGAACTTCTTATCATTCCTGACATTTTGGGCAGGATGTCACTTTGTATCATCTCCTTAGAGGGGGGGAAAGTTCCCATTAGCATCCATGTAGGCAGGGCAGAGACCCACAGCCTCCCACAGTCGGAAGCCACTGACAAAGGGTCGCAATCCCAGGAAAATCCTACAGGAGTTTAAGAGCCAAGTGAGGAGAATGGGTGAAATTCCAAGTTCTTTCAAATTCAAGGAGGAGGGGGAGGGGGAAGCCCCTAAATGGAAATGTCAAGCTTTGGAAAGCCCTGGCAAAATTGAAATCCGAAGGACTCGGTTTGCTTCCAAGCCCCATTCTCCATCGCTATTCAGCCACAATCAGCTTAAAAATGCGATCATCAGAAAAGTGGGATTTAGTGGGTCCGGGAACCATCCCCGGGGTTAGCGCCCTGGAGGAGACTCCAGGCCAGGTGCTGGAAAACCAATCCACGCAGTACGCCCTGCACCGCGCTATCTACCCGGCCACCCACAAACACGGCATTAAATAAGATTCCCGGTCCCCCCTTTAGTCCTCCAAGTCAGGCCTGAGCAGGCGTGGGAAACTTCCAGCCTCACTGGGGGCCTCCCGTAGGTCGGACGGGGCTCACAGCAAGGGTTGTACCGTGGTACCTGGAGCGGGTCCTGGGTGCGCTGGGGGCGGTGCTGGGGGCGGTGTTGCGGCAGGGGGGGACTCCCTTGTGCTCGCCCCTTGCTGTCCACAATTTGGCCGCCGTCGCAGCTCGAACCGTTTTTAAATTTCCCTCTCTGGAGCTGTCCAGCTCTGAGCATGCGCGATAGTGTGACGGGGGTGGGGGGTTGGGGGGCTTTTTTCTTTCCCCCTCCTTTTCCCCAGGGGTCAGTTACGGGGCAGGGTCAAGGGGATCTCAGCGGGCGAATCCGAGCAACTCAGCCTCCTGCGCCCCCCGGGACTCCCGTGCTTGGGGTGGGGTGGTTACTGGGGGAGAGACACCCCTCTTCCAACTTTGCGAGCATGCGTGCGGGGTGATGGGCAGGGCTGAGATGCAGATGCTGCAGACAGAGGAGGGCAGAGGAGGAGAGAGATGCGCACTGAACTGGTCCCCCACCTCCACTACCCGGGGAATGTTCCGGGCCACCTGTGGCTCCGAGAAAGTTGAACCGACACCACACAGAGGACCTGGAGCTCCACAGGCCGTTGGAGACAGTGGCCCGCCAGGGCTCCCGCGTTGCTCTGCGCTCCGCCCCTCTCCCGCCGCGGGAAAGGTGGCGGGCAGTGCAGGAGGCCCTCGGACAGGGTGCGGCAACTCCACACCTCTCTGTAGTGTCGCTCGAGACATGAAAGGGCATAGGGCCCTCTCCGCTTGGGGATGCCCCCTGCCCCGTACCCCCTTGCGTGGGCTCGGGTATCACTGCTGGCCCACGGGACAACTACACTCTGCGTGCGCTCCCGCCCAGCCATTCCTGATTGTCCCCATGTTGGGTGTCCTGAACTGTGACCTTAAGTTCAGGTTGAGCCCCGGCTTCTAGGGCTGAGTGTCGGAGTTTCAGTCCTATCTAGTTCATGTCCCCACCCCACCCCACCCCCAAGACACCTGGCCACAGCTTTCTTGTGGCACCTAAACGATTCCTCCCTTATCCTCTGCACAGAGTAAATATGTGGACTTGGGCTTCATTTCCAGAAGTTGATCCCAACTAATAAATTGGAAAACTTATTCGTTTTCCTCTCTTTGACGGGCCCATGGACTTGGGTTGGTTGCAAAGGTGGACGAAATTGTTCACATGGTCTGTGTTGCTTTGACCGTCCCCAGATGGCGAGGACTAAGTCACCTGTTTGGTTGTATGTATCCCAAGCGTTTGTGGGTGTCTTAGCTTCCCTTTGAGGTAATCCTTTTCTTTAAGATGGGATACGGCTCCTTAAAGGGTCTGGGAAAGAAGTTCTGTGTTCTGAAGGCTGGTGTGCCCATTAGCAATTAAACCTGTAGATTGTTAAAGGAAAAAGGGCCAGGGGTGGAGAGGGAGGGAGAGAGGAGGAGGAAGAGAGGGGAGGGAGGACAATACTGTCTTTGAAAACTCTGGCTTCACTGAGTTTTGACTGGGAACTGTCATCATTTTAAACTAAAGAACAGAAATTTGGAGCTCGTTGCTCAGAGATCAGTTGGAAGAAATAATGACACCCAGACAACACTGTTAGGATGATTCGGAAACACTTTGATAAAATTAATGTATCTCCTCCCTTAATGGCATCTCTGGTGACATTGGAACCTTGGAGGGATGAGCTGGGGACAATTATTCTTTAACAAGTGTCAGGGCTGTTTCTATAATCAAGGGGAGTTGAGGCACTTGGGCTGGGGGAGGGGACCCATCTTGAGCCAAGGGTGACCAGCGCTAGGCTGTCTTTCTTGGTTAAGTGGAAAAGGACACAGTCCACCTGTCCCCACAGCTTCCTGTGTGGGGAGGGGACCCCAAGCCTCATACTGAGTCTGATTTTGCTGGCACACTTACGATTCTCAACAGCAAGAGCCCCATAAGGCCTCACAGACATCTCCCTACATAGTGAAGTCTCAAAGGGAGAAGGAACAGGGTTGGGTGGCTTTTGTTAGTCCTGATCTAGGGCTGTGTGCCTTATGTTTTGAAGGTCAGTCTGAGGAGACTTAGGGATGTGGCTGGGAGAAAGTATTTGTCCCTGCTGTTGCTGTTGACTGAGCTGGCCATAGCCAGTTCAGTGGTAGCTGGGAACATTCATTTATCCTATGAAACAGGTTTGGACAGCATTCTCACTGAACAACCGACAATGCTAACTCACTAGTGAGGTTGAACAAGCCAGGTTTTCTTTGGCTGAGGGGCTCGGTTTCATCACAGGTCATGAGCAGTTCTCTGGCTTTCCCCTTGCTCACTGCTCTCATCTTTTTAGTGAGAAGGACAGGTAATCTGCAGCATCAGGACCAATTCTCTCTCTTCCTACCCAGGAGTCACCCAAGCTGCTCAGCCTAGTGAACTGCAGGGCATGTCTTCGAGAGGAGTCACCAGGATCTTTCTTCACTCAGAAGCGTCCACGGTCACAGCCCCGCCCCGGGCTGTGTCAGGCACAGGGTGGGCACTTGTGAGCCAGGGGTATACTTTTTCCTTGGCTCTGTCAACTGCTAGAAACAAAAGCTGCTTAGGTGACTGGAGAAATTTCTCCATGGAAACAAACTCTTCAGCATCCTCTTCAACAGGTGACCATGACGCTGATTTCTGAATCGATTTCTTCAGGTTCAGTAGCTCAGGGAGACTACTGCCAAATGTCTGAAAACAGTCCTCGAATACTGAAACATGGATTCTTTCAGGAGAGATGGTGGAGGTCATTGATCTCTCTTACTTCAGCCTGTGTGTCAGAGTCCCTTTGGGGCATGCCTGTAGAAGGGCTGCCACTAACTTAAGTTACTTATATTTCACCTTTATGAGATCGGGTTGTCCCCACCTAGACCCAGCTTAGTGGCTGTGGCGTTCACATCTCAAGAAAGGGCACCGGTCATTTATAAAATCAATCAATCCAGCTAAGGAGTGTGGGACAAATTGCAGGAACTTCTGTTTGGTTTTGAAGATTTTCCCTTCCTTCTCAGCTTAGAACAACCTGTTTGGTTTTGTTGGTGTCATCAGTGTGTCCAAGGATTCCTGTATGGTCATTTTTCCTGTGGGATGTATTGCTTTAGAGATTTTTTTTCTTTAGGGTCTAAAGAACAAAAAAGGGTGGGGGCTTTTTCCCTGGGGACTTGAGAGAAGCGTTAAGACCACTGAGTTGAGTGAGGAGTCCTTTGGTCAGGTATCAAACCTCTCAGGCTTCCAGAGCCCTGGGCTGTGTGTGTGCGCGCTCCGGCCTGAGCGGTGGTGCAGTAACAGAGGGATCCACAGGCTGGAAATGGGTCTGTGATAGACTGTGAAGGTTCTTAAAGTTCAGAACCAAGTGCAAGCACGTTGATAGCAGATTCCCCACATAAATAAAGAGTACTTTGTTTTGGGGACGAGCTTCATGTTGTAGTTCCAGTGAATATGGTCTTGGCTGTGATAACACCTGAAGCACGGAGCAGTTCGCCTATTTGGCTTAAACCTTAAAAGGGCTAAATAAATTAACGTCGGAACTATAATGGATGCCTACAATCAAAACGGTTTCACCTTGGCTATTGCTTGGTGGCTATTGCTAAATGCACATCTCCGTTATTATGCTGTTAAGTGGCAGTCATTAGTCAAATTTCTGAGACACCTTCCAAATCTCTGCAGACGTGATGGGTTGGTTGTGTGGCATAATCTTAGCTGGAAGCGCTTTGGGGGAGTGAAAAACTTGTCTTGGCATCTCCTGCAGAGCAGCTTAGGGCAATTTGGCCTTCCTGAAGGAGTGGCAGCCCTCAGCCTGCAGGACTGAGGCTGAAGGGGGGGGCACAAGGCCCTCCATGGTCAGGGTGGAGTTTCTGGGTGGTTCTGCAGCGTGGGCCTCCCAGGCAAAGGCAACAATCAACGTCTTTGTTTTGAGAGGGATCTCGACTTTTTCAACCAATAAAATCGGGTTTTCGAGGATGTGGCCAGGAAAGTGTGCTACAGCTCTGCCACCAGGAGGGCTGGGTCCTTCAGGGCGGCGTCCTAGTGGCTCTGTGCTGTGGTGTGCTCTGTTCTAGCCCTCAGACCTCATCAGGAGACACATTCTACTGTCAGCAGTGAGGACCACTGTCTTGCCTCTGAATTCCATAACAGATTTCATTTAGCCACTTTGTGCATCTTTTACGGTGTGGTTTTTCTACCACGCAGGGCTTACTGCTCTTCTGCCTCGAGAGTGCCAGGAGCCTGCTCTCTTCAGTATCACAAACTGACTTTGGGGGCTCCTCTTCTGTTCATAAAGGTCCCTTAGTAGTTCACTGCTCAACAGACCATCCGAATGGGTGCTTTCCCTGTGAGCACTGTGATTCCTTCCAACAACCTTTGGAGAACTGTGTAGAACTCTTTCTCAAGCCTGACAGCTGCTTCTTGGTCTGACAGTGCTCCCTATAACAGAGTCCCCTCTGACAGTGCTCCCCAGTAACAGAGCGTCCCCTCACTAACAACCTGTTCCCAAGGTTCTAGACTGGGCTGTCTCCATCCTTTTCCATTTATTTCCAAAGTGAAGGTGAAGAGTAGCATGGGAACTATTTAGATGCAGCACTTGGCAGCCTCCTCTTTATTGCAAAGTAGCAGTTCCCCGGCTGTTTGTTTTAGAAGTGGTAATGTCTCATTGTAACAAATTATACTTAAAAATCATTTAGTGTGAAATTGCAGATTAATCCCACAGGGACCGGGTATTAACAATCCCCCAGCCCTTTGGAGCATACAGATGGTGAATCTGGAGTTTACAATGGGAACAATTGCTGATTACATGCATGGGTGTAACGGACTAAAAAGACCTCCCCATCTCAGAATGGAGAATACGGTGGAGGTCCTAGTGCCTGGCCTGTTCAGGACATTTCAGTCCCTAAGAACGTTGTTTACTACATGTGGGCTTCTACAGCCATTCTGTGTGCTCTGAAATCCCTCAAGTGAGTGTATGGAAAGTCTTCTCTGAGTGTGCTTAGCTTTAACTCTTCAGAGTGCTTCAGACTGTTTAAGCACGGTGTGTCATGGAGAAGCCTGTCATGACGATGTGGTAGATGTGTCAGCTGAGAGTCCCTTGTGGGAATAGATACCTGCTGCCCGCTATCAGAAAGAGAGTCCCTTGTGCGCTCTGTGGATGGAGGTGAGATTGTCACTGACTCAAAAATTAATCGGTATCTGACCTAAAGACAACTTGAGTACAATGACCTACCTGGTCTTGAGACTGTCGACCAGCTGAGACCCCAGCTGAACAGTCCTGATGTTGAGAATGAGTATGGCATGCTTGGACACAATGTGTGATTGAATATATAATCACTCACATAGTCATCTGGAATTTCAATAAATTACAGATGGTCATAAACAGGCTGGGTTCAATCCCCATCACTCATCCGTAACTCCATTCCCAGGAGAATTGAAGCTGTCTTGTGACCTTGGGCACCATACACACCCACATGGGGCACAGACATATGTGCAGGCAAAACACCCTTACACATAAAGTAATTATTGAAATGCCTGAA